CAATGTAAAAGCCTAGTAGATGCAGGGTCGTTACTTAAAGTTGGCACTCTCATGAATTCACTACTACAGACTGTAAAAGGCATGCAACCCTAACTTGCAACATACATCATGACTTTTTCATTGAGGGCACAAACCCTCAGACTCTCGCAGCAAATGCCGCTGTTCTCCAATATGTTATAGGTCAGTGTCAGTATTTAAATATGTATCTTTATAACCATAAATAAAATTTAAAAAAATGCATAACACAGATGGGCTTTACTATGGACTGCATAGTGTGTTTTATCCATTAAAAGGGAATAAATCATATAATGTTACTTTAACAGGGCCATTTTCTAATCATAAATGTGATCAAGACTTTTCTATTATTTCCTTTGAACAGCTTTGAACCAAAGCATTATCACAATTTCCCTGCCATAAAGGATGTTCTGATAAGTCTTTTGCACTCATTTGCAGCTTGAATGCTTTCTAATTCCTCCTAGACACAGTGGATTAATCATATTGCACTCATAGGGGAGTACCTACACAAGCCAACCTCATTGCTCTATTGTGGTTTCACTTTGCTAGAGTATGCTTGCTTTTTTGACTTCAGTATTCTTGACCCTGGCCCATTATATTTTGTTATCCTAATGTCCTTCTGCTCTCTGTCTCTATTCTTCGCTTAGGCACTATCTCAGACATGGGAGGACTAGCAAGAGGTCTAGGTGAACAGCTGCCCCTGGAATTCTAAGATTCACACTATTATTTTGAGGATTAAAATAGCAGGAGATTCTTTGGGTTGTTTATTGGCACAGTACTGCAGAAGTGAGCAGAATTTGCACAAGACCTCTGAAGCCCAACGCTATATAGTTTGTGTATGGGCTGGTGGCTCACAGTCTGTTTTCTCCAATCATGGTCATCCTCTGGGATATTTCCTGTGAGATTGCAGTATCTAGGACCGACTAGGCTGCCAAGCCATAATGGTTATGCATGGTGCACCTGGAATTTACAAGTGACCACAGAGTTGGACGAGGAAGTGGTTATAGCATTCATAACACATGTTGGTGCACTGGAGTTGAGGGAAAAATAGTCTGTACAATTAGAGGTCACAAAGATATGTCATGTCACACCTTGCCACTACAGAGGCCTCCTTCTGTCAGATCTATATATTGCATGCCCCCAGACCACATGATAAAGAAAATGGGTATATTTTGCTAATATCACTGTCATAATTCCTCACACAATTTGTTAATGGTTTAGAAATCAAATAACCATCTCTTAACGGGAATATTTGCTGGTATTCCTAGCCCTAATAAGGTTTGGGACAGACCGAAACTCCTGTTCAGGTATCTCAAAAATCACTCTATTGACACATTCTCTCGATCATTATGTTCACAATGAGTTCTTTTATGTCATTTCACCTGTAAAAATTCACTGAATGAGAGTTAAGCATGCAGGTAAGCACCTTTTAAAGCTGTTTGTTCTTAAGAAGAAATTCCATTCAAGAGTTCCTTTGTCTTTTGGTCAGTTGATTTTCTGACAAATTATGGGTTGTATTTTTTTTTTTTGTCAACTGGTACTTTATCTGAAAGTATATTTTATTTAGTTTTTGTAATCAAACTGATACAACCTTCCCCAAGAAAATCACAGCTGATCCGAACCAAGCAGCAGACTTGTACACAGTGAAAAATAATTGGTTTGTAAAAATTCTCTCATCTAAATTTTTTTTTTCCGGGTAAATCTAAATTTGTCCATGTGGAATTTTGATTTGGCCAAATTTCACCCATGCAATGGGAAAATAATTTGAGCAAATCAATGTGCTGCATTGATTGTTTATATATATAAACATTAACACACATCTCACTTGGTTCACAGATTAAGTGTGGAGAAGTAACAAACATAAAGGAAAAAGGGAAGTGTAAAAAAAATAAATCTCTTTTTCTAAATAAAATCAAAAAATAGAAATTTATATTTACTGCTCCTTTTCATCTTCCCCTCCTTCTCGCTTGATCTGTTAATAGTATCAAAATTTTGTTGATGTCCCCTGTCTTTTTTTTTACGTCAATGCCAGAAGTGTTTCGAAATTATATAATTCAATTCCCCCAGAATTCAAATAAATTGCAATTAATTTTAAACTGAATGCACAAGTTTACTAAACAGTGTAGCAGGTAGACTTGTATCGCAACCCAACATAAAATGTAAGTTACTAAATTAAGTAAGGTGCCAAAACCCAATGAGCAGGAAATCTCTCCTTTTACCAGGCACAGAAAATAGGAACCAGCCTAACCACCTCTTGTATGCCCCCCAGCTTCCATTTGCAGAGATCTACCCTCCAGTGCAAACAATGAGGCTTGTTGATTGTCGATCCCGTTGCCTTTGGCTGTCTGTTTGAGATCAGTGTGACAAATGTGAATATGTCTGGTTTTATCCCCTTCCAGGTCTTTCAGCATAAGGAGTGCCAATGTTTAGCTGTACTTACCAGGTGTATAAAAAGGTTTATTTTGTCATTGTTTGTGTGTTTGCACGTCACACCTTTTTTAATCAGATCTTATTTCGCACACAGTTTAAAATGCTCCCAAAGTGAAATATCTACGCTATAATGAAAGAATATAAATCACTTTACAATTTAGGACAATCAGTTAATTAGCACAGCCTGCCCCAAACTGCCATTTGAACCTAAGAATATGCTTTTTCAACTTAATCATCTGCCTATTGAGAATCTGTCCATTTAGAGCTTTGCATCCAATCAGCCCCCTTAACCTAACAATGTGATGCATCAATATGATATACCCCAAGGATCTACTCCTTCAGAGCTGAAGAATCTGTCTATTCACTCCAAGAATCTGCCAAATTATTTTGGGATTTTAAAGAATAGAAATTCCAAAAAAAGCTGCCTTACTAGAATGCAGCCAATAGGAATATCACCTTGAAAATCTACCCATTGCCCCATGAATCTGACTACTTACTGTGAAAATCTCATCATTCCCCCTTAGAACCTGCCCTCACAAACAGAATAAGCCTGTTGCCTGACAAATGTAAAAAAAAATTAGATAACACAAAATCACCGTTATTAATTGCTGGGCATTTAAAGTAAATCTTAAATGCAAGGCCAAAATAGCCAAACTGAACACTAAATTTACTTGGAGAATTTTTCTAAATGTGTTATTTTGACCTAAATGTTCTTTGAATTCCTGACAATTATAACATTAGTGAATAATCCCGTTTGTTTTGTTTGTTTCCATAGAGATGAAATATATTATACCTTTTGGACATCGTTCTATCTGACCTCTATTTCAAGGCTTAATGGCCACCCAACCTTGTGGTTGTTCTCTCTTTTTTTTAGATATAATATCTGATCTTAAATGTAGGCGTTTTCTGGTTGGTATCTCCCATTCATCTCTTGAGGTGCGCTTGCCAAGGGAAGACTCCTGTTCATGGAGAAAGAGCAGGTATGGTTGTCTTAACCCTGGATTAAAATTGTGCGTCCAGTGCTCTGCAAGCACGTTTACTGTACTGGAATATAAACTATTGTCCTATAGCTGTAACATGGTGCACATGTCCTGTAATGCTTAGCATTAGCGTATAGCATTTAAAGGAACAGCGGATCACTCTCAGCCAAAGCGCTAAGCCTTGCATTGCAGAACTTAGCTCAAGAAAGCTAACGGAAATTCTTACTGAGGATCTTCTGGCGTGCCTGAGATTGTAGGGGAGGCATTGAGAAGCATCCAGAGGACAACGGCTGAACAGTCAAAACATTCAAATTTGGGTTGACTCCTTAAGAAGGTGTGGGAGGCACTCCTGGTACCATAATTACCACAATCATCTGTAGTGGTTAGGGTGCTTGGAGTGTTCCTTTAAGTGGGATGGAGCACAAAAGTAAAAGTCAAGTCAATTTGTTTAAATTTGTCCTTTCCTATTGCCTGAGTGCCCGTGCTAATAACACCTATTGAACTTTAAATTATGTTATTCTGCCAACCAACAAAAGCATACATCCACGTTTCTGACACATAAACCAAAGACAGCTGATTGAGAAAGCCTACAGGATAGGAGAAATGCGTCTCGCCAGTCGGAGGATCCACAGAATATTTGTATTTTATATTGATTTTTTATTTTTAATTCGTTTTTTAACTTTTAATTTCTCTTACCAAATAAAGAGCACTGGGTGCACTTTGAATATATCACGGATCCAAGCTTCCTATATCGGGTACCAAGGGGTTGTGTCACCCTGAAAGGACACATCCATGCTTCAAACTCAGAGCCAGTTTTGTAAGGCTCTGCACCAGGTGAGCGCTGTCTAGTGTGTGTTATAATTCACAAATAAGATACTAACTCACTGCACTTAGAAATTTTCTCTTAATTTTTGTCCTGTTGTATACTCTCAACTACCATCACCACCAGAACGAGGGGGGTAGTGTGTCACCCCAAGACACACCTGTATTCAACTTTGGAGCCTATATGTTAAAGGCTCCTAAACATGTGAGTTAAATACCACTCACCTACATCATTGTATCTCACTTGTTGTGTTAGGGATTCACACTATATGGTTTTATATTTCTTTTTACATGTATGGTCTAACTTGCCCTGAAATTTTGAAAGTATTGGGTGTTTGGGGTAATAACCACTTTAAACACCTGGTATTGTGTTTACCTGTATATGTTCTATTTAGTGGGTGATTTTGGAGCACCCACACAGTGTTTTCAGATGCTATTAATCAATATCTAACACATTAATAAGAATCAAGCACCCATAACCCACACTTTTGTTTGTAAAAATACATAAACCAAAAAGTCAGTGTAAACATGATAAATATAATGTACAATCAGGAAGCCACAAGTTTTGTAATGTTTGTAAAAAAAATAACCCAGTAAACATTTCACAAACATTTCTGGGTTTAACTATAATTTACATTAAAATATGTATAATCCACTCTAATATTTCACCTGTGTCTTATAAACGAAACAACAGAAAAAATAAAATACCAAAACCTGTCCCTCCCTCTGTCACGCCTACAAAAAAGGCAGAATGATTTGCTTTGGCAGTGGTAGAAAGCAGGTTAGTCGACTTTTAAATCCCATGTTTCAAAGAAGGAAATATCGAGAGACAGGAGAGACTAGGAGACACAGTCATTGTTTGAAGCAGAGACGATCTGGATTGTACAGACTCCGGCACTTTTCTGGTTAATTCTATAAAGGGTATTTTGGAACAAGCCATCGGGACAAATAAAATGCCAAGAGCTCATCGGGACTCCCCAGCAGCAGGTGGCATGAGGTGGCACTGGCTGTGGCTGAAAGCGTTGCTCGTTGTCCAGTTTTCTGCAGGTAAAAAAAGTAACTTTGACTACAGAACGTTAACTTTCTGATATCTACCTTAACACTCGTCAAAAAAAAAAGTTCAAACAGAGCAAAGTGAAACAGTACACTCTTTGCAAGTCTGGCTTTGTCTAAAGAGCTGACTGTTTACTTAAGGTTATTTGCATGAAAAGCATGGATTACACTCAGCAAAAGTGGTGGCTGTAGCTTTGTTCTGTTTAAAATGCAAGTTATTTGGGGTGAGGTTAATGAATCTATACATTGTTCTGTCTTCTAGAACAGACACATATCGGTATTTGTCTTTAGGTCAGGAATCTGTTACAGGTGTACAGTAAGTGTTGGAGAAATGTCTTGTGGATTTTAGACGCTAATAGGTAACCGCCTGGAAATCACATTCTCTGCATTAGTAGCGTGAAACAGTTCTTGAAATCTTAATAAATTTACTGTCTCCATGTGCCCTGCCCTGTGTTTGAAGTTACCCCCCCTTCTTTTACTTGGTGTCACTTTGAACACTCCTTTCAAACCCCCATCCTTTAATTTCACTCATGTCTGGCCACTTTATTATTTCTCTCTTTAAACAATCTTTGTTCACTTTCCTGATTATCCCAAAATCATCTTTAATACTGTTTCCTGTCATATTAAAATTTCTGCCTCTTTGAATCTCTGCATATTGAGCCCCATTAATTATATATATATATATATATATATATATATATGTGTATAACTTTAATGTATGTTTTCTAGTGTCTCCCCAACCTCATTCAGACATTATGTAATTCCCATACTTTAAATTCCCCATAATAGCACCCTCTCCCTTTAATTACCATACTGAATATCCCCCCATTTCCCCGTACTGAAAATTTCTAATCCCCCCATTTTCCATATTAAACATTTTTCCCAAACAGTTCTCTTTTACAAGTGACTTTGATCACAGATGGTAGTGAGACTCAGAATAACCCGAATACAAAACATCTGAATCACAAACATATAACCTGTGAAATATATATTAATATATAAGTAGATGCAATTACACAGAACTACCCTACTTAACCCATACAAGTCACCATGCCTGTACTGATTACACGCTTGGAAGCCATGTCACACAATCATGACAGCTGCTAGTAGGGTTTATGGCATGCATGATTTGTCTTTATAATTTGAGATAATTTCTTGTAAAACAAAAAAAAGGCCAGCCCTGATGGAAATCTGTAATTAAAGATTTATGTGTATACATGCTTGCTGGACTGGGAGAATGAAATTAGTTATAAAGATATAAAGCAGCAAAGTCAGTGTCAGGGCAGGCCGATGTAATAGAATTAGATGTAAACTCAATGTCAGGGCAGCAGGCAGGTGAGAGTATATAGAATTAGATGTAAACTCAATGTCAGGGCAGCAGGCAGGTGAGAGTATATAGAATTAGATGTAAACTCAATGTCAGGGCAGCAGGCAGGTGAGAGTATATAGAATTAGATGTAAACGCAATGTCAGGGCAGCAGGCAGGTGAGAGTATATAGAATTAGATGTAAACTCAATGTCAGGGCAGCAGGCAGGTGAGAGTATATAGAATTAGATGTAAACTCAATGTCAGGGCAGCAGAAAGATGGGAGTACATATGTCAGATGTATACACAATGTCACATTAGCAGACAGGTGAGAGTACATATATTAATGTATACTCAATGTCAGGGCAGCAGGCAGGTGGGAGTACACAAGTCAGATGCTATCTCAATGTCAGGGCAGCAGATGTGTCAGATACAATCTCAATATCAGGGCAGCAGACAGGTGGGAGTACATGTGTCAGATACAATCTCAATATCAGGGCAGCAGACAGGTGGGAGTACATCTGTCAGATACAATCTCAATATCAGGGCAGCAGACAGGTGGGAGTACATGTGTCAGATACAAACAATGTCAGGGCAGCAGACAAGTGTCAGATGCAAACTCAGTGTCAGGGCTGCAGGTAGGTTGGATTTTCTGAAGAAAATGCCATTTCAGGTAAGCTGGTATTGGCAGGATTGTCTGTCAGACAGCGTGGAAGTGGGACTATCCGGTATCTCAGGGCATCAGTCTGATATGAGTACCTGTTGTAGAAAGATGTCAGGCGAGCAAGCAGGTGTGAATGGCAGGTGTTATAAACACAAATCCCATGACAGGGAAGAAGGTGGCAATTGCCATATTATAAGTATATATTCTTTTAAAGGATGTTCTGAATGTGTTGCCACCCATCTCCCTTCCTAAATCAAGTAATATGCTTGATAAATCACATCATGATATACTTATGTTAGAGTAGTAAGAAAATAAATTATATTTACTAGACAATGAAATCATGTTACTTTGCTTATATAGGTAAACAAAAATATAATGAGTGGTCTTGAGTAAGAGCTAGATTCTATAAGTTTCCTGTAGACGTCAATGAGAGAACTTCCACTCTGTTATCAGACTTGATGGAACCCAGCCATACTATTAGAATCTAGCACTAAAGATTAGCAATATTGTCTTTCTTATGGTAAATAGACCTTTTGAGTGAGATACATTTTGGTCACTGGTTGGTGGTTTGCCTCGTTACGTCAGAGGCCAGTGAATTTCTAGAAGAAAGATTTGGAGAAGTACAGGCCTTTGCACCTTACTCTATAATAGCAATTGGAGAACCTGGATTTGGAAATAGCAGGTGCTATTGTGGTATATTAAAAACAAGACATGTTATTAATAGCGTCCATTACTAAATATGTTATACAAAGCATTATAAAGGAAAGTATTTCAGTTACTTGGCTGTATTCCTTGGTCCATCCCCAAGTGTTTTGTTTCCCTCTACCTTAAACTCACCCGAATTAAACAAATATGAGGCAATGAAACCTCTTGTGTTGAAAACAAACAAAGAACAAAAGCCTGTCTGCATTTAATGTGTCCCTAATCCTTGTAAAATGCACAGGTAGGTTATCCCTGCTTCTTAATGATTCATACAATACCCTGTAAGGTCAGATATGTAGCACGTAAACACATAGTCCTGCTTGATCATCTGAGCAGCTGATTGACAATAGGTGCAACAGGATATATTTGAATAAGAAAACAAAACACAACACAAAACAGGCGAATAAAATAGTTCTACAGTTGAGTGGTTCCCAATCTGCGATTACAAAAGTCCAGTTAACATTGGTGTCCTTGAAGGAACAGAACTGCGAAATGAATTAATCCTGGACAGGTTCTGTGCCTTGAGGATTAGGTTTGGAACCACTGCAATGGATCATATTTATAGAGAATGAACACTTATCGTTATAGAGGTCAGAGATAACGGCATCTTAAATGATTTTCTCAGCCAGTCATCAATCTACAATCACACAACTGTAACATATTGAGAGTAGCCAAGGGAAAAAAATGTCTGTTTCCACATACTATGAATAATAATGGGTATTGTATATGTGAAATTTATTGCGAAGTATATAAAGTATAAATGTATATACAAGATATCTTATACTGCAAAACAGACTAACAGAAACGTTTGGTTTGGCTAGTGATAGAGGATAGAAAGGCAATAGGTGCTGAGTGTAGGTAATTTTACAAATGTTGCAATATTGTTTAGAATGCTAAATTCCTCTCATTTAATTAAGCTGATTTCTCATTCTGAATGTGACATCATTTTAGAACACTGCATTCTTACTTAGAAATTGGTATTTTTTGGTATGGTGTATTGTCATTTAGCATTTCTAATCATTTAGGACATATTCATTTTCATAATTTGTTAGAATGTAGTGTTGTATCATTCAAAATGTTGCATTTGTATTCAGAGCTGTGTTCTATAATTCAGAGTGCTGTGTTCATTTAACCCCTCAAGGACCAAACTTCTGGAATAAAAGGGAGTCATGACATGTCATGTGTCCTTAAAATCTGTTATCATTGCAAATATTGGAATCTCCCTTAAATGATACTCATATCACGCAGAGAGTGGGGTTCTCTATTAGAATGTCAAATTTGTGTACACTAAGTATACATTGAGAAACTGTATCATAAAATAAAATAAAATGCATATTTGTCCATTGGAAGACTGGAGCAACCATGTGCAGTCAATGTCTGTCCTGCATGTTTATGTTGGACTCTGTACTCTAATTAACTATGAATCAGATAACTTAAAACAATGTCGAGGACAATAAATCTCAATGTGTTTCAGAATAGATTGAGCATTTTTTTTTTATATGTACAGGAACCAGTCAAATAAGATTGCAATAGGACTGTAGAAGAATGCCAGCAATGCACTAATTATTTACTCCTAACATTTTTTTAACAAATTATTAATTGCTGATATTTATCTTAATATTTGTTTTATGGAAATAAACAAAAAGTCCCTCAATTGGATAGATCCTTTAAAACACTCCAGATATAAACACAAATTTATAGATTATTTCTTGTCCATATTTGCTAGTTTAGTGTCCTCTTTGGCTGAATTAGGTAAAACCCTAAAAACTGCCCCTCTCTTTCTATACTCTTTCCCAGATTAAAATCACAGTGTCCTCCCAGTTTTACATCATCTCCAGAGTATGACTTTCACAAACAGGGCGAGAGGTTTAAAAGAAGTGACAGGAGGCGTTCGTAAAAACATGTTTCTAAATGAACATGATAACAAAAGCAGTCACACCCTATAATAATCCCAAAAGAGCCCAAACGCCATTCATTTAAAGACCCAGCATATACTAAAGTTGCATGCTGGCTATTCAATGGTTAATGCAACTCATTAACATTTAAAGGGTGTGCTGAATATTTAATAACTTGTTTTTCCAAAAAACAAATACAATTGTATTTCCACAGGTCTTTATTTTAAAAACAATTATTCAGTTTCAATAGAGTAGTCCAGGATTTTGATGAAAAGTGTGAGTGAGAAGGTTGTGCAAAAGGCTACAAGAAATATATGGTGCCAAAGCCATTCATTTGAAGTATATAGGATTTGAGGTTTTTAACACTACATTCATTTAAACCCCTATAGTTAACAAATATGCATTTGTAAGGTGTGAATAATAAAATTAATCTTAAATATCCACGCCTCTTTATTCTGCAACTTTGGACCTCCAGCTTAACTTCCTGTCAATCACTGTTTTAATTCCTGTCAGTCTGCACAGAGAAAGCATGCAGAGAAGAGGAGAAATGAAACAATGAGGGAAGGATATAAAAAAAATCATGATCTGAAAACAATTTTAAATTAAGGTGCTAGAAATGAGGCAATCGCCATGGAAACCGGTAAAACAGATTCCAGTGGTGACTTCTCCCGTTTTACATTTTTTAAGCACTTTCCAGAACATGACAATGTAATAAATATCTGCCAGTGTTTCTATGTCTCCTCACGTGCAGTGTGTAGCTTGGTATTAGTGCAATGAGTCTTTAATATAAATGTAAAAAACAAAATTGAGCATCAAATGGAAAAAAGTTAACACACGTTATAGGTGATTTTCAAAGACCATGAATCTGGTATTAGGTTAAACAGATGTAAAACACACTTAGGGTGCTCACAACAGACATGTACGACACGACCAGGAAGCCTAAACCCCATGTGACCCTATATCCCAGTGGTTTTGGGTGAGAGAATATGGAAGCCTGTGGTACCTTGGCAACTCTTTGCCTACATCTTAAACTTTATTGCAGGCAGGATATATGATGTCATATACAGAAAACTCATTCACTATCTATACAGGATGAAATAGCTCACGGGTTGGAAAAAATTTCAGTATCGAACCTCAAGTGTGAAAGTGCATTTGAAGCAAGAAAACACACACTTTGGCTACAGACTACTTGTTACGCATTGCTCAATAAGTGAATAGAAAAAAACAAAAAAAAACAACCAAATTAGACAATTTTATATCTTACAAGCCTACATAATCGCCTGCTTCATATAAAACTCTGCAGGTTCAGTCACTTCATATGGCTATACACTGTCAAGTCCCACTGCTTTTTGAAAAAAATAAAAATATTTAGGAGTCCTACTCCTACCCTTATTTTACCACAGTAGATAAGCATGATAGCTTACTTGGTGCTCAAACTGTTCGAAAAGCTCCTCCCAAAATATTTGCCCTATTGTGTTTACTTTTATTGGGGCACTGTGTGTGGAAGGTGGCTGAAGACAATTTGCGCAGGTTAAACAGGCTCAAGATATGATATAAGGTTTAATGCTTGTTATAGGGACAGACACGTTGTATGAATTTACCATATTTAATAATGTAGCACTGCACACATACACAGGGTATTTCCTCACAATCACTCCTTGGGATATACAGGTAGTTTATGCTCTTACACAGCGTGCTTATGTTCCCAATTCACACTTTGATGCTTTTGCAGATAACGATAAACCAAACTTACTCTCTCAGTAAAGATAAACAATAAATACGATTTTCCTATTCCTGTTTGTACATACTTTTGGTCACGGTATAATGAGTTCAGCAGATATTATCAGACGATTTACTGCTAGAGGTATTCACCTAACTCATCTTATAGAATTTTACCAGTGAATTTAAAATTTCAGGCCTGAATAGCCAAACTAGATACATTCTCAGTCAACTATGTTTCCAGCTCAGATATTTTGGCCTTAAATTTGTAATTCGTTGTCAGTTTAGTTAATTCAATAAAGTAACAAGTAATACAAATCACAAAAATATGGTACAGAAATTCTATAAACCCAGTGAGAATCTGTGATAAGTGTCAGTGAGCTCCCCCTAGAGGAGATGGTTATACTGAGCCAACAGTGATTGGAACAGACAGTTAAGAGGTCATATATGATGAGATCTTGAGGCCAGATATAGAAAAAGGGGTGTAATTCACATTTTTATTGAATGAACTTGAATGTGTATTTAGATACAAAGGTACAATGCATTTTCATCTCCTCTTAATTACACATCATTACCTCTATAGTGGTTAGGCCCTTTTAAAATACTTTAATATACACAAAGTGAACAAAAATTATTTTTTGTAGCAAGGTATTCATAAGTGATGCAACATTGCTTTCCTTTTTTGGTTTACAAAATATTCACATTGTCTCATCATCTGTTGATGATAATGCTGTGATTTATTCATACAACCTGTAGATTCAATGGAAAACGTCACAGATATTGGCTCTAAAGTGATACGCATTGATGTAACAATAATTCTGCTTTGGATTAAGGAATTTTTAATAGACACCTCCCTTGCATTTACTTCCAGTATTACTGGTTTGCCTTGCAAGAGACATGATTCTCGGGTGGGAATAAAAAATATATGAAAAAAAAGACATATGCACAAAATATATCTACACAATGTCTGATAGAGATGCCAGGGACTTTCACTTGATTGCTCACCGGGTACACTTGTGTTGATTAGATATATAGTCACAAGGACTCACAGAAACTTGTTTTGTTTGCAGTCTAGAGAGATTTAATACAAGGTGGGTGCCAGGACCGGATATGTCCCCAAGGTGGTTGTCTGTGATAACTTTAATTTGGCAAAAAAGAAAGGTTCTGGACACATTTGAGGTGGGATTAAGATGTCCCCTTCAAGTCCCAGATAATATAGATCTCCACCCTTCCTCCGACTGCCACCTACATGGGGAACATGAATCTTTTCAAGTGGGGCTCCACCCTGCTTGCTCACACGGTTATTATTCAGCAGGTCTACTCTGATATAAGGCGTTCTAACCCAACCCAGAAACACCCTCTCCCTATTGTTTTGGATGTTGTGTTTACATGTTGGAAGCTCGAATATTTCCTAATAATCATGGTATTTTTATTCAACATTGAATATACCCATTTTTTCTTGGCATGCCTTCTCTGTGTATTGTGGTAGATTTTGTACATATTAATTAAAAGGAGAGAGGAAGTATGCAGGCCATTATATCATAAACACATACTGTATGTGCTGGAGTGTATATTCACAGAGGGTGTGTGCATACTTGGGAATCTCTACATACACAGGCATTAGGGGAAGTGAACCGCCTAGGGATTCAAGAAAATTCCATCATTAAATTGCTATGAAGTCCCCTCAGATGAAGGTATAGAGTAAGCTTTGTGCTGCTAACCACTGGCAGTTAGTGAATGGGAAAGTCCCCAAAATATACAGTATGTTGTGTATTCATACAGTATATTAGTCTCTCCCATGTTTGAAAATTACAGTGATACGTGATTAATTTTACTGATTTAAGGTATGTCAATTTATTGTTTAACTCATCTCCTGCTCAGAGTAATGTCTTATTTCATTTCTATATTTCTTTCAATAAAGGATAAGCAGAGTAACTACAGCACATACACGGTAGTTGCTGTGATAGACAGCAGGAGAACCGGCTGTAGGAGGGTTCTCCTGCTTGTCCCTATCACTAAGTTGGCAGCATCTGGCAGAGTTTATATTTTGACATAATTTGCCAAGTGACAGACCTTTTTTCATTTTATGGGGGGTTTATTTAAAAAATGACATATTTGCTGATAACTGTACTAGTACAACGCAGAAAATGTATTAGAGTGATCTGGGAAAGTATATATTTTGGTGGGGTCTAAACCTGTTTGTTTGTTTAAGTGTTTTAAACATAAAATTTTTTCTATCATTTAACCAACAATTTGATCGTCCATGTAAGATTAAAGGATCACATAGTGGTTTTCCTGACACTATAGTGCCATGAGGGTGCCCCCAACCTCAGGGTCCCCCTCCTGTGGCGCTGAAGGGGTTAAAGCTAGTGACCTCTCCTCCCCCGCCGACGTCAGCTCCCCGAATGCGCATGCGCGGCAAGTGCCGTGTGTGCTTTCAAGCTGTCAATAGGAAAGCATTTTTCAATGCTTTCCAATAGACGCTCTGCGTGATGGAGGAATAATATGCCTCCAGCGTTGCAGATGCGCCTCTAGTGGCTGTCCAGAAGACAGTCACTAGAGCCTGGATTAACCCCAAATGTAAACATAGCAGTTTCTCTGAAACTGCTATGTTTGCATCTGAAAGTTTAAAACCTGAGGGACCTGGCACCCAGACCACTTCATTGAGCTGAAGTGGTCTGGGTGACTATAGTGTCCCTTTAAGCATATAATACAAATATACTGCACATATTCGGGATCTCACTTGCTCCACTGAAATAAAAGCGGTGTGACGCTACTTTTTAACTTGCAGAAGATGCAGAAATAGTAAACTAAATTGTATATAGACTGCAAGAGGAAAAAAAAATACCAATGAATTCATGCCAGAAAAAAATCTTACATTAATCAAACCACTGTTAAAATAAAATTTTGTTTACCTCATCAGGCATTCTTTAATGTTGCACGTACATAAATAACCTTTCAGTTTTTTTTTGTTTAGTAACTACCAATGTTATTTTGTTTTATTTGGGAGATTTACAATGTAAACAAACAATTTGAATATTGAGTATCCAATTATCTGTTAATTATTTTCTGTTTCCAAGAAAATAATTACCTTTGTTTACTGAAGGTATTGTGCAGAACAAATCTGTTTAACCCCTTAAGGACACAACTTCTGGAATAAGAGGGAATCATGACGGAATATTTCCGTCATGTGTCCTTAAGGGGTTAATGGATAAACATACACTATGGTGTAGAACAATGCTAAATAATAAGAAGTGTAAAACAAATATTTCAATTAGAATTTACTGTTAAGAATTAAATATAATTCTTTAATGTCATCACAAATAAAAAGTGAGACGTGTAGTGCCCAGTGAGTGATGGTACTGGAGCTGGTAGGGCTGTACTCAGGTATGGTACTTGAGCCGGCAGTATGGTAACAGCTCATGCTGGTATCAAATAATAGGGTAGTGGTAGGCAACCTTTGGCACTCCAGACGTTGTGGACTATATCTCCCATGATGCTTTGCCAGAATTGTGCCTGTAAGAGGATTGTGGGAGATGTCGTCCAAAACATCTGGGGTTTATGCACATCCAATGCATAGACTGGATGTGCAATATGTAATGAGAAATGGTGTGTGAGCACAGAGAAGAACAAAGGGTCATATGTGGATGTAGCTAAATTGCTGTACCTTTTCCTTATTTTGTTTCCCTCGTTAGTATGTCTGCTCCTTTAACATGCCCACCGCGTTCACAAAAAAGAGCATCATAAAAAACACAGTTCTTAAAAATCTAGGTAAATGTGGCCACTAGTAATGATGATTAACCATAACACTATTTATGATGTTGGAACACACTTCCAAGTTCCAACCTCCTAAACCAGCCTAAAAGATCAGATTTCTGAAAAATAGACGTGACTGCATGTCATTTGTATACAGGGCATGTATATAATGTGTGAATGTGGGAAATAGCTGGTGGGTGAATTTTACTGCCTAGGTGAATAAATATAGGTTGTTAAGCGCGTGAGCTATGACTGAGTGGGTTGGAAGGTGTACGTGACTAAGTGGGTAGAGATGTGTGAGCAGGGAAGTAGATGATGTGGTTGGTGAGTGTAGCTGTGAGGAGGCATGTGACTGGGTGCATCATTATGACTAGGTTACTAAATATATGTAATTTGGTGAATGTGGCTAGGTGGGTAGCTGAATGTGGCTGTATGCGTTATATGAGTGGTTGATATTATATATCAAGTTGGGAGAAAGCAGGATGCATGTCAGGTGGCTCATACTAAATGGAGGTATGTGAGAGACAGGTTCAGTGTGCATTACAGCCACATACATTGTTTACAAGCTAGTTGGGTGGCAATAGGATCCACAGGAGCTGTAGCATAAATCCTACATACACGAGACACTTGGATGCACTGCACCTTGTTTACCCCCTTAGTTCACCCTTTGTGAGCAGTGCACAATTACTAATGTTGTGTGGCAGAGATGGATTTTCAGTGTGTGATAAAAACCCTCATCATTGGGTTCCCATCCCATGTAGGATGCCAGTGGGTGGGGAAAAAGGAACGGGCAGTGACACAAATTGCAGTGGACCAACCTGGCACGGTGGTGGGCCCACCCAAAAAACTAGCAGGTCAATATGGAGTAAATACATGCCAGCATGCATGCCAATTAAACTGACCAGCTGTTTCAGAGTCTTTGTGGGGCCCTAGTGCCCTAAGTGTAGTGTGAGCGTGTGTGTGCTTGTGTGACCCTTTATGAAGACAGTTCTATGATGTACCTACAAACCTATACAGCCACCAGGAAAAAAGGTAGGGACAACAGAACTGTAATGGTGTAGTGTGAATGGCAGAGTGGTATTCAGTAATAGTGCATGAGACAGGGCTGGTGTGTCTATTAAAGGGATACTGTAGTGCCAGGAATACAAAGCTGTAATCCTGGCACTACCGATCCTTCTGCCCACCCCCCTCCCTCCCGGTAAATAAAGGGTTAAAAACCCTTTATTTACTTACCTTATCCCAGTGCCGATGTCGCTCGGCACTCGGTCCGCCCCCTCCTCTGTCCTGCGACGAGCGGGGTCTAATGCGCATGCGCGGGAAATGCCGCACGTGCATTAGACCTCCCCATAGGAAAGCATTGAATCAATGCTTTCCAATGGGGAAAAATCTGACACTGGATGTCCTCATGCAGAGCGTGAGGACGTCCAGCATCAGATACCGGACCAAAAGTCTGTTACGATTCCGGAAGCGCCCCCAGACAGCCACTGAGGGCAGACTGAGAGCTGCAATGTAAACATTGCAGTTCTCTGGAACTGCAGTGTTTTACATTGCAGCACTAGGTTCAAAAGGGACAGCACCCAGACAACCTCAATAAGCTGAAGTGGTCTGGGTGCCTACAGTGTCCCTTTAAGTGAAGAGGTTTACATTCACAGTGTGTAATGGAGTAAAGGAGTTTGAACTGACAATGATGGGTACAGTAAATAATGGTTAGTGAGCTGACAGTACAGTGACAAGTTGCACATACATTTTTAGAGTTATTCAGGTGGTAGTACTGGCAGTCGGTAATGGTATATGAGATAGTTATGCAATCCTCAGTAAGTGATGTGGAGCTGTCATCACACTCCACATTGAGCATTGGTGAGTAAGTAAACCAACAGTAATGGTGGCTGAGTTAGTAATGCAGCACACAGTGAGTATTCGTCCGTGAACTGCCAATGCAATGCATAGTGAATAATGATGAGTGAGTTAAATAATACAGTGCACAGTGAGTAATAGGGAGTGAGCAATGCAGTGCACAAGGGTTTATAGTGAATCAGTTTGCAGTGTTGGGCACATGGAGTAATAATGAGTGAGTGAGCTAGCAATGCAGTCCATATTAAAGCATGGTGATGAGAATTATCTATAATATGGCATATTGTTTGTCAAATTTCATTATATCTTAGTCTTGGTTGCTGTATAATAATTGCAGATCAAATCGACACTGCAGGAACTCTTACAATTTCATCTCATTGACTTGGTTGTAGTGATTGGAGTCCCCTTGTATGATTTTCAAGCAGTTTAACACTACGTAAGGTTCCCTGGCCCCCACTGGAGGTATGGCTAAGGCAGAGAATACACACTTCCTTGTAGCTATACCAGCTCATACCAGCAGTGGGCGTTGTGAAAGGCTAAAATTGCTCAGCTGACATGCGGAGCCAATCACAGCCACCCATTGCTACTCAAGCTAATACTTTCTCTTTAGCCCAAGCAGCAGGGGTGGGCTGCTGAAGACTCTAGTTTAGCATTAAAACCTTTTCATTCTGAATGGAAAGATGGCACCAGAGGACACTATAACCACTTCAATTAGAAGCAGTTACAGTGCCTGCAGTCTGTTGCTGACTAGGACAGCCATTGCAGAGTCAGTGAGCTAGGGCAGTGTCAATGCATTATCTGACATCTTGAGAGAACTTGTGCAACAAAGCATGAAGCAGTTTTGAGGCATCAATTAATTTTATTGCAGCCCTCAGGCTTGTGACATTTTCCCTTTTTCTATTATCCTATTATGATGCCTGAATTGGCGTGCAAAGCTTTGTTACATCTCAGAAGGTTCGGTTACAATTTTCCTCTGGCAATGTTGTAAATTTTGGTTTACAAGAAATTTTGTTTATCGGAGGTATGATGACAGAGCTTGCAGGTTTACTATTGTGTGTCTATCATTTTTAGAAGAGAAGATATTATTTAATATAATAAGGTTAATATTTGCTGTCGGATCTGTATGGTAAATAATTTATATCACAAAGGGACTTCTTATGTACCAGGGGGGATAAACTACAACAGACATTACCTCAAAACAGCAGAACAAATGTATAGGGATCAATGATGGTTCCAAAGCAATTCTCTGTGTTTGTAATCAATATTCTGAAAGCACTGCTTTAAATAAACGAATAAATCATGGGGCATTGAATGTAAGTAATAGTGGATAATATATATATATAATTTATTTTTTGCTTATAATTAAAGGGCGTAAATAAAACATTAATTTTAAATCACCTACAAACTGTGTTAACCTTTTTTCATGATATGCTCTATTTTCCTTTAAATTCGTGTTTTAGGCTTTGCAAATGACACCTCAAACGAGTTAAGGCAAGGCAAAGCCAATGCTTAGTTGCGAATGTAGAGGGGAAATAGAAACGTTGTTTCATTTCTCACCTTCTTTCTATGGTTTCTATATGTAGACTTCCTGCTGCTAGCTAGAGAGCTTGTAACATTGATTGACAGGGAGCTAAGATGGAGGCGCCCAGTTGCAGGATGAATAGGTGTGGATTTCTACTTTTAACTACATTTTTCACACTTCATATATACAGATTTGTTAAACGGGGGATAAGTAAACATAGTGTTAAAAATTCTGAGAAGTGACAGTTTCCCTTTAACCCCTTAAGGACACATGACATGTGTGACATGTCATGATTCCCTTTTATTCCAGAAGTTTGGTCCTTAAGGGGTTAAAGAGACACTCTAATCACCATGACCACTAAAGGTTAGTATTACGGTGTTAGTAGTATATGGATACATTCTGACAGTTTTGAGGTGGTTTGACATAAAACAGGACTCTAAATGACCCAATCTGAACATCAATGACCTATTTAGACCACTAAACTAACCTTCCCCTAGGACTAGGTATCCATTCTCTGCATTATTGCTGAGGGTGAAGAGCAGGTGGTTTGTGGATTAGTGATTTTACAAAATCAGGGTATGGTGCGCATAGTTTTATAGCACAATAAGCATGACAATGAGCTGTAGATATTAAGGTGCTTAGGATCCCTTCCACTAAGATGAAAGTTATGCGAATTAACAGAAGGATTGCAGGTTTAGGCCAAAGGAGTTTGAAAGATACCAGAGTTGCAGATTTGTCTGCACTTTAACCACTTGTCATGCCTCCTGCCCTACCTGGACGCTGGTGACACATATTTTTCTGGCATCAGTTGTGATGTAGGCCATTCTTATTGGCACTCTGTCATGCACAATGACATTTGCTTTATTTTTTTGATGCTGTACCCGTCCTCGTCATTCCAGCTACGCAAGTCGTGTGTTTCTGATTCATTTTTGAAGCGCACCTATAGGAAAACCTATATATAAGGGATCTGTCCTCTTTGCCCTGTCATGGCCTCTGTTACTCGAGAGTGTGTTTGGACTTGTGATGAGCGATTTTGTTTCTGACTCGGCTTTGATCTCTGACTACTCTGACCTCTGGAATCTCTGACTTTGGCTCTATTTAACCATTCTGCCCATTCTTTGTACTTCTTGAACCTGGACTATTTACTCACGTCTGTTGCAGACTGTATTTTACACTTCCATATGTTACGGCTGTCCACCTTGAGAATCAGTAATAATTCTTTCACGTAGTGCAGGATACTCATAGCCCTGAGGTTTGCGTATTGGGGTGTTTAGCCTTGACACAACTTGGTTGGAGATTTTTTTGCAATTCATCCACTTTGGCCCAAACATTGCAATACCCACAATTCCAAATTTAGTAAATAAATCTCATAGCTTATCATCACCACATCTGCCTCTGTTTCTTGCTCAGGCACAGCTACCTGAGCCCATTGAACACTTTTATCTTAATACAGATAAAAGGTTTGGGTAATTTCCTCTGGGCACCAGGCCCAAAACACTTTAGTGATGTTTTAGCAATTAATACCCACAACATTTTGCAGATTTCAGAAAAATTCTCACCTCCGCCTGGGATTAAATGGTATTTATCGTGGTATCTATCAATTGTTGTTTGATACAAGTCACAGTAGTTCTAAGCTTCCAAGTCACATTGCTCTTTAATTAAAGGCCAAGGAATTTCCATTTCACATGGGGTGGCAAATGCTTTTATTAAATGTATCAAACATTCCTACTAAGTAATCTTTATAATACTCAATTAAATGAATTCAGTCATAGAGAAAGATCTCTTCTTCCACATGTACCCACCCATGTTAAGCTCCTGTTTGGATATGGGATTTCCTGATTTCTCAGAGTGTTGACCTATGTACTCTTTCCCAAGTCTCTAAAGGTTCCCAGTGCATAATATCTGCTTTGCATACAGATCGCTCGTACAGAATTATAAGAGAAACATAAACAATAAACACAATAAGTAATATTTGAGGGCTAATGTATGTAAGCATGCATATATGTAGCTCACAATTTCCACTTAGCCTTTGGCTAGTGAAAATTTAGCCCTGGCATGTATTCTATAGCCCAGGGGTGGGCAATCTGCGGCCCTCCAGATGTTTTGGACTACGTCTCCCATAATGCTCTTAGGGCCATAATGCTAGCAAAGCATCAAGGGAGATGTAGTCCAAAACATCTGGAGGGCTGCAGATTGCCCACCCCTGCTATAGGCTATTGTGGCCTCTTTGTAGCATAGAACTGCAGATTGTAAACCCTGTGCATGTACGTATATATAAAAGAAACCCTGCCTTCAAACCTGCTTACATCCCAAACTCATAGCCCAACCATGTAAAAACATCCCATATATTTACCCTTTAAAGAATAAAATGTAAACCATCTGACAGTAATTACTACAACGCTTTACATTCACTTTACAGATTCTCAAACCCAGCGACAGCAAAAAGACTAAGATGGCTTTGAAGCAAATGTTAGATTTTGAGCTGGCAGAATTGTACATTCTGGTCAGTTTTTGTATTAATCCTAAAAGTGATTATTTCCTTTTCACATTTTTTCCCCAGTACACATACATGAAATGGTAAATACAAATTTTGCAACAAAAACAGGAAATAACTCAATACATCCTACAGTGCCCTCCACAAAAATTGGCACCCTTGCTAAATATGAGCAAAGAAGGGTGTGAAAAATTGTCTTCATTGTTTAACCATTTGATCTTTTGTTAACAAAAATACTCTGTTTACACAACAGAGATTTATGATTTAAAAAAAAAATAAAAAAAATAAAAAAAAATAAAAAAAAAATATATATATATATATATATATATATATATATATGTATATATATATATATATATATATATATATATATAAAAACAAACTATAAACAGATAGCACTCCAAGGACTTGTTAGTATGATGAAAAAAAGTATCAACTTAGCTTTTATTCAGCAGTATGCCATAGTGAAACAACGTTTCAGTTGCCAGTGGAACTGAAATGTTGTTTCACTATGGCATACTGCTGAATAAAAGCTTAGTTGATACTTTTTTCATCATACTAACAAGTCCTTGGAGTGCTATCTGTTTATAGTTTGTTATAATTTTGCTGACAAGCACCGGGCTAATTTTATTGCTTATACTGGAATGCAAGCATTGGATATTTTATATACATATATATCTATATCTATAGATATATATATAGATGTCTCTCTCTATATATACATATATGTGGCGCCCCTATGAATTCATATGAGAAAAATATATTATAGAATATTCCCATTGACAATTTAGATTTTTAGTACACCTGGGCAATTAAGGACAGAAAATGATTTAACCATAACTTCCTGTTTCACAGGGATGTAAATATGAGGAAACACATAGGCCAAAATCTCTTACACATTCATCACAATGGGTAAGACCAAGGAATATAGCTGTGATGTGCGGCAAAAAGGTTGTTGAGCTTCACAAAATGAGAAGTGGCTATAAGAAAATAGCAAAACCATTGAAAATGCCAACTTCCACCATCAGGGCAATACTTAAGAAGTCAACTTGAAATATTATCAATCAACCTGGAAGAGGACGTATCTATATTGTCTCATTGCACTGTCAAGAGGATGGTTCAAGTGGCCAAATAAATCTCCAAGAATCAAAGCTGGAGAATTGTACAAGTTGGTTGTGTCTTGGGGTTAGAAAGTCTCCTAAACTATAATGTGACATCACCTACATCACCACAAGTTGTTTGGAAGAGTTTCAAGAAAAAAGCCTCTAATCTTCTTGACACTATTGGAACTTCAGGTGTTTTCACCGAAAGGTTTTTTTTTTTTTTTTTTTGTGTTGCAATTGTTTGATAGCCACAAGAGTAGAGTATTGTGTAAGATCAAAACGTTAAACAGTAAAGACAAATTTTCACAGCTTTCATTGCGCATGTTTTTCGAGTGCCAATATTAGTGGAGGACACTGTACCTGCATGGTAATTAGTTAAAAGAACTCTTTAAGAACCAAAACCACTTTATCCTAATGCAGTTGTTTTGGTGCAGAGATTATATCATTTTACATGGAAAAAGTAAAACAGCGCCCTTTCTAAATATTAGCAATTTTTACATTTGTCTGAGAACACACCTCTTGAGGCTGTCAAATTTACAGCCATCAGAGACACTTTTTCCTTAAGGCCTTCAATTTTCAAAGGTCTTCACTTACAACATGATGACACCAAAAGCAGCTAATACTTATATAGAGAAGCATTGGATTCAAAGCTTCTCTATGCGAAGCAATAGAACGGCAGATTGTCCTATTTCTCCAATGCTTCTCTACTCCATAATCAATCCTGATGACACACTAAGTCTTCATTGAATACTATTCTACCAATCTACTTCCCTTACCTTTTGTGTCACTTTCCCACACTCCCTCCTTCATGTAAGCTCATTGAGCAGGCCACTCAACCCCTTGTTTCTGTGCGTTAAACTTGTCTGGTTACAAATACATGTTTGTTACTAGATGGTTGTTAGTCCACCCATTGTAAACCGCTATGGAATTTGTTGGCACTATAAAAATATAATAATAACAATGTCACAGAAAGGGTATTGAATCGAAAGCAGAAAGGGACACTCAGATGTTAACAATAAATATATTTATTTTTAATGTTAGCGTTCCTTTAACATTATAACACGGGCATGTAATGACAGCATCCCTATTAAAAGTGCATATAGGCTTCTGTTAAAGAGCAATAAATAGCAACACATTGTCTAGATCTAACACAACTGACAAGAGCTGAATCACAGAATACAGGAATTCAAAGTGATTTCAACATTTACTAGGAGAGAAACTTGATTTACTGTATTCTTTTAAAACTAGTTCTACCCAATATTGTCAAGTATTTTAAAGCAACATACCTCCTCCAGTCCCTCTTACTAACTTCCTCTTAAAAGGCAACATCTTGGGTCAATACAGGAGACTAATTCTATAAATGGAGCATAATAACTCCATGTAACCAATAAATCATTGACTCCATATTTTTGGGGGGGACTCATATCATATCAATTATTACCCATTCTCAGCAAAACCATTTATTCTATCTTATTGCAACACATGGCACTTAAGATTCCTGATCAATCCTCCGCTCTAACAAAGCAGAGATGTTGTGCAACCTGTTCAGTTGTCTAACAGTGTTTGCATATTAGTCAGAGGTGACATATTCCAAGGCAAACTTTCTACAACTTAAAAAACGTAAAAAGTTACTTTAAGCAACATGGTGCCAGATATCTCCTGGTATCTTCCCATGCTAAGTATTCAAACCATTTATGAATCGTTTGACACTTACCCCGATCCCTAGAGCACCCATGGCCTGGTCCCTTTTGAGCTAAACTGGGAGATCCATTTCTAATTTAGGTGTATAAAATATTTTTTCTGTTTGGATGGAATTTATAGGCTGAGATCTTCATTTGATGTTCTCAACCAATTACTTCCATCCAAAGATGCAAAGATTTGATGTCACTAATACGGAAGAAGGAACTTTCATTTTAGTATTACCTGAAGAGGGGACAGACTGCAAGTACCTAGAGAAACCAGGTAAATGTCAAACCATTAAAAAAATGTTTCCAAATTACCTTGAAATAGAAACAGTAGACTCCTGGCACCATAACCTGCACAGAATGCTGTAGAGGCTATGGTGCACATACTTCCCCTCTAAGCATTACCAACTGCACAACTAAATGACCACTACAGTTCAACAGCTACATTGTAGAAATTCTTTATACATGACCTGCATATTTTATAAGGAGTATATTCACTTTGTAATTTCATGTGTCATTACCTAATAAATATTACAAACTGTCCCACAGATTATGCAAAAGGCACAAGATTTCATGAACACAGTTACACTTTATCTGTGGAGTGGGTAACCTTTTTTTGGTTTTTTACATTTTGAGATTTCGAGAGGTTTAGTCTATTGTACTAATAATTTGCAAGAATGCAAGAAACGTTTTGAAATATCAACTGGTGATCTTTCTCTAGGCACTGTTGAAGAAAGTCTAACTCATACAAACCAGCATGGGTGGGAATCATAGTCATGTGAACTGAAGTCCATCATAGACGTGGGCTGCGGTTCAACAGTTGGAAGCTAGATTGTTATTATTCTTGCAGGAATCTATAAAAGTAGCCCAAGTTTCAGTGATGTCAAAGCAAAAGAAAGAATGTACAGTATCCAGCAAGGACAATGTTTGACGTGTGTTTGTGACTAAAGAACATTTGTCAACATTCAGTGCCATTATTTTTAAACCGATTGCAAAATGCCAGACTTCCTCGAGAGAGACCATAGTTACAGAATTCCCTTTAATGATAGATATGACTCTGCCCCTATCAGTATTGTCAGTGAATGGCATTAAGCTGAATGTGATATATAAAGTCCTTGTATATCCTTAAAGGGATACTATAGTCACCAGAACCACTACAGCTTAATGTGGTGTTTCTGATGTCTGTAGAATGTCCCTGCAGGCTTTTTAATGTAAACACTACCTTTTCAAAGAAAAGTCAGTGTTTAGTTTGCTGGCTAGTAACACCTCCAGTGGTAGTCTCTAAGACGGCTAATACTGGTGCTTCCTAGCACAGTGTGGCTGAGATTGACACGTTTTATGATCTCAGACATTGAGGCAATGTCAGCCGCGGAGAGACCAGTGCATCTTGGGAGAAAAGGTGAATTAAAAGTACATTTTTTAGCACAATTGGAGCAGGGCTGGGGACCAAAACAGCTATAGACTATAGTGTCGGGAATTTTCTGACAACATCCTTTAAATACTAACCATGACTTTTACTTCATCCTTTTTAATGCTGTTAAAGCATTTGATGGATTGAGTTGTGTACAGATAAAGCGCAGTTACCTACTCTGAATTTCTAGTTGAGCAGTGCTGCCATTTTGCCACAAATGTACTATTCACATTTGTTGGACTTCTTTTTTATTTGATGAAAATGTGTGTTCTCAGGTTCATGTGACAATAATTGATTTAGATAGAATGATTGATCATGCCCAACATTTAATTAAAATGACAAAAACAAGTAAACATTTTTATTTTGGAAGTAAAAATTAACAGCTAACAGGTATTAGCATGTGACATTCCCTCTCTAACGAATTTTGGCACCTAAATTGTCTTTTCCAATCTCTAGATTTGTAGGGTTTTTGACTTGAGCTTTTCGTTATAGCCTGCACATGAATATTATCTTATGTAACATGAGTTTCAAAACCATAAAGAAAGGTATCAGCATCTGTATTGTGCATGCTCGAGAACCGGAAATTGTACATCAAGAGAATTGTGATTGTCTGCTCTTAGTTGGGTATATATTCTCATTGTTAATTGCTTTGTTACATAACAATATTGTGAGATTTGGGGTGTAGTACAGTCCACGTCCTTCCCATTCTGTGGTGGCAAATTTTATAAATATATAGCTCAAGGCATGCCAGTGATGGTCCTGGCTTTGGAACCGAATAAGAAAACGTATATGCTCGGAGGAAGGTCCAGCAGCTGACAACAGGTATATACTAACATTATAAAAAAGTATAACGTTTTCTGTTCCCATATTTAGTCTCTTAAACCGATTAGTGCTAGTTCCTAACTTGGTCTTAAAGGAACATACCAAGCACCATAACGACTACACCCAGGCACATGCAGCTCCTGCTTCCAGATTCTCCTTGCAGGTGACAGTGGTTAGCAACACAAAGACATCCAGCTTGTCCTGTAGGACATGATCACATGTAGTGCTAACACCAGGTTAGTAAGTTGTCAAACTGTTCTAAAATAATTCGACGATTTATACTTGGAGGATGCTGGGGCACTTCTGGCACCATAACCACAACAGCAACCTGTAGTGGTTATGGTACTTGGATTATTCCTTAAAGTAACACCAACAGTCCAGGAATGAGACATTTCCTCACTCTGCTCCAATGGGATAATGGCAAAGTAGGACAAATGGAAGGACATAGATTATACTGCACCCCAAATATCACAATATTGTTATGTAATGAAGCAAGTAGCAATGAGATGGCCTATGTATATCTCATATGATAGTTCCCCTTGAATTTTATATAGAAAAGTATGTTTTCTTTATGACAGTCACTGCTGCAGAATGGGAAAAAAACATTTACAGAAGGAATGCAGACTGTATCTTACAGTGAGTGCTAGTGAAAGGTGTTTAAAAACACACAACTTTCTTATTCTTTCAGTGTAGCTGAATTGTGTTCCACCATAACATAATCTTAACAGCCGGTCCCACATGTAATAACAGCCAGTCTCCTTCCGTGTATATACAGCCATCTGTAATACGAAGGGAAACATCTATACTATGAAAACATTTCCCAACACTGAACAGGACCAACCACTTTACAAAACAAGTGTACACAGGACAACTGCAAGCATTACACCCTCTCACGGCTATAGAATGCTACTCATTGTTAAGCTTTCATGGTTAGACTTTACATACTCCCTGAATTTCTGTGAGCTCCTGTAATGTAACCAAACTATTCAGAAAAAAGAACATATTTTTATATACACAAATGCACTTCAATGCTGTTTAAGCATTTGCAGTGGAGCTCTCTAACATAGCAAAAAAAAAAAATCACCATTATTTTTAACTCTGTCTTGGATTAAAATGTTATATTCATTTTGAGTTCCTATCAATTTACAAATAACATAGTATAATATTTTTGGTTTTATTGTTTATTTTTTTAATATGGAGCTCTGTGATACACTTACACAAACTGTACATTTATTGATGTACAGCTCCACAATACACTCCTACCACTCATACATAAAGCACCTTACTTTGAGTTTTAATTCTGTGGCATTCTGTGATAGTCTAACACACATCAAAGCACAATACGTATGCATTGTGCCCTAATAAAAAAGCAGAATTGAAGCTGGATAACTTGGTCCTAAGTTTGGGTAAAAAGTACAATCAAAATATATAAATAAATATATATTATACCCTATGTATGAGAGGAGCTAATGGCTAAGGATATTCTAAAACTATATCCAAAAACATCTATAGGTTTCCTAAAGTCTATGGTTTAGATGATGTGTTGGGACTTAGCAGTAGACATGTGCGATTCGTTTCGTTCCAAATGTACATTCGTACGAATTTTATGCCATTCGGACATTCGGATGCTTACGAATGTCCGAAATGCAGAAGTTCGGTAGTGCTGAAGCTCCAAAGAATTCTGAAAAGTTGCAAAACAATAGAGAGGGGTGAGATTTTGTGAATAATGACAGGAATCTTGACTAATAAGCTAATTCCTTTTGTACAATGTAATGCTTGCTTGCCCAATCTGGTTTCACTATTCCATGTCCAATGAAATTAGAAAAATTTTGTGATTGATGTTAGAGGACAGCCAATTAATGGTGATTTTGTCACTGACGCTTGGCCAATGAAGGCACACAGAGTCATTGAGGTGGGATAGTATATAAATCAGGCTGTCAGGGTGTTGGCTTGCTTTTCTGTGACGTAGACATGTGCTTTTCTTTTCGTTCCAAATTTACATTCATACAAATTGTATGCCATTCGGATGCTTACAAATGTCCAAAGTTTCGAAGCGTGGAAGTTTCAAATTGACGACATTCGGCAGTTCCGAAGTGCCAAACCGAATGCCATTGGTCCGAATTGCCAAAGTAGACAATTTTTTTTACTTACCCGAATTTCCGAACCAAACCCAATTTTTTGCCCATGCACATCCCTACTTAGCAGACTCTTTTATTGTTATTGTTTTTTATTTCATTTATATATGTTTGTTGTTTTCTGTGAGCTTTTTATTTGTTTTGTGGATTGTCGCTCTGGTGGGGCACCTGACTACCGGACCACTTACAGTGCTCATTTTGTGTACTAAATTGTGAGTGTATTTGCTCTATTAAATCCTTTCCAATACCATACAGTATTACACTATTGTGTTTTTTCTACTTCCCAACATTTTACAAAAGGAGGACTGACTACAGAAGAATTTTCCAGAACGCAATTATACCCTTTAAAGTGAGACACAGTGAAATATCTTGGCGTTGTTAGTGCAATACTAGCTCTTGCCCTTTTTTGTTCCTTACCCTATGTGCAGGGTATTATCTTTTCCAGATATACTTACCCATTCCGGATATACAATTTCACGTTCATGGAGTTAATTTCCATTTATCCTCCAGTCTGGTGATTTAATTGGAATTGTGTAAGTGGTTTATATAGCTGGCATTTACATGGCACATTTCAGCCCCTTTATTTTACTTGTTGTTTATCAGTAGGGTGTTAATATGAAGAAACAAGGTCTGTTGTATATCATATTTTACATAGATGTGGTTTATGTCTAGAGATCGGACCTGAGGGGCACAAAAGAAAACCGCATCACCCTGTAAAGTAACCAAGTAAATATTGTATTTCTTCAGCTCAATATACATAAATTAGAGATCACAGGGGGAACCATAATACTGGGAGCCTGGAACCTCTATCTTATGTTTTTTGTTCATTTATCACTTCCTCTAGGTCTCAGATGAAGTGCTAACAGCACGATATATGTAAGATAGTGGTCACAGTATGGTGTTCCCCCTGTGATCTCCAGTTTATTTATTTTTCAGGTGAAGAACTAAATGTATTGACGTTTGGCTTACTTTAGAAGGAAAGATTGTTTTCTTTGACGTTCCCCAACCCATAGATGTGTTTTAATATTAAAAAAGCCCAACTTTGTCACATACATAAATATAATCGATAGGTATATCCTCATTGTCCCTAGAGACAGCTGTGAATTCTCTGTTTCATTATTAATTTAAAGATAAGTATTTTATTCTGACTTCTGGACAGCAAGCCAACAACCGTGACAACCTTGTGTGGGTGGAAACTTCCTTTAAAATACTATATTTTATTTATACACCAAATCTACCTATTTATTATTCATCCAGCTGTTGTGTTGCACGCTGCCTTTACAGATCATATCTATAATTATTAGCACAACAAATGGAGACTCTGTAGTTAAAGGCACAGTACAGGGATGTGTGCCAAAGGTGTGGCCCCCTAATCCAACCTATTTCATGCCAGGTTCGGTAATTAGATTAGAAGGCGTCTGTCTATTGTCTGACTCAAGGAATGCATCTCTACTATTTTTACAACAATGAAGTGAAAACCTATTGGCCTTGTAGTACAGTATATTTGTATCCCTATTCTTCAGCTGTTAAAGAGAAATTGTCAGTTTTTCCATTTTTTTCTAATACCACCCTTATAACACATAGCTATTTTTTTTGCACAACCTGGCATATAATGCAAATTACCTGGCATTCTATGAATCCCCATTATTTAGTTGGATCCTTTAATAAATAATTACACTTCCTCATTCCTTAGCCTGACCATGTAATAACAGTTAGAGCAACCTGGAACCCATTTATTTTTTATCTGGACTGCGTAATATAGACTTGAAGGACATTGAACATCATTGTTTACCAGGACTAACTAATACAGATTAGGACATCCTAGAACTCCATGCTTTAGCAACACCATGTAACAAACTTAAGAATCCAGAGCTTCATTCTTTAGATGGACCAGATAATATAAACTTGAGGTCCACAGTAACCCATTTTTTAACTAGGCCGCACGTCATAAACCCAAAGAACCTACAGCCAAATTACTTACCTGATCTTACAGGGTGCAATGACAAATGATCGCAGGCACCTTTCACCATACATCTTTTTGTCTTATGAATCCTAGAATGCAAAAAGTAGGCAGGCTATCAAGTCTAGTTTATAGATGCCATTTCTTGCTTTAGAGAGCAGTGTATATATGATATAAATAAATATTTGCCTGAAATTCCTGACTCCAATCTGGCTGCCTCACCTTTCCCTGGATCAATCTATTTTTTCTACTTTTACTAACCTTCATTCTGAAAATTGTGTGTTTAACCATGCTAAAAATGAATCCGGGTGTTCCTTAAAGAGATTTATTATACTTAACAACCTCCCTCTTCAGTAAATTCTGTATAATTGTTGCTCTTCTAGTTAAGAGTTCAGCTTTGTTGAATTTGAAATATTTCCTCCACCTGTGCATTCTCCAACACTATACAGTCTTTATGACAAACATGTAATTCCGATCTTCGATGCACATTTTTCTAGGTGTACAAAATCAATGGCAAATGTTAAGTTCCAAATTTGGAAAAAAAACTAAATATGCCTTCCTGACCTATATTTTTCAACACATCACAATCAAAGTATAGCAAATCCTGTATTTTTTTAATGTCTAAAATTGCGGTATTAAATGTGGGGTTTACCATGGCTATATTACTTTAAATTATATGTTTCATCCACCATTCAGTGCTTTATATATATATATAGAGAGAGAGAGAGAGAGAGAGAACTCCATTTTTGTCTTTAATTCTATATATTGCTAGAAATGGATTGCAATTAGACTTAAGCAACTTCAGCTGGTACGAATGAATCTAATTATTTACATCTACGCCCAAACGAATCAATCCATCTGGGATTTTCCTGTGGAGTCTTATTCACTGAATAAGCAAAGCCTGGACAAATTAAAGCCTTTGGGCATATATTTAGGGAATTTGATTTGTTTTTGCCAACTGAAAATAATTTGTGCGCAGGTTTACATTTCCTCATAAATCCATCTCATGTAACTATATTCACAGTTTAGCAATCATTAGTGTGAATCTGTGTGAATTAGAGCAGATGTTGAAAACAGATCCATGGGTGACACTGATCAGTGCAAACATATGTGCAACCATAACTAGTACAGAACCACATGTGCTGCTGGCTAGTCAAATCCACATATGCGTGTGACTAGTGCATATCCACATTTGGCTCTGACTAGTGCAGATCCCTACTGTAGACACTTTTTGAATTCTATGAAGGCATTTACAGACAGGAGGGTGGGAGGTTGCACAAATCTTGATTTTCTGGTTTGACATCTCTCTTCTCACGCACATTTGCTTTTGAAGGGATGGGAAAAGGGGGAGAGCATGTCTTCCCTTTGTGTGAGGGATGATGACTGAGCTACCCTAATGCCGAAACTGAATTGCTATACAATGCACATGGAAAGTGGCCGTGCACCAATGTTTTGTGTGACGATTATTCTTTAAAATGCACTCTTTGGATCATATAAAACCTTTTCAAAACAGCAAACTGCTCTTAACACATGAATAGGAAACTAAACCAAACTCTTAAACATAGTGATATCTATGTTACATGTCAAATATTCCAAATTATCATGTTCACATGGTGAATATCTTGAATATATTCACAGTAAAATGACAAAGGAAAGTTGGCACATTTTTCAATTACTATTTAAAGTAAAACAATATGTGTATTATAAAATGTATTATATGGGTGTATTAATTTGTAATGCATACTTATAAGTAAATATCACTTTTCAGTTCATTATTCTTGCTGTCAGGTGGCAGCCATCTTTAAGACCTCTTTGGTCAAAAGTATTGCTTCTCAGGTAACAAAGACTTGGTGTATACAAATCGTGACATCATGTGCATGCACTGGGCATCTCAGAAAATACACACTTGGATGGTTTCAGATCTTTAAATTGTGCAGATAAGTAGAGCCTCTGACAAAAGAGGCTAAAGATGGCTGCCCCCACAGAGCCACGATTTAGTAACATATGTGTATCCATTGCCAAATAAAACACAAGGCCATATTGCATGTCATCTTTAATTTTCATTAATTATAAAAAGCAGTGACAGTTTTCCTTTCATATGTTTTAGGAATACAAATAGATATTACTGCAGATAGTGCTAGCACTTTCAAGTTATCACAAGTTAAACACGATCCTTTCGGGGCAGGTCTAGTGACACAGTTCGCGTCACTGGCCTGTGCTCCTATTACTTACTCACTTGTATCCCTCAATGGACATGGAGTGTTTGGAGATAGATAATTTAAAAGAAAGTTGCAGCAAATGAATAGTTTTGGAGGAGGCAATAGAGGACATACCCTAGTGCAGGGATAGGCAACCTTCGGCACTCAAGATGTTGTGGACTACATGTCACCTGATGCTTTGACAGCATCATGCCTATAAGAGATTAGTTGTAGCCCACAACACCTGGAGTGAAGGTTGCCTACTCCTGTACTAGCGTACAGAAGCAGGGCTTGCTTTGATGGAAGGTTGCATGTGTAATTTAAAGAAAATCCGTTAGAAAAATTTGGATCAGAGTTAGGCAATCTCCAGCACTCCAGATGTTGAGGAGTGTGGACTATATCTTCCCTGATGCTTTGCTAGCATTATGGCTGTAAGACCAGTATTGGAGATCCAGTCCACATCTGCAATGTCAAATGTTGTTTACCCCTGATTTAGATAGCACTTGGAAATAAAAGTAAACAATGAGGTGTAAGGTTAATGGTGATTTAGGTAACAGTCAAGACTTTTAATGTAGTAGTAAAAACAATTGAGTCTGCGTAGCCAAGGAAAGAGTTGGACATTTTAGTGGTGGGTGAGACGAAAGTCTAGCTGAGGTATTATTTCTGGATTTTCCATTGGGAGAGGCTCTGGGGGAGCAGGCCTATTAGGATGGACTTGTGGTAATCCAAAGTGGACTTTGCTTGTGAGTGGATTAACATATTGATTAATGAATGTCTAGCTGACATATTAATCATGGATTTACCATAGGAAGAGGCTCCGGAGGGGGTGCCCTAACAGGATGGACTTATAGTATCCAAAGTGGACATAACTACTGAGTGGATTAACATTTTGATTATATCTAGTGCTGGGAATGAATGAATCATTGAAATATAACAATGAGACAGTAGGTAGGATAATAAAACATATCATTTAGCATTTTAAGTTTGAAGCACGGGGTTGTCTTTGAGGAAGCAACCTCAGATAGATTGTTACAAAAATAATGTAATAATTCTGGTAAGGAAAGGTCCAGATTATCAGCATGTAGATGGCTCTGAAACCAAGAGGAAGATACATATGTAAAGTGCAGGAGGGCTAAAATTGGGCTTTGAGATAGCCAAACAGTGTGGAGACACTGGATGAAGAGAGAGCAATAGGAATGTACCTTGAGTCAATTTAGAAGCAATTATTAAGTTCATTTAGTAATCAAATCCGCTAAATAGTGATTTTTTTTTTTTTTGGAGACCACGTTATGAGCTGTGTTTCCTGGAGATCATCTTTTCTAGACCACGTAGTATTGGGATTATATGAAAATGTTTAGCCTGGATAATAAAAGGACCTCTTTAAAGTTACAGAGACATGGAAGATTAAGTAATGTGATTTGCCACAATCACGATCCTTATATTAAAGCTTCCTGACAATTGTCATGCCTCTATTTTAATGACTGTAACAAACTAAATGTCCCCTCTGATGAGCTTCACTGGCGAAACGCGCACTTCAGGGTCTCTGATGTCTCTCTTTGACTTAAAATATTGAAGGAATTAACAGGTTTCTCACATGATATTGTTATGGTCTAGTTTATAACTTTATATTACCTTACATTTCCCTGAGCTTCATTTTATTAGATTAGTTTTTCTTTTTGCTTCAGAGCTGCTTTTTATACCGCTACTTTGATTAGCAATAAGGGGGTGGGTTTGGGGCTTTTACGTGGGGTGCCCTCGAAGGCATGGTAGTAAGCTATCAGGACCAGCCTATTGAGGTACACTTCCTCCCGTTTTTCCACTGTTTAGCCAGGACCCCCCTGTCTCTCTCCTCGGCAATTGCTACTACACCCTGTTCCAAATTATTATGCAAATTATATTTTTCTCATTTACCTAAATAATTTATGTAAATAACAGTCAGCATAATTCTCATGTTATCAACTATTAAGAGTACAATTCAAATTTTATTGAACAAACCTCCTAATGATAACAGTATTTTTTTAAACATAAAAAACTTACAATGCACTGTTCCAAATTATTACGCACAGTAAGTTTCAAAACACTTTATAGGTTGTAAAGAACTGAAAATTGTCATTTGTTGTGTTTGAAATAGCTTTTGATTTCAGTAAATATGCTGCAATCAAACTTATAACGACATTTTAACTTTTTAAACATTTTAACATAGGACCCCTTATTTGATAGCAACTTCACAAGTCTTGCATCCATTGAACTTGTGAGTTTTTGGACAGTTTCTGCTTGAATTTGTTTTCAAGATGTCAGAATAGCCTCCCAGAGCTGCTGTTTGGCTGTAAACTGCCTCCCACCTTCATAGATCTTTTGCTTGAGGATGCTTCAAAGGTTCTCAATAGGATTGAGGTCAGGGGAGGATTGAGGCCACACCATGACTTTCTTTCCTTTTATCCCCATAGCAGCCATTGATGCAGAGGTATTCTTTGCAGCATGGGATGGTGCATTGTCATGCATGAAGATGATTTTATTATGGAAAGCATAGTTCTTCCTTCTGTACCAGGGAAGAAAGTTGTCAGTCAGAAACGCCACATACATTGCAGAGGTCATCTTAACACCTTCGGGGACCCTAAAGGGGCCGACCAGCTCTCTTCCCATGATTCCTGCTCAAAACATAACTCCACCACCGCCTTGATGATGTCGCCTTGTTGGAACAGGGTGGCCATCCACCAACCATCCACTACTCCATCCATCTGGACCATCCAGGGTTGCACGGCACTCATCAGTGAACAGAACTGTTTGAAGATTAGTCTTCATGTATTTTTCTGCCCAATGCAGCCGTTTCTGCTTGTGAGCATTGATTAGTGGTGGCCAAATAGAAGGTTTATGCACAGTTGCAAGACTCTGGAGGACTCTACACTTTGATGTCCGTGGGACTCCAGAGGCACCAGCAGCTTTAAATATCTGTTTGCTGCTATGTAATGGTATTTTAGCAGCTGCTCTCTTGATCCGATGCATGGATCTGGCAGAAATCTTCCTCAATGTGTCTTTATCTGCACAAACCCGTCTGTGCTCTGAATCAGCCACAAATCTCTTAATAGTGCGATGATCACGCTTAAGTTTTCGTGAAATATCTAATGTTTTCATACCTCGTCCAAGGCATTGAACTATTTCACTCTTTTCAGCAGCAGAGAGATCCTTTTTCTTCCCCATATTGCATGAAAATGGTGCTCTGCTTAATAATGTGGAACACCCTCCTTTAGTAGTTTTTCCTTAAATTGGGCTCACCTGGCAATCTAATTATCGAGATTGTTTTCAGTGATCAAAAGAGCCCTGAGACACAGTGACATCCATGAGTTAAACTGAAAAACAAAATATTTAATCTTTGTGACACTTAAATAGAATTTGCATAATAATTTGGAACAGGGTGTAGTTTATCCTCTGTCTGCTTTATCTTTCATATACTGTACTTACCTTATCTGCCTAATGTTGACATTCTGCTAAGGAGGATCCCTTATCTCCCACTACAGCACACTGATTGAGTGCTGACATATAACATACAAACCAGCAATCTTCACTTGCCGATGATGGTGATTATCTAATTCCGAATAGAGGCTCACTGTGAAATAGACAGGCTGGCTATATATCTAGTTAGGGGCAATTGGTGTCCTATTTTTTTTAATATATATATATATATATATATATATATACCCTGTTTTTTCCCCAGATATTATCTCTCCTTCCTACGTTGTGTTGGCAAATTGATTTAGTACAGCGCAACTTCTTATTCTTGCACAGACTTGAATATACAAATTTTTTTACCTTTTTTTATGTTACTATTTTTATTTTGATGTCATTAAAAGTTAAGTTTTATTCTTCTCTAGTTTTGGCTACATCATTATTACCTACATTTTTAGAATTTCCTGGTTAGCTCCTTACTTAACAGCTACTGGCAATTGTTTGTTTGCATCAGCAATTTAGTGTTACCCCTTCCCCCGATTCTAAGGTGTGTGTTTTCACTCAGTTTTTTATTTTCTTATAACTCACTAAATCACCTATTAATCTTTTTTTATTTTTTATTCTTTATTTTATGTGGTGCGTAGGTATACAAGCAGACTTGCAGAGACACCACAGCTAACGCAAGTATTATGAAACAACATAGTAATACATATGTGTGGCATAACTGGTAAACTGCACATTTTACAATAGTACTGTAGTGAGGGCTAAGTCACAGGCATCAGAGAGTGGTAGTTATGTCATGTGAGAACCATAAGAAAGGAACCTTCTGTGACCAAGATTGATGAGAACTGCAGTAGTCACATTGACAGTAAAGTAAAGATTAAGCGTTAGAGCAAGTTAAGCATGCAGGCTCAGCGTTAGATATGGAGGTTAGTACACAAGAAATGCATTGAGCTTGGTATTGCTACATAAACATAGTTTGTGAACACCCCATAAACCCCCACCTTGGGTAGTTGGATAGTAAGGCGTCAGAAAAAAAAAATGAGTCAGGATATAAACACAGGGTCCTTGCAAGGATTTTGCCGCCCCAGGCACACAAAAATTTGCTACCCCCCACCCTCCCCATATGTTCTGCCCACCATGTGACATCAAAAGGCTCCACCCATATGATCTGCCATATGGACCAACACCAGTTCTGCACGCTGTGTCTTTTATCTGAAAAGGCAGTGTGTACACATTAAAAAGTCTGCAGGGACAGGCTATAACCACCAAAACCACTACATTAAGCTGTGTTATTGTAGAGTATGTAATGTGTGTGTTCTTATGAAATGTAGTGTATAGGGATACCAATTTGTATAAGGGATGTAGTGTGTGTGTATAATGGATGCAATGTGTGTTTGTGTGTAAAATGTATTGTGTTTCTGGGTGTGTGTGTAAGGGATGCAAGGTGTGTTTCTGGGTATGAAATTTAATGCATTGTGTGTCTGTAAGGCGTGTATTGAGTGTGTGTAAGAGATGCATTTTGTTTCTGTGTGTGTGTAAGATAAGCAGTGTGTGTGTGTGCATAAAGGATGCATTGTGTGTTTCGGTGTGTCTGTGTAGGAATGCATTGTGTATGTGTGTAGTGTGAAAGAGAGGGTTTGTGGGGTAGGATAGGGGCTTAGAGGGGAGCAGCTCTTTACTTTTTTATAGTGCTCTCCCCTCCTGTCCCTCAGTACTCTCCCCTCCTGTCCCTTAGTGCTCTCTCCCTCCCTCCCCTCCTGTCCCTTAGTGCTCTCCCTTGCCCCCTGCCCCTTAGTGATATTCCTTCTCCTCCAGTCCATTATTGCTCTCCTCACACGTCCCTTAGTGCTCTACTCTCCCCACCCCCCGTCCCTTAGTAATCTCCCCTGTTCCTCAGTGCACTCTCCTCCCCTCCCTTAGAGCTGTCCCCTCGGCCCTTAGAGCTCTCCCCTGCCCCCTAGTGGTGTCTCCTCTCTTCCCTGTTGCTCAGTGTTCCTCTCCCCTCCATGTCTCTTAGTGCTCACCCCCCTCTTAGTGGTCCTCTCCAGTCCCCTCTCCCCCAACCCCTTAGTGTTCCTCTCACTCCCCCAGTGGTCCTCCCACCCCCTCCTTAGTGGTCTTCCCTCTCCCCAACCGCTTAGTGTTCCTCTCACTCCCCCTTAGTGGTCCTCCCACCCCCTCAGTGGTTATCCCTCTCACCCCCCTCTTTATGGTCCTCCCTCTCCACAACCCCTTAGTGGTTTTCCCTCTCCCCCCTTCCCCTCTTAGTGGTCCTCCCTCTCAACCCCTTAATAACCCTTCCTCTCCCCAACCTCTTAGTGGACCTCCCTCTCCCCCCTTTACTGGTCCTCTCCGGTACTGTTGTGCCTCCTACTTATCTTTGTAGCGTTGCCTGGCTGCGCGGACCGCGGTACAAGAGCTTCTGTTTGAGTACTTCCTGTCAGTCCGGCCAGTAACCAGGTAAACAGAGGCTCCTGTACCGCGGTTTGCACCGCCAGGCAAAGCTACACTGAGTGACTGGCAGGAGTGATCTCTGTGCGCTTCCCTCCTGCCAGGTCACTCAAATCTGGCGCCCTCAGACTGGTGCACCCTAGGTGACTGTATAAGCATAAGATTAGGCTCAGAACATAAATTTGAAAAAAACTAAGGTTTGCAATGTGAAGGCTGAGGGGAGAGCTCAATTAAGCCGATACCCTATAGGGGTCTGGTATAGTTCTGCTGTAATCTGGCTGTCTTCAAGCCATAAGGAAGGTGCAGCAGGTTATGACCGGGATAGGGAGCGATAACTCACGCTGTGAGCCAGCTGCTTGGGCAGGCACGAGGGTAAGTCCTCTTGGCTTGATATAAGTTGGCTGATTCTGTGCCGCATTCACCGACCCGCAGTACCTCCACCTTCTCCGCCACTTGTGGGACTTGTCTGGCATATGCTGGGAAGGGACTAGTAATTTTTTTTTCTGCGTGATTCTCTGTTTTCTTTTAAATTTACATGAAAGATTTGGTAAATAACATCACAACCCAGCTCAGTCCAGGCAAGGCCAGGGCACACTTTGCATTATGAGAGGAGAAATAGAAAGAGCCAGGGTTACCACTGAAAATAAGGAAGAGAAGTAGAAACATTTACTGAGGTGACAATTCAAAGTGAATTTCTAATTTTAGGTAACTGGAAAAAGAAATCTCTAAGTCAGCTATGCTTTCATTTTGGCTACTCTAGCCTTGTAGTTGAAATTCACCTTGAATTTACTATGAATTCTCACTTTGGTAAAAATAACCCTGATTTTTTTTAAATTTCTCCGCTTACTCTTTGCTGACTGCCATGTACAAAGGACACAGCTCATAACAGTGACTGGCAGGGAACAAAGAAGTGTGGATTTCTATACTTAAAGAATCACTATAGTGTCAGGAAAACAAAGCGGTTTTCCTGACACTATAGTGCCCTGAGGGTGCCCCCACCCTCAGGGTCCCCCTACCGTGGCATTGAAGGGGGTTAAAACCCCTTCAGCAGCTTACCTTATTCCAGCGCCGGGCTCCCTCTGCGCTGGTGACCTCTCCTCCCCTGTCGACGTCAGCTCCCCCTGCCGACGTCAGCAGAGCCGAATGCGCATGCGTGACAAGTGTCGCGCACACATTCAAGCTGTCAATAGGAAAACATTTCTCAATGCTTTCCTATGGACGCTCTGCGCGATGGAGGCATAATATGCCTCCAGCGTTGCAGATGCGCCTCTAGTGGCTGTCCGGAAGACAGTCACTAGACGCTGGCTTAACCCCAAATGTAAACATAGCAGTTTCTCTGAAACTGCTATGTTTGCATCTGAAGGGTTAAAACTTGAGGGACATTGCACCCAGACCACTTCACTGAGCTGAAGTGGTCTGCGTGACTATAGTGTCCCTTTAATTTTGCACCCTTGCTAATTCATATTTTTTAAATCTAGGAGATTCATAAACATAATATTACAGGGACTCTAAGCAGCAGAGTGGTCCTGATGTAAAGATTTTTTTCTGAGAATAGGCAGTTCGTTTACATTGCTTCCTATGGCCACCCTAGTGTCTGTCACTTAGACAGCCACTAGTGGGTCTTTTTAACGCAGTCCTGCAATCAGTCTTTGTAGGACTGATGTTCAAAGTTTTCACACTCAGCATAGACGCACTAAACACTCCCCATAGAGATGCTGATTGGTGCAGTACGGTGATTTCCTTTATATGCACAATAGCCCCTCAGTGCTTTCTACAGGGAAACACTGGATTGGCTAAGATCATCAGTAATGATGATCTCAGTGAGGGGAGGTGCAGTGGCTATGGCAAGACTGGTTTGCCAGGGGATACATCAGACTGCCTTTTTTATTACTTCTAGGGTCAAATATATATAAAAAATAGTATAACTGTCTTAGGTTAGGAATACATGTTTGTAATACTAATGTTAGGGGATTGTTTCTTTTAAATTCCTGGGCAATGTCAGTTCCCCTTTTAACTATTCTAAAGAGGATATGAAAAGTATATTGCATAACTGTTTTAATAATAATAATAATTTGCAAATTTTATAGCGCTTTTCTCACTGTGAGATTCAAAGCACTTTACAAGTAATGTGTATTTACTGTATGTTGATAGTATTACATTAGAAACAGACCTTTTGTTTCTTCAGTTACGTTATTCCCACCAGCTGGCGTAGAGAAACGATGTAATGTAGTAACGGATGCGTTACGCGCAAATTCCACGCATTTCAAGGTGACTGAAAATGGGGACATGGGGTTATTCACTAAAGTGTGAATTGTGATCAAAATGAATCCAAAGAGTCTCACATTTTGGGCCAAAAAAGCTGAACTGTTAAAATATCCAACTCGGCTGTTACAGTTTTCAACTACTTTGGCCACAGAAGATTCTAGACAATTTACACTTGAACTGGCAGAATTTGATGGTACTTTAAGTAAACCTAGGTAGGTGATTTGCTTACTAGCATTTTTATAACCAACCCCACTCAGAACACTTGGCACCAGAAATCCAACAGTACAACTGAATATTTACTCACATATTAAATACAGGTTGTCACAATAAAGTCAGTTTTGTTCCATTAAAGTGTTTTCCAGGCAGAACCAGGCAACTTGAGACAAACTCATACATTTCACTCAAAGGCTTATTCACAGACCTTTATTTCTTATTAGTATGTTTTAATCCCTTAATCGCTGCCTGAATTGTGGTTCTTTAGCTAAGGACACACTTAACTCTCAGGTTAGGTAAATGACAATAAGCGTTATAGTGCTGGTACAGTTGTATCTTTCTTTTTTGTAATGAATTTTTTTTAACCTGCTTTGTAATAAGCGCAAAAACAAAAAATAACAAAAAAGGCAAAAGTATGCCTTTAAAGGCATACTCAAATCACCATAACCACTACAAGACGCTGTAATGGTTGTGGTGCCAAGAGTTCCCTGACCCTGTCCAGTGGTAAACTGCCAAATCATTTACAAACTGTACTTATCTGGCTCTGTCATGAGCACACGCTCCTTCTGATATGCTAAAGCAGAAGTTCATACTTCAACACTACCATGATATCTTTACACATTCTTCATTGGCTGAGAGTGTCTGCTGACACATGTAAACCTTTTGACAGCTTGCAATGGGATGGCACCAGGCCACATAAATAATACAGGGCATTGTAGTTATTACGGTACTTAGAACATTCCTTTAATAAGTATAGAAAAATACTGGAATTGAAACTAACTTGATTGGCCCCCAGAGTTCATACATTTTTAAGTTAATTGTTGGAAGCCAACCTGCATTGTCCCACGTTTAGTACATTCCAAACTCTGTTGCCCCAGGGTTTGTACATTCAAGTTTCACTTGTCCTATAATTTCTTAAGATGTCATAAATCTTGGTCCTTATCAGGAAGAGTGCTGGGTCAGATTGCAGCAATCTTTCCTGGCACAGAGATGTTTCTTATTAATTTGAATTAGTTGGATGTGAAAGCATTGCTTAACAAAGAGAGCAGATATAATCACACATTAATATTTCTCCACTGCTCTGTCTGGGGGTTCTGATCCATTTTAACCTTTTTACTCAAAACTTGCCTGGTTTATATAATCCTTACCCAACAACTAGAAACATCTTTATTCTCTGTTTAATTATCCTCAATCAACCGCAGAAAAAAAGTTTTTTAATACAGTGATGATAGAAAGTGTTTATTTAATGTGTTCCAACTTGCTGCAGAAAAGGTGGTTATTAACTATAACATTTCACTATCACTGATGGGGTTTTCAGCAAACTTCAAAATGTAGCAGATCAGAATCTGAAAGGCAAAATTCGAACTAAAATAGTCAAGTTGTAACTATATCGTAATTGGCAAATTTTCCAGAACAGCTATTTTTGCTTCAGCTTCTCAAAGGGAGGGAGGACCACTAGGGGGGAGAGGACCACTAAAGGGGGAAGGAGAGGGGACAACTCCACTAAGGGGTTGGGGAGAGGGAGGACCACTAAAGGGGGGAGGAGAGGGGACAACTCCACTAAGGGGTTGGGGAGAGGGAGGACCACTAAAGGGGGGAGGAGAGGGAGGACCACTAAGGGGGGTGGGTGAGAGTTGTACGTTTAGTAAGTAACCCTATGTGGTGGTAAATTTAGCCCTCTGCTGTGACAAACAAGACTTTCGAATTTTTATATATATATATATATTTTTTTTTATTCACTTTGTGCTTTTTGGGGCTTTTCAGGATTATCCTTCAAAGTGGTGTTGGCCCAAAATGTTAAATTCACTTTGAATTCCAAATAGTCACACTTAAGTGTGTAACTTTATTGGGCTTTCCGCAGAAAGACTTCAGTCAGTAGTATACAGATCCACTTCTTGTGTTTATATAAACACCAACAAAACCCACTGATTATGTGCTAAGCTTGAGACCCTATTTAGCCCTTTGTTGCACTCACTTGGATAGCAGACAAGTATGTGGTACTGCATAGCTTTGGTAATACAGGCAATATCCTGTGATTTAGCTTATCTAAGCAGTAGATTGTTGTGGCCATGAGGTTATATGGGAAAATAGGCACAAAAATACACTAGTCTGAGAGGATTCATTAACAAAGAAATAAATACATTTTATGGGAGTGGGTTGAACATAAATGACACATTTATAAATAAATAAAAAGAAAAAAAAACAATAATCGTGCATAAATATATGTACTAATGTTACAATATCCCTAAACAGAAGTAAAATACTATCTAAAATAATCTCTCTGTAGTAAAGAATATGGGACTTTTGTCACACCTTATGACTATACTGTGTTTACCCAACACTTTAAAAGGGAATGACCTTAAAGGAAACCTTCGCAGAAGAGTTTATTTTCAATTTTATTTAGTGTTTAGAAGTTTTAGAACCTTTACTTTCAGTTTATTATATTCTTGTTTAACCTTGTATTTTGCTTTTATTATGTATTTCTCCTCTGACACCAAAAGGGCTGGACAAATACGCAATACACTTGTTTTTCTTGCACATTTATCCTTTTAGTCACATAAACTCATTACTCATGTACTCACACTGACCCTTCACTGCTGACCATTCACACATCCACGACATGACAATATTAGACACATGCATTGGTACACACATTGAGATCCCACTCAAATATACACCAGCATTCATTAACTCAAAATACATTCTTTCATTCATACACACATTCACACACATACTGACACTAGCTTTGCATGGCTTGTTGAATATGTTTTGGTGTGTGAGTGAGTAATTTTAAGGCCCGACTTGTATGTTAAGACTTGAAACTCTGAGCCCTGTTAATACATTTCAATAAATAAGATTAATTAAATGTAATAGATTTACCAAGGCATTTATGGAACAAAATGTTCTGTGTTCCATAAAAGCAGCCAGAAATATACAATTAATTCATTAGTATTATTATATTTAGAATAAGGGCAAGGAATTGCTTCAATACGGTGTTTTAAAGACTCACCAGGACAGCAATTCGGACCTTTGCCTACGCGACGTAAAAAAAAGAAGGGGACAACTCCCATATTTTTTAGGACCATTTTCCGTATTTGTGAGTTTTAATTATGTGATCTAAGGTTTTCAGCTTTGAATTGTTTAAGCCTCTTACAATAAGAAGGGACTAAACAAGCTACTCTAAACCCCTTCTTCAAAGCACGTCTCGGTTTTAATTTGTGCACCTTTCTTTCCTAATTTAACGCAGTATAGTAACCCTCTAATTGTCACAGGACATGTCATAACCAATTTCCTGTTTAAACTGCAATTAACTTTAAACATTAAACTTCTTTTACATTATTTTTTTTTATTATTTTTCAAGCTGTGGCAAAGCATTGGACAGCTGAAAAAGATAAATTCATTCCAATACAAAAATACCTAGATAACTGTGACACCCTTAACGACCTTGGCAATCTTCAATTTCCACCTAAAATTAAAACAGAATTCCATACGCACTTCAATAAAATGTGCAGGACCCTTTATTAGACGTGAAGTGTCTATCAATAGTGCACAAAACCCTCAAAGTTCTCAGTTGTTCATGACCGTGTTCATCTGAGGAGACGTGTCTCTGTAATAGAGAATGCAGAAACCCAGGTGCTTACCGTCACTTCTGTCTGTATGGAAGCCAATGTGTGATTAGTGGGTATGTCCACTCATTAAGTCACTATGAGACAGGATATTTAAATGTCCAAGTACATTCTTTGAAGTGACACTGGGTGCTGTTATCGCCTACCTTTATATACAACTGAACATAAAATTAGATTTCTTTACATGACATTGCTTGTGATTTAGCTAAAATCTGTAACCATTGCTATTCCAATCATTGACACCACCAGACAACTCTAAAGTGCTCACTTTACAAATAATCTTGCTATTGGCTTTTACTTTGATTTAACTTTTGGTGCACTATCCCCCTACATATCTATTAATTCTGCAATTCAGCACTCCTGAAGTTGTGGACAACATCTCCTAAAAGGCTCTTACAGCCATAATGCTGGAAAGATGTAGTCCACAACATCTTGCGGTACAAAGGTTGCCAACTCGTGTCTATATAATCTATACACTCAAATTCCATGATGGAGTCATCAAATACATGAACTGCAACAGGCTGCATTTTCACAGATGCAAAAATGAATAAAGCCAGGTTAGGCCTACATCACTTGACTCATATGCTTGTAGTTACACTACTGGGCTTTGTGTTACACAAGGGCCATCAGTGTTTTACAGAAAGGATTAACAATGTTGAGACACCTTGTAGAAGCTAACATTCCTCTGATCCGGAGATAGGCCCCTGACAGGAAGGGAGTGGCCCACACAAGCAGTCACATTCGAACTTTCTAATCAGCCAAATCAAGCTTAAAATGTTGACAGGCGTTTATAAACCTGAAAAACCTGCCTGGTGACATGTTGAGTATGGATGTGCCTCACAATCTTGCAAAAACTTGCAAATCCATCAACTAAAATGACTGCCAAAAAGAGCTGTGAAGTTAAAAGGGTATCAAGATCCTTGAATACATGTTTAGTCAGCAAATCTTCCGTTGCAGAATTTGGAATGAGATTGAGTAACATAGTATCAGGAAATGCTACACAACAACATGCAGGAGCAGCCTATGGCCTCAGATCATTCACAGTTGGTTAAAAGTACTCTAGTTCAGATGCTTAGAACCGAAAGTCAAATTTTATATACAAAGTTCTGGAAACTTTATACACTTTAGAAGAAATTGATAAAAAAAAAAAAAAGTTATCTAACTATTTTCCTATTACACATTTCTGTTAAATGCCTCAGTTCTTCATATTGGTTGGGCAATGTACCAAGTAATGCCCCTATAGGTTAGGTTATGTAAAAAGTATGTCTTTGGCAGCTTGCTATTGAAGTCCTACAAGCCACCGATGTCCTGATGGGCCTGTACACAAACAGATTACAGACAGTCCAGTCTCAAAGCCTGTTTGGTAAATGGAGAGGCATATTTACTGAACAGAGAGTTGCAAAAGTCCTGGAGTTATCTAAAATAGGGTTATCAATTCCCCCATGTTTTTCTAGACACATAAGGGGTATCAAGTAATTCATCCTTGATGATTCCTAAGGCGTCTGAATTCTACAAACACAAATGTTTTTGTGTGCTGCCCATCAATCTGATGAAGTAAAACTTTTCCAGGAAACATGATATATCTGTCAACTAACCTCCAAACTCTCCTTTTACCTATCTTAAACCTCACCTGCCCTAGCTCTGCAATCTCCTTCTACAATTCCACCTTCTCTTCTCAACTAGACATCATGGCACTTCCTATACTTAAACGCAGCAAGCGCCCCCAACTACAACCTTGGCACACCAAGCTGACTTGATACCTCCAAAAATGCTCCAAAACTGCCGAACGCTGCTGGTGAAACTCTCAGTCTGCATCTGATTTTCTCCACTATAAATTGATGCTGCGCTATTATAGCTTGGCTCTTTCGTCTGCAAAAGTCAATTACTTCAATACCTTCATAACCACACTCTCCCGCGAACCCAAATGACTAATCCACACTTTTAGCTCTCTTCTTCACCTGTTGCTCCTCCTCCTACTGAATTAACCGCCATTACTCTTCAAACATGCAACTGTAACCCCAATTCTAAAAAAGCCCAACTTTGACCCTAACTCCCCGTGCAACTACCGCCCTATCTCGCTACTGCCTCTTGCATCCAAGATCCTTGAAATACTTGTGCATGTGAGATTGACAGACTTTCTCGAGTCCAATTCTCTGCTAGAGCCACTTTAGTCTGATTTCCGTTCTCAGCACTGTGTGGAAATGGCACTGACCAAAGTATCAGACGATTTACTTGTTGCAAAATCTCATGGTTACTACTCTATTCTATTTCTCCTTGACCTTTCCGCTGCTTTTGATACTGTTGATCATCAACAGCTTCTTCTCATCCTCCGTAATCTCTGTCTACGAGATATTGCTCTCTCCTGCGTCTCTTCTCTGTTCGTACTCCCACCTCTTGCTCGTATCCAAGACTTCTCTAGGGCTTCCTGAGGAACTCCCTTCCCTTTTCCGTTAGACGCTCACCCAATCTCCACTCCTTCAAAAAATCATTAAAAACTCACTTGTTCACAAAAAGCATATCAATGAAACTGTTAATGGCTCCAAAAAAACCCCACACTAAGTCTTCATTGAATACTATTCTACCAATCTACTTCCCTACTACTTCCCTTACCTTTTGTGTCACTATAGCCCACCCCCTCTAGTATGTAAGCTCATTAACCCTTTAAGGACCAAACTTCTGGAATAAAAGGGAATCATGACATGTCACACATGTCATGTGTCCTTAAGGGGTTAAGCAGGGCCCTCAGCCCCTCTGTTTCTGTGCGTCAAACTTGTCTGGTTACAATTACATGTTTGTTAGTCCACCCATTGTAAAGTGCTATGGAATTTGTTGACGCTATATAAATATAATAATAATAACCCTAATTGATCACCTTCTGGACCTATGAGGCATCACATGTAACAAAGGTAAAAGTGTATTGAGAATCTGGCTTTAAAGCTGTAAAGCCACGGTATAAAGAAGTGCAAAAACTTTCACTATGTCACAAGATAATATTGTAATTAATCAATTTTCACCAATGTCACTAAATAGTGTTTAAGTGAATGTTAAGTGGTTGACAAAAATAATAAGTGTATTTCAATATAAGAACTTCCCTTTGATTTAACCCGAATATCTCCTCAAATCTTCCACAATATATAGATACAAACAATAGGGTCAATCCAACTATAGGGAGATAGAGAACAATATAGTGCAACTCTATAAAAGCCACGGTATTGCTGGTTTACAAATACTCCATTTCATTTTAAGAGAGAATAACATGTGAGAATTTGCAATATTGAAGAAAGTATTAGGACATACTGTGTCGACACTCCAAGCCTCAATCTCACAATTATTGATTATTAGTTTTTAAGTAAATTCAATTACTTAATTGTTACATGGTTGGATGTTTGACTAAGTAGATTGATAATACATGTAGTATCGTGGCAAAGATGTATTTACTGTTGAAAATTGTATTTTCATTTCATTCTGTTGGCCCACCCTAACTATCTAATGAACAGAAATGGGAGAGTGACATTTAGGAAATGTTGACTAAGACGAGTGGACATCTATATTAGTTAAAGGGGCATCATAACATCATTTCAGTATAGTGATCATGCTGTCATGTGTATGGATGCTACCATGGGGCTTTACACAGCATGGATAGCCCTCTCCAGCTGCATTAGTAATGTGGGGTTTACACTTTCATATTATCGATATCAAGGCCATTCAATCTGCACATCAATGATTGACTGAGAGCAGTAGAGGCAGGTTAGCCCAGCTCAGTCAGCTTGTTATTGCCAAATTGCCACCCCCCGGGTGGCCGAACTGAAAAAATTGTGAGACTATCGGGAATTTAGTGGTTAGTCGTACGACAAAGCCAACAGTATAATTTATTAATAGATTTGTGAAAAAAACAATTTGAGACAGTTGATCTGAACCAAATTCCTTTTAATCCATGCCAGAACAAATCGATCTGTTTTGGATTTGCCTGTGTAATGCTATTCATACAGATGTGGATTAAAATGAATTTGGTATGGACGGTTCAACATTTGTTTGTAAAAGTCTGCTATATTCTTTTGCAAAGCAAGAAAGTAAGGCTGTAAGAAGTGATTTGTAGCCACATTAAACTGGCTTTGACATAATTTGCAAAGACCCACTACGGTGACTTAGCCACTTGATGTCCTGTGGCTGCAACGTGCCAGGTAAGGTAAGTTGTACTTACCTGAAGCTGTGCCTTCTGGCCGCTGCCATCTGCACCCATCTGGATTCCATTTCGGTGCTGTTACAGATCAACACTGTGGTCTATCAAGCATCCCACAGGCAATGCCATATTCCCACAGCCGCTGCTAGTGGGGAAAATTGACAAAAGTCGACAAAGGTAGCTTTGTGTTTTGTCAAGGAGAGGAAAAATATTTAAGGCATAGTAGTCCCTACTTTTCCTTATGTATTTTATGAGAAAAACATAGAAAAAGAAAAGGAACATATTTAAGCTAGATAAGTATAGGATGACTGAGCTACATTAAAGCTAAGGACTCTAATATAACATTTAGGACAAGATTTTAAAAAAATAAACACATAAAAATATATTGTATACAATATGACAGCTAAAGTTCTGAAAATTCAGTAAGAGTAGCTTATATACTATTTCACTTGCATGTGCATTTGTATTGAAAAAATCAAACAGATATATCTTTGGTGAGATCTAATATATATTATCCTTTTTCAGACAGTTTAGCTGGAATTGTACAGACAAAGAGTACTACTGCCGTGTTGGGAGCAGACGTGGTATTGTCATGTTACTACCAGGCAAAGTCAGATGAAAAAGTGACGCAGGTCGTCTGGTCAAAGAAAGTGCCGAATGGTCAGAACATCCAGATTGCCATATTAAATCCTGAGTTTGGAGCCTACATCTCAGATCTTTACAGTGGGCGTATCAAAGAGAATGCTCCATTACTTCCCCAAAATGGGACAATTACCATGAAGAACGCTGTCCAAGCAGATGAGGGTCTTTATCAGTGTCTCGTAAACACCTTCCCAGATGGAAATTTTGAAGGCGAACTGACATTAAAGGTGTTAGGTGAGATATAACTCGATTCTTAACAGTTTCCTCTGTGTAAATAACACTCTGCTGTTACATAAAAAGTATTAATAACAATTTAGGGGTACCAGGGATGAATATCATCATAAGAGTCATTGGAAAATCCTTAGAGGTTCTTTACCTACAGTGGTGGTTGCAAGTTTTTTTTTTAGACATCAATGGGTTTAACTACATCTGATGGCCTTAAACAAACATGAAAAAAGAGAGAAGAAAATATACACTTCAAACTCTTGGTAGTTTCAAATGAAAAATAAAAAATAAAACTGCAACAGAGGGTCTGTGTATTTTATAAGGTGTTGCTTTGAGTTACCTCCAGGTCTTTGATCTATTGTTTCCTTTCATATAAATTAATTTAGCCTGCCCAAAGCTAGGGGTCTCAAGAAACACCATTAGAAACCCACAATTCTCCAGGAGATTTCACTCTTTCTTTGAATGAACCTGATAGCAAATTTAAAACAAACTAGGAAGTCCGAAGAATATATATAAAAAAATAAAAGAAATCAGGTATTTTACCTCAGGGCTGGCCAATATATATAGGCCAATTAAGCGGCCGACTAGGGCATTACTTAAGGGGGGCGCCAGCAGCAACTTTACTGCTGGTTAAAGCCACCCCTCTATATGGGTTAAATTGTGTTTTGCTTGCCGCAGGTGATGGCACCGGGAGCTAGGGAGCACTTACATGGCTGCAGACTAGTAACCAGGGCCACAAACCTCAGCCAGCCATGATCATAGAGAGGCACCCCCCCTACACACCTCATATGCACGAGCGCATCGTACTTAAAGATAATTAAGGCAGCCAGGCCTGGGACCCACGGAGAGACCAAATTAAATAAAAGCAAGTGGGGGACTTCATGGTGTGTGTGTGTGTGTGTCAGCCTGTTTCAACCAGTGTGTGTGTAAATGCTTGGATCAGTGTGTATGTGTGTGTGTGCTTGGGTCAGTGTATGGGTCTACTTGGGTCAGTGTGTGTGTGTGTGCTTGGGTCAGTGTGTTTATCTGCTTGGGTCTGTATGTGTGTATCTGGATCAGTGTGTGTGTCTGCTTGGGTCAGTGTGTGTGTCTGCAGGGGTCAGTGTGTGAATGTGTGTGTCACTCTGCATCAGTCAGTGTGTGTGTATGCCTGGGCCAGTGTGTGTGTGTATGTCAGTCTACACGTGTTAGTGTATGTCTGCTTGAGTCAGTGTGTGTGTGTCACTCTGTGTGAGTCAGTGAATTTGTGTGTACATTGGTCACTGATTGTAATTGTGTGACCATTGAGTGTGGGTGAATGCGTGTGAGTGTGTGTGTGTATGTATGTATGTATCAGTGATTGCATTTGGGCAAAAAGGATAATTTTTTTATTTTTTTTTATTTTTTTTAAATCAATACTTTTAAATGAACACTATAGTGTTAGGGATCTAAACCTGCATTTCGAATACTATAGTGTCTCTGTCCCTAAATAGATTCAAGTCCCCCCCTTCCATAAATATGATTTTAAAAAAAAAAAAGGTTGGGGGCGACATTTATCAAGCACCAAGACTTCCTCTGCACTGCTTGCCTTCTTACCTCGCTCAGTGTCACAAATAGGACAATGCTGATCCAATCCAATGTTCCTCAAGAGCATTGGTGGCAGGCGCTATGCACTTCCACCTCTTCTAATAGTTAAACATGGCATTGTGGTGGAGGTGTCTCTAGTGTGACACCTACTAGAGGCCTGTTTAACCCTTCAAGGTAAGGCAATGCTTCATCTTGTGGGATTAAACCTACATGACCACTGTTGAGTGAATAGGGTGTCAAAAATCCTTGCACCGGCCCTGTGTTACCTCTGAGCTCAAGTAGTCTGAAATAAGAATACTACTAACAGGCCTTTTCTCAGTGGTGGATATGGTGAAATTAAGAAGAACTGCAAGCAAACTACAAATTTTGGGTCAAAGTAGATTCAATGTCAAACTATCGGAGTTAAAAAAATTTCCAACTCAATTTATTTATATGGAACCTTATAATGTAAGTATGAAGTTGACTAAATAGATCACTCTGAGATTTATATACATATGATTTACTGTTTGTCGATCTTGTGAATTATAGTGCCACCTTTGCCCACTCTGATCGAGGGTCCTCCACTAGTAGAAGGAGATGGCAAGACTCAAGCAGCTTCTTGCACTGCTGAAGGCAATCCTGCCCCCATTCTGTTTTGGGAGACTGAAGTCCGAGGGACCAATACTACTAGGAAAACTACGCATCCGCGCTCTGAATCTGTGACCAGTGAATTTTTTGTTGTACCAACCCGCAGTATGAACGGGAAAACCCTGACCTGTGTTGTTTATCACCCTGGATTTGAACGCGAAAAGCGCATCAAACATATCATTGGGATCAAGTGTAAGTATCTAATTTACTGTTTATTTAAGCATCATTAAGCATCCCTAAATTTAAGGTTTTCACATTCCATTTCATGTAAAGAGACAAACCTGGCTCATAAGCTTGCAGTCTACAGTCCATCTGGAGACACGTGCCTGATCTCGCTATAATTATGCCTGGCCTATATGGGATTACATTATTTAATAGTATTCAGTGATGCAATTTTAAAATGTGCAAATTGTGTACATACAAAAGTATGTAATTAAAAGTTGCTAATTTTTCAGAGTCTCTATTACATAAGCTCTGCAGTTAGAAATGTATTCATTGCTGCTGCACGCACATGAACCTTTCACCAAAGCACACAGTGCAAACAAAAAGACAATACATGGCCAGTAAATATGGAGAAAATGTATACCAAATGCTCAAATACAATTAAAATGACCTTATTACTACTTTCATAATACTTGTGAATTCTTAACTGCGCATATGGAACACAAAAGGACAAAAATAAGACCTATAGTGCATATTTTGGAAGTTTGCACTATAAGTGTTGTTTTTGTTGTTGTTTGTGTTTTCTGCTTGCACTTGGGAGCTCTGCAGCAATATTGGGTGATTAATTATATAGTAACTCCATCAATATGAGACTCATGCATTCACAAGCTAAGAGTATGCACCTATGCACTGGAATCGTGTATACACAATTTCTAATATTGAAAAATTGCAATATAGCCATTTGTCCCCTTTGGGGTCTCAGAGAGCAGTGCCGGCACTAACACTACAGCACCGGCTCTGCTCTGACCCCCAGCATCTGCATGGGCCAATGAGGAGATCTATAGATCTTGCAGAGCAAGTCTGTACCTGCAGACTAGCATCTAAGCCACCCAGACCACCAGCTAATAAAATAATTATTCCCCTGATATCCAAAAGGCAAACGGGGGGGTAACACAAATGTATGCTGCTCAGTGTGTGGGGAGGCTGGACACAGAAATGCATCCTCCCACCACAGTCTTCCCCCTTATTTGTTCCCCCCTCTTCCCCTCACACACAGCTACACTCACCCCACTAACCTTGGAGGAAATAGCATAGCACACATTGTATTCCACGTTTATCGGTCACATTTGTACAAATCTGAGCTGTATCAGCTTCTGCCATATTTAATCTTTGAAAAGACATTTTGTACATATATCTGTTATCTCCGGGAATATGTAGAACAGTTTTCTGAAAAGTTAAAAATGTTCAGATCCTTCCTCTTCTACTAGGAGGACATAAATGCTCAGTATATTTCTTCCTCTTTAGATTTGGGGGATGTAACCATCAAGGGCCACGAAGAAGGCTGGTTTGCTGGGAAAGATGATGCTGTATTGAAGTGTTTGTGTGAGGGGAACCCGACACCTGAATATAAATGGTCAAGGTAAATAAATGTTTAACACGGGTATGCCTGTGTCTAGTTTATTAATGGATAACGTACAAAGATAAGAGTTGATATGCCAGTATATCATTATCTATATTCATTAATAATTCTGACATTTGAAGGTAAATGTTTTGGCTGCCACGAGAACAGTACATATTACAGGCTAATCATTCCAATGCTCTCTGTAAAAAGATCCATAGGGTCTCTAGACTGCTTATAAGATTGGCATCTCCTCAATCACTGTCAAGAAAATAATTCACTAAAGTTTTAATTGTTAGGATTTGAAAGTACATTTAACATTCAAATCCAAAATAGCTGAACTTAAAGGGACAGTTTAGGAAGCGTAAGGCACCATAACAACATCATCTAAATGAAGCACTCTGCGCATCCCGAGACTGAGATTTCAGAAGCAGGATGCTGTCTGGAGAGAAGCTGAGATTGGTGCTGGAGGCCACTTCGGGATTAAACCATTACAGCACGGCTTAACCCCTAAAGGTAAGAGTGTGCCTGACGAAGATGACGTTGTTTTGGTGCCTGGAGTCCCCCTTTTTTGGTGCCTGGACTTTTTTGGTGCCTTTTAAACATAGCTGACTTGGAGAATTTTTTCATTTGCGGTATGGTGGCCTAACATTTGAAATCCTCTTTGAATGATCTTATCTTTCAGTTCCCAACAAATCACACTTTCATAAATAACTGTGTGTTTAATGAATTCTTGGGTGAGCTAAAGAGAAACTGATCTAGGATGAGAAATGCTTATTCATACAAAAAAAACAGCAACCTTTTAATATTGGTGAGATTGGACCAGTGGAGACATGTCTGAAATCAGCACAGTTTGATGTTCACAGAGGAGTTGTCAGCCTAAAATCACAATAGAATGTACACATATCATGCTTGGCCTGGAGATAAACAGTCATTTTAAATTCAGAATAAGATACACAGCTCAACAGGCACAGAGAAGAGCCCCCGATCTAAAATAATACAAAAAATGACTGCACCTCTGAATGCAGGAAATGCCTGTATTTAATTTGATTATTTTAGATCAACTGTGGATAGTATCCCAGGCAAAATATTCTTCTAAGATTTTTGGCTGATGTCCCTCTCTATGCCAGGCAATATGTGTATTTTCTTATATTACATCATAGTATACATACACTATAAAACATATTGACAAAAAGCCTACCTATAACCAGAACAGGATTTACATATCATTTCAGTTACTGAGTGCAAATTATACTGAAAGGATTTATACATGGTGAATCTCCACAAATGTCCAAAGAGTCCTGAATCTGGTGGGATAGTCATTATTCTGGACTTGTCACCTTGGTTACTCTTTTGCGGTCCTTATTCTTGGTCACACTGCCTTTCTCATTTTATGTAAATAAAAATGTTAGGTACATCTCATATAAAATATATGCAACGACAAGAAGAGAAATAACAGAAACTAATAGTGTAGTAAGTTAAACATTTTTTTAATCTAAGTGTAGATAAAGAGATGTGGGTATGTGGGATATCCATATAACCACAAGGAAATCTACTACTGCAAGAACTGTATGCAGAGCCTGTACTACGCTATATCTCTAGGCAGGGAACATTCCGCCCAAGCTTTTTCAGTTGGAGCTGAATTAAGGCTCCTAAAGAGTGTGAGTGCACATTGTTTATCTACCCTCATCCTAAACAAATGTTAACTTATTACACTATTAGTTTCAGTTATTTCTTTTCTTGTCATTGTATTTTATAAAGACACCTCTGGCATTACACTATTTCTTCTGTTTTACCTTATATTTTACCGGACTAGAGACCCCGGATTTGGTGATTTAGCTACCTTTTGAACTATACCAGTAATTTACAAGCGCTGAATTTCCCTTTGCTTTTACATCTCATTTGAAGTCACATACTATAACCAAAATTAAGGATTTTCCCAGAGGAACAGTTCATCAGACATGTACTGAGCTTAGCATAGCTTCTAAGCTCTAATGGCAGTTTTAAGATCCAATCACTATTATGTAGATCTATATATTTGTTTTTTAATTGTACAAAAAAGTAATTGTATTTCAGGTAGGAATAATCTGCTATGTGTTAATGTACATGGAACTCAGGTAGCATTATAACCTCTACAGCTTTGTATTACTTTTACCCTGGGCTTGGCGCCACTTTCCGCCGCCACTACTTCTGTTCTAAAATGGTTTGAAAATTTAGAAGTGGTGAGAGCCTGGGCACTCCTTGAACCATAACCACTACACAGTACTGTAGTGGTTATGGTGTCTGGTTGTGTTCGTTTAAGAGATCGTGTTACAGAACATGTTACATGTACAGAAAGAGTGTTCTTTAATCACACTGAATTTTTTAAATTCAAAAGGGGGATTATTTAAAGGAGCAATATTAAAAGAGTAGATATGATCTTTGCAGCAGAGATAATCACAATGTAAACAGTAAGAAATTCTAGAGTCAGGTCTGGGCAGACCTAAATGCTTCTCAGTTGGCAAATCGACAAGACGTGTGAGTTTGTGGGAAAAAGTGAGGCTTGCGATTCTGGCCAGACTAGTTTATGATGTCATCTCTCCATCTTGTCGCTTACGAGCTGGAGCATGTGAATAATTGAGAACCATGTTAGTCAGGGTAGATAATATCTTGATAGAGGCGCTGCTCTCACTTAAAACACAATTCTTTCTGCCCGGTGTTCTTAATAGTATATTAACATTCTCCTATTGCCCTCTATTCAATGTTCCCAGGGTGAATCACTCCATGCCAAATGCTGTAAAAGCTGAAGGGAACAGCTTGATATTCCAGAACCCACTCAGTGGGGAGGATGCCGGTGTCTACATCTGTCATGTGTCCAATGGCATCAGCAGCAGGACAAGCAGTGCAACTGTTTCCATATCAGGTTGGTAGAACAAGTAGAGATATGTGCATGGCCACATTACACAGAAATGACCTGATTTGTATAATGTGTTGTCTATGCTGACTACACAGATGGTCTGTTCTGCTTAATGTACAAGAATACTATCTGATTTAAGCAATATTACACCTGCTACCAGCCCAATTTCTACATGCAAGAAAAGACAAAACAAAACAAAGATGGAGGGATGATTAATGGCTTTCATTGAACCCAGGTGTGGTCAGGGTGGGTCTGAAACTTCAAAGTCAACTTTACATTTGTAGGTGTAATGAGAACAAAATGACATCAAAATGACAAGTTTCACCCAGTGAAGAGACCGTCAGTCCTGTATGAAAAAAAACGACAGGTACACGTATTGCTTCTAGGAAGTAGTTGCTTTGAGGGGAACCACTTAAATAAAGAAGCTCTGATTTTATTAGCGTACAAACAGAGAACTCAATCTATAAAGAAACCAGCTTGTGATGTTAATTTAATTAGAAAATATAGTCTGGCTGAGAGTTTTGGGAGCAACAGTCATCAGCATCTTGATGGCAGGTAAGCACCACATTACCCTGTATCTCCTACAGCCTTAATTCCCCACTGTTCCTTCACAATAATGCAGGAGTACACTGCCATACCCTTCATCATCACCGTGTCTGGTACAATGCTGGGCCATTGTCATGACAAATGTAGTTGCAGTCTTTTAAGTGCAGTGCTTTTGTATTTTATTAAACATTTTTTTAGAGAGCGCTTTACAAATTGTGCAAAAATAACCTTAAAATAATTAGACACACTGAAACAAAAGGAGAAGAGAACCCTGCCAACACTGAGCAGTATTCAGAAAGATGAAGATGATAGAGAGGTGGCAGATTGGGGAGCTGTTGTGAGGTTGATATATAGTAGCTATAATGATACCTATAGTATGAAGTCTGACATGATAAAATCTGACATTTTACTACAATGTACACTTACAGTCCAAGTTGCATTCCTATTGTGCCCTATAGTGCCTTCCTCCCTCCCAAGCTCAATGGGTTAAAAAAAAACTTTTGTCACTTACCTGATTCCTGCGCCAATGCATCTTGGCGCTGGGTCAGTCTCCACCGCCGTTGGGGAGGGCCGAATGCGTGTGCGCAGCGAGTGCATTAGGACTTCGCCATAGGGAAGCATTGAATCAATGCTTTCCTATGGGGCTTTAGCAGACGCTGAATGTCCTCATGCAAAGCTCAGTTGGCGGACCAAAAGTCCACTAAGAACCTGAAGCGCCCCTGGTGGTGGAGTTAATCCTGCAAGGTAATTATTGCATTTTCTAAAAAAAAACTGCAATAATTACAATTGCAAAGTTAAGGGGACAGGAGCACCAAGAGAAACATTCTTTATTCACTATTCAGACCCCCCTCTGCTGGATGTGTACCTAGAGGGCAGATGTTTTCAGGTGGTCAGGAATGGGTACATATTGGTCAGGGGTCCTTCAGAATAAAGAGATTTATGATAGATAGATATAGACAGACAGACAGACAGATAGGTAGATAGATATGTGGGTTAGGTAGATAGATGGATTAAAGGATCTCTTTGTAGAAAACACTGTGTTTTTAAAGTAAGTTTAATGAGATTGATACATTTTGTATGAGATGATGTCACTGTATTTCGGTATTAGTAAACCTGCCAGAAAGTGGATTTACTGGAGGCCCTTGTCAGTTTGCATTAAAATATCCTTATCCAGACTAACAAAATACCTAGATTCATTTAAAATGAATACATTAGCTTTCCTTTTTAATATGCAAATCGCCACAAACTGCATATGTTGAATTGTACCGTGATTAACAGTTTGTTGTCTTTTAAAATAAATCATATAAAATTGAAACTGGTTTTGAGTAGCTCTTTAACTATTTACCATATTTGAACACAACCGCAGTAAAACAAATGTGTCAAATGAACCGCTGTGCTTTGTATTGAGGTTTATATAATTCAAATGATTTCATGATATAACCACAACTTAAATGTCATTGTATACGATGACCTGGACAGAAAATGCTTTGATGTCCAGTCATTTAGCAAGAAGTATCCAGGGCGGTAGATTTAACGAATGGACAACCTGTAGTGCCCTTTCCCTTAATATATGATGACCCACCTACCCCCCCGAGCTTCCAAACCAGTCTTACCAGCTGCATTCCTGTTTGCAGATGGTTGAGCACTGAGTAGACTGAGTGAATCCCTGCTTGTCCTACAACTTATTGAGGGTGAGTCATTTGTCAATGCACAAACAAGCCTGACACAGCCAATATTATTATTGGTGCAGCAAACCCAACCTAAAAGCTAAGTAAATAACTTCCATTCACGCACTGCATTTAGAAAAACTGGGTCTAATTTGTTTGATTAATGAAACAGTAACTAATCCTATCTCGTAGCAAATAATCAGTTGTTTTAATTCATGCTCCCACTTCACAGAGTAGTACTACGGCTGCTTCCCATGCCGCCCACCTGTGAATTTACCTATAACCTGCTGGGTGGCTTATTTCAGACATAATGGCATATTGTGACTTTTGCACTTCCTGTGATACTGGCATGACCCAGAGTGATAGAGTAAACATAGTTTCATGTTCATTGTTCTTCCACATGGGTGCGAGTTATTTAGCTTTTGTAAATGTAAATATTCTCCCCAGGATATCCAGTCAGGTTGGGTTTAAATAAATATATACCTTATTCTTATATTAAAGGAACCCTTCCACCCCTATAAGAGCTTCAGCTCATTGAAGCTGTTATGGAGGAAGGAGTGTCCAGGTGCCATCTTCCTCAACATTCCTCAATTTGTGGTAGCAAGAGGAAGGAAGTTGGGGTAGCGTGTCAGGCACCGAGGGACCTACTTCGGGATTAAACCATTGGAAAATGGTGTAACCCCTGAAGGTAACACAAAACCAGACTCTTTAATGAACTGAAGTTGTTACAGAGGTTGTAGTGTTCCTTTAAGCGCTGATTTGAAGGACAAAGGCAGTAAATCGCCTGCCTTCATCCTTAAGCAAAAGGGACACTCTAAGCATCAAAACAACTACAACTTAATGTAATAGTTTTGGTGAATAGACGCTGCCGACTTTTTATCTGACAAATGCAAATCAGCTGTTAATATTGCTTGTTCTTTGAAACGCTGTTTAACAGTTTTAAATTGTTACCAGTTAGTACTAGTTAAATAATTTATCAATTCTTTCACAGATCTATAAAAGAACTCAGTGGAACAGGGAAGGACAAATGCAGATCCCAATCTGTTGCAGAACTATACTTCCCTTGATGCTTTGCCAGGCCAGCCTTTAGGGTAAAACATGCCAGGTGTTGTTAAAGGAATAACACCTGACGGGATGCTTTACCCTAAACATATAAGTGAAGTTATGGTGCCAGGCGGCCCCCGGTCGCATTGTTACCTTCAGGGATAAAAAGATGTTTTACAATGGTTTAACCCTAAAATGATTACAATGCTGATATAAGCTCACCCCAGGCGGAATCCGGATTCTGATATTTCAAGGAGTGTTGCTAGGCAGGGGTGCTGCTGATTGGCTGATAGTGGTCAGCAGACGCTCTCAGCCAATCAGTGACTTCCCATTTACAAAACTGGCTTAGAAAGAAAGACAGCTGACCTCTCTCAGCCTATCAGCGTTGCCCCTGCCCAGCAGCATGTGCACTTCTGGAATCTGCCAGAAGCTGCCAAGGGGAGCTGAGATCACCGCTGGAGGAAACTTCGGGGTTAAATCATTCATAAGTATATTAACAAAAATAAGAATGTGCTCAAGGGCCTCCGGGCACCAAAGCAGCTTCATTTAGATGAAGTTGTTATGGTGCCTTATGATGCCTAAACTGTCCCTTTAAATAACATCTGTGGAACTAACATTGGCCACCCCTACATTAGTGCACACAATATATAAGTTATTATATAATAGGTAAAGTATAACAAACTATTTAACTCCCCCCCCACAACCCCCTTTTATGTTAGAAATGATTGTTCCAGACATAATCTGAGAGATCCACAAAGGTTTATTATGACATGCAATATAAAAGGTCAAATATTTTTCTCCTTTTTTTAGAGAGTGAACCCAGGAAGGTGGATGTGGTGTCTGTGTCACTTGTAACGGTGGGAGTAGTGACTGCTCTTTTGCTGGTGATTCTAGTTATCACTGTGCTCTTAGTCAATCGTCATCACAAACGGAGGACAAAGAGACTTTCTGAGAAAATGTAAGTACATCTTTCTGAGTGGTACTCTGTCAACATAGAAGGAAGGGAATAAGAGTCCAGACCAATCCGCTATAAGCCTTATTATAAGTCTAGACTAATATAAACCTTATACTTGAATCCAGACTAACCAGCCATAAGCCCCATGTAATGAATCCGATTTGTCTAGGCATTTGGCAAATATGTTTTTCATCAGTAAGCCCAAACTCCAAATATGTTAAGTGTATCCTTTCAAAAACTGAAATAAAGACTTTATTCTCTACAGAGAGGAGCTCTCCACCTTATCCAGAGAGGCATCACGACGAAGACTGAACTCCACCTCAGCAAGCACCGATACCAAAATGCAGGTGAGGATACAACTGTCGGTGCCTGTGTCACAAACCATATGGCCACTTATTGAGGCAAATGTCTCTAAAGAGTATTCATTTCACCACAAAACAATTAGAAATGTAATTCTAATGAGGTGGATAAAATTTAATATTGCTTATTTTTTAATTTACACAGCTGGAAGAAAGCATGCATCTAAGGTCCGGTAACCATCCTGACAGCCTAAGGGATCCAAGTATCAGCTCCATGATGGTAAGAGAATGCTTACAAGGCTAGGATCTCAAGACATTCCATGACATAGGATTCTATCTGGAATCACATGACATTTTGGCATCAGATTCTTCAGTTACTCATTTGTTAGATAATCTTCTATCACGTGTTTGAACATTTCAAAATATTTATGTCTCAATGTATAAGGTTATACAGTGGAAGTCTAGAGTGCGTTAATTAAATAGGTACATATGAGTGATCCAGTCTAAATCATTGCATATGGTTGTAGACAGGCCCGGACTGGCCATCGGGAATACCGGGCAAATGCCCGGTGGGCCGTGATGGCCATGGGCCGAGGCCGGCAGGGGAGATCACAGCATCTCCCCGGCCGGTTCATGCAGGGCCAACACTATTTGAGCGCCAGCCCTGCTGTGTGCCTTCATGGGCCAGCAGGGAAATCAAAGATCTCCCTCACCGGCCCACAGACATGCTCCCGCCAGCAGGGGAAAGAGGAAGAGGAGGACCCGGGGGAGCTCTTAACTGCAGGTAACTCTCAGATCTCGCGAGAGTGAACTCTAGCCTTGCAGGACCAATCCGTAGGACCACCAGGGCTGGCAGCATGGCCCCCTCTCCCAGGCTAAAGGTAAGAAGGGAGGGGGGATATAAAGTTTGTTTTTCTTTTTTTAATTTTAAAAAAATAATATATTTAAATCTTCCCCCCCTCACACAATCCTTCCAAACATATTCACACACAAAGTACCCTCACACACACAGCACCCCTCTTACACACACACTGCACCCTTCACGCATACACACAGCACACTCACAGACAACACCATCACACACACAGCACCCCTCTACAAATCCTCTACACACACACGATCTCCTATACACACCCTGGGTCCTTTACACACTAGATCCCCTACACACACACACTGCACCACCTACAAACACTACATTCCTGACATACAAACTCTGGATCCCCTATGCACACATTACATTCCTTGTAAGCAAACACATACTACATTGTCTAAACACACACTCTCTATTGCCTGTACACACACTATAGCCCATATGCACACACTCTATAACACTATCCCCCTATACACACACTTTTTATAGCCCCTAGTCACACATATTGCACCACAAACACAAATGAAATTGACCTATTTACACAATACCACACCATAATCAGCTCACTCTACACATGCGCAATCCCACAAGCAGGCTCCAAACATATGCAAGATACGCTTTCCTGGCCCTTTTGTCATCTGGTATCCCACTTATGGAGACACCAGAGACAAGTTAAAAGTAAACACAGCGCAAGCATGTCATTAAATTTGCTTGCGCTGTGCAGAACAAATACAGGGCCTTTTTCTCATGCTAGAGCTCTTCAGCGGGGCTCTGCGCATTGAACCAACATGCTCACTTTGAGAGGGGGCGTGCTTGTTAGTGATGACAAAACACACCCTCTCTTGCCCTGCCACCTTCTCAGGGGGCCGCTGTGATTGAAAAATGCCCAGACCAAATTTTTCCCCAGTCCAGCCTTGATTGTAGAATTCAGGGTACATTGTATTAGGTTGGTGAATGCAGGTGGGTATTGGGTTTACAGACAGGAGAATGGTAGTTCAAGTGGTAAGTGGCTACTGGAAGCAGGAGAGGAATGGTTGTGTTAGTGAATGGGGGAACTTGGAGCTTGTAAGTACAAAGCAAATGCTGTATTGAGCTACTTTGAGCAGGGCTAACATATGGAGCTAGTGGGTGCGATGTGAAGAGATTATGTGGAAAGGGTATTGGGCTAGTAAGAGCACGGTATAAGGCTAATTGGAAGCAATGGATGGGGTACTGGGGTAGTGGAGGTGGTATTTAGATATATCCTGTAGGGAAGTGGAAGATACCTGTCTGTGAAATGAGGTATTTGGCTGTGTGAATGCGAACAGAGGTGGAATGCGTAGGCCACAGCAGCTATGTTGGTTTACTCAGTGTATTCAGAGGGTAATTTATTAAACATTTATTTAATTAATTAATATGGTTAAACTCACACAAAAAAAACACAATTACATGCTACAGTTTATTTAACGCCAGTTTGCACACCAAAACCAGATTAGTAGTCAGTATACAACTAGAATTTACTGTAACAACTTGAAACTAATTTATTTTTGTTCTCTGTAAAAAAAAACTGAGAACAAGCAAACATTCATGAAAAAACAAATACATATGCGTTTTCTTTCAATCCCTCTATTGTTTCCTTCTAAATACTGTGAACACTTAAGCTGCCATTAATCTGTTTGTGTACCTGTCACATTCCTGTCTCTTTTCCAGTTCGACCTGTAAAGGTCTCTTTCAGGTAAACTCTGCACAGCTGCTGTTTCCCATTTGCAGTTGTACAGGTCTGTCAGTCTGATACAAGAGAAGACAGACATCCCTTTCTCCCAGTTGTATTTCAGAATACAGTTGGTGTCTCCTCCTGTAAATATGATACATTGCATTCAGTCAATATTTGGCTTATTGCAGCTATATGTATTCCTTTTTTCGAGTCTTGGAACCCTGAACAATGAAAGGGCTTCTGTATTACCAATAGGAGATGGGTCAATGTACTCCATCCAAACAAGTACCTGCTGAACTCATTTTAATGATAATGTATATGTGATTGGTCACACAGATATGCTGGGTGAAAGGCTTCAGTAGCATTTGTATAGTAAAGCTTTAGGGGTGTCTGGTAATGGCCTCCCTCAGTGAGCACAGAGCTTACATTAAAGGACCACTATAGGCACCCAGACCACTTTAGCTCAATGAAGTGGTCAGGGTGCCAGGTCCCTCTAGTTTTAACCCTGCAGCTGAAAACATAGTTTCAGGGAAACTGCTATGTTTCACTGAGGGTTAATCCAGCCTCTAGTGGCTGTCTCACTGACAGCTGCAAGAGGCACTTCCGCGATTCTCACTGTGAAAATCCTAGTTAGAAGACGCTGGATGTCCATACTATGGACATCTATGGGCGGTTTGAATGCGCACACGGCTCATGACGCGCTGACGTCGGCAGGAGGAGGAGAGTTCCCCAGTGCAGAGGGAGCCTGGCGCTGGATTAAAATAAGGGGCTGAAGGGGTTTTAAGCACTTCAACCCAGCGGGAGTGGGACCAAGAGGGTGGGGAGCACCTAATGACCCTATAGTGCCAGAAAACGAGTGGTCCTTTAACATCTGAAATGTAGGGTTGCTATATCCACAATGCTTTCCTGGATACACAAAATATCATTATGTTGCCTGGTAGCACATGAATATACTGCCCGGTAGTATGTAGAATTCTCTAACTGCAGCATTTTTTTTATTATGGTAAAAACATATTTTGCCACTAGAGGGAGCAATGCATCACTTTGTTCTGTTGCAGCAGTTGAATCATATGATAAACCTTTACCTACAGTTTGAAAAAAAATGCTTTCAGTTTTCTGAACTCCCACAAATATTTAAATGGACAGCAGAGATATGGCAGTACCTCTTTTAAACTTTTTCAAAGCAGTTCCAAAATACAAGAGTGCTGTTCGTTAATACATATATGTTTACTTATGAACTATATACATAGATACATATAAAATAGAATGTATGTAAGGTGCTTTACACCTGCTTAACAAGTGAATATCTGCTTAAGAATTATTTATATTATATTATCTATTCTATGTATATTTTATACACACGTTTTATAAAAGTATGTGTACCTAGAGAGTGCTTATGGTATTTATTGATTTTACATCTTACATATAGAATCAACGTATATAACTGCTACTGAGCGTTAGGTAGGATGAATAGATATCTATCCTATTTGGTATAGTAAGAATATGTAATTGATGCAATAAAAATGTCATGTGCTTCTATTAAGGGTTGATCTTGTCCAAAACCGCAAAAAAAAAAAAAAGGTTAAAACAATAATTCTTTTTTAAAATGCTGCCTTTTAAGTACCCGGATAACAAAAAGTACTAGTGTGTTATTTTAAAATTGACTATGGCATACCTAACTTTTTTATGTTAAACAAAGATTTTATTCTTTCTGCAGGGGGAAGAGCTAGATCGTCGGAGTTATTCTACTTTGACGACAGTCCGGGAAACAGAGACACAGACAGAGCTTCTGTCCACTGTGCCAGACGAAGACGTTAAGGAGGAGAATGAGGATGTGACAGATCAGGAAGAAGTGCCACAAGACAGAGACACAGATCAAGATGAAAGATATGTCACTGTTACGGGTAACCAGCCCTTTATTAAGCAAGGGATGGCACACTTTTACCAAGAAAATGGTACATTAAGGGCAAAGCCAACTGCCAACGGGATCTACATAAATGGTCGGGGACACCTTGTATAACTAAAGGTAACTAAGACTCTGAAAAGCTCTGAGTTGTGTTGAAGCAATTGACTTCCTGAAACTGATGAGATAGAATGACCTTTCCTGATGGACAGTCTTTGCTAAAGACTGTATCTGCTATATTAGCCAGATGTCATCGAGAGTCCTTCACACTGTAAATAATGCACTATGGAGGGAACAGCAAGTTGCAACAAAATAATCCCAGATCCACAAGAGACATTTTTCCACAAAGACACGTCAGTGATTTTTTTTTTTTTTAACAGAATTCATTGTTTCCTTCAAAGACAATAAAAAGACTTTGTAGAGAGAAATTAAAAAAAAAGCCAAAAAAAAAAAGAAAGAAGAACATGATATATTCTGTGACTCATCTCTCAAAATTGAGATTTTGGATTGAATACCTAAAATGCGGGTAAACAGGGCTCTGTGTTTTGCTAAATCCGTTGGTAACTAGATGAGATTCTGATTGAAAATGCTCACTGCTAGAAGCTCAACCCCTTAAGGACCAAACTTCTGGAATAAAAGAGAATCATGACATGTCACACATGTCATGTGTCCTTAAGGGGTTAAAGAAAAACACTGCTGTCAGTATTACAAAAATTATATTAACAGGCCCACGTTTTGGGTTTTGCATCATCTCCTGGTTTAAATGAATGGGCTTAAATGCGATAAATTGAATTAAGTACAAAAAAAACCACCTCAACATCATATTCCTAAAGAAAAGATAGTCCTCTAAAGGGTGACTAGAAAGACTGGAACTTCTGAATGTGAAATCCCATCATGTTGATTTCTGCAAGACAATCTCCATTAGCAAAAACTAGCAGTAAATCTGTTCTTGCTCAGTAGATGTTAAATTGGATTATACTCATAAAGATAATTCTATAAAACTTCTACCCTGCAAATGCTAGGGTTTAATTTGAAAACTGGAATCAAGTTCATTGTAATATAACCCATCACCCAACAATCCTGATCTCTGCATCTATGAAAACCCGAAAAAAGTCCCCGAAAGAGCAGTGCGTCATTAAAGATGCGTTCGGCAGCTGTGTTTTCCTGTGCAAGAGCACTTCAACCAGACGCTATCTTTAAAGTGCTTAAGACCCAATATGTTGTAATAAAATCTTGTTGTCATAACTACCTGTTGGGTACATAGCTTTTGTGAGTTAACAGAGAGCTATGGTGTAAATAACCTTGTAAATGTATTTTGGGCGTATGAAGAGATAGCAAAGTAAAACAACACAACCCCTCAAAACTTGTGATGTGCACCATGTCTCTATTTATACAAAGTGTAAATAGTTTATAAATATTTCTATTTATAGAAGGGGAATGTGCTTTGATTTTAATAAAGGGGGAAGATGTTTTGTAAAATATATTATCAGCTGACATTTAGATTACTGTAAAATACAAATAATTGAAAAATAACATGATTTTCACATTTTTTGCTTAAGATTTTCCGATATCTGAAAATACATATTATACAGACTTAGATTGAGGCTCTGTCCTTTATTACACAGGCAAAACAGAATGAAGTTATGTGATTACAATTTGATTTTGTGTAAATGAATGTCTTCACGTTTCCAGAGTTTTGTTACTAGCCAAGTCTTAAAAGTTACTTGCCACTGCAAGGCTGGAGATTCCAGGCACACTTACCAGAGATGAATTTCTATTTGCAAAGGCTACATTTTTAAGCCTGTAAAGACATGTGAGTGAAATCCCATAGCTATGTTACATGCCATTTTTATGTATGGCACATTTTAAAAATGTACACTTTTTGTGCCATGATTTTCATTACAGGTCAGGTCCAGGTGATGACAAAACAAATGATTTGCAAACTAGTTCAGGAGGCAAATAAAGGATCACAGCAGGTTGGAGACGAGCTATTATTTTTTTAATGCGTTATATACTTAATAAGACACAAGGTACTCATTTTAAGCTCAGGCGTTTATAAAAATCTCCATTATTTTCTGCATTTGCAGTGAAATGTCACCACACTAGGAAGTGACTCAGAGAACAACGCTGCTCAGTTAACTTTTCATAAATACAGCAAGGGATTCTGCTAGTTATAGTTCAATTGTCAGCTTTCTATGGTCGAAAACTTTCATCTCCTTGAAACCCACCATGTTCTGCAGGTGTATTGGACCAAAAATTTAACAATACAGGTTGGGAGAGAGTAAGGAAAAAAAGGGTAGGCCTATGGAACAAAAATAAATTATTAGAAAAAAATATATAAAAATGGCTAGTAAGCCATTGATTTGATAGTCACTGAGCAGAATGGTTTTGAAGTGATAGATTGTTGTTTTTTATTCTTTACTTGGGGTCACATGTAATCCAAACTGGTCAAAATCAATATTCTGTACTGTCAAAAATGCTCTGGCCTAGTTAAAGTTGAATTCTGAAACACAAAGTGAAACATTATTGTAAATTGTCCTATGGTTCACCTGTCATCCACCTTTAATTACATCATTATTCATTAAAGAAGTAGAAACGCAGATGTAACCTTATTGCCACATACCAGTTTGTAAAATTATATATTAACGTATAACAAAGGTACCTTCTAAGAACCATGACCACTACAAGAACTATAATCACTGTTGTAGTAGTTGTGGTGCAAATAAGCTATGGCGCCACTAGGTTCTGTGTCAAACTGTTTTCAGGAAATTTGTCAAAAAACAGTGGTGCCTCAGGCACTCATGACCAAATTGCTGTATTCTGCAATATTAATGCCAATAACATCCCATGTTTATTCGGCAGTGATAGGCTGACTATGTCATAGCCTACTAGCACCATAGCCACCACAAAGTATTGTAGGGTTTATGGTGTGTTTAGATTGACAAATTAAGCTCTATTGGTCATGTGCTATAACCAAATCCAGGTGTTGAGGATTACATTTCCCATTATGTTCTTGGAGCCATTATATAGGAATTGTGTGTGTGATTACATTTAAATCAAAGAGGAAATTGATAGATGCACACATTGCAAAGAATAAGCTAATTTAAATGTCAATTGATTGTGAATTATGGTTTTAGAAATACAAGTGCAAGAATTTTCATTTTACATTTTTATTTTCTGACAATATTCAAAATATAATAGTGCCATATTAAAAAAAAACTAGTATTGTCTACAAGTAGGTGTATGATGGAACATCTGCAGGAATAGTGGGAATGATGCATTGTGGTGGTCCAATGGGTGATGGAGTGTCCAAGAGAATGAGCTACTGTACTGCAGCATATATTAGAATCTCTTGGGGTGTGATATGGAATGCTCAAAGCAAAATTGCAAAATGAGAAAAAGAATGTTGGGCTGTAGGTAAATAACACCAGTTTATCAATGAAGTTATGAGAGAAGTTCAAGAATCTATTAGGGAATCTAATTTATATCACTCGTTATTCTAAAGACGTTTCTACACATGCTTAAACTCTGTTCATCCATTAAATTATGGAACAAAGTGACCAATCACATGATAAAAAAGTACAGATTGTTAAAGAGAAATATTTAGGTACATTCTAGCAAAGAGACTTCTTTACATTGTGAAAATTCTGTGTGGTTTTAGTGATGATATGTACAGGATGTGGTTTTAAGACACTAGCTCAGGCTTCCTCTAAAGCTGTGATCATAGAATTTAGTGCAAAAAAAAAGGGGGTTTGGTTTTTGCTAAATGTTTTTCACGTCAAGGGTGGTAATCATTTCTGTAGCAAGGCTGCTTCCTCTATAATAACCACTTCCTGTGCAAATAAAGTGTTTGAACGGGTATTCATCTAGGTGCACAGACCTGAAGAAATAAGCGAACAGGTGTACGAGCCTCATGAGAATGAAACAAAACTTTGGGACGTCATAAGAACCTGGGAATAATGGTGGGCTGACTATCTAAAGGAGCTTTAGTCTTTCTATGGAAAAAGCATTACAATCGAGACGATTTATTGTTCTGGTTTTGTTTTTGAAATGTGCTGGATTGCCATCTTAAATACTACGTACTCTGACAATAACCCGGGGTGGTCTTGAACAAAAGCTGTGTGATGTCACTCGCAATGAAAGCAAGACAGAAAGGGAAAAAGAAATCCGGAAAGGACAAAGTCTTTGGATGTGACTTGGTGGAACATTTACAGTTGTCTGGACAAGAAGGTATGGGTCTTAATCACAAAAATCTAATTTCTTTTAGTAGTACATCTAAAGGAAGACGTGTAAATAAAAACATACTAATAATCTGTGAAGTACAACAGTTTCAGAGTAATACAAATAATTCAAAATGCCAACAACAAAATATGTGACTTCACCAGGTGGAACTCTGAGAAGATGGCATCATATCGGACAGAGTACATTAAATAAACCACCTGTTCCATTCAGAGATATTAACTACAGTAGGACAATAAAGCGTATGATACCATATCCCTGCATCGAATGTGTAATATATACTCGAAAATGTATTAACTAAAACATGTGCCAACTGATTTTGTACATGGTAAACTTTTTGTGTGCAACTTGTACATTTTTTAGTTGCTAGATCGCTTACAAAGAAAACATGTACATATAATGTTAAACTTCCCAATCCAGATATAGGATTCAAATCAAACTTCTCCAGTGCCACATATAATTTCCAAAGTTTGCAACACCAAGGGCCGCAAAGGACTTTTGCCCAAACTTAGGCCGCACCCTAATTCTCCACATACACCTATATTGTGCATTAATATCCTGTATATTGGGCAAACTCATAACTGAAAGCTATTCCATCTTTTAAATGATTGTCAACACAGACAGTTTAATTTTTTTGATAATTTAAGAATTGGAAAGGCCGTGAAACAAAAGAATATGTTTTTTTTTTGTTTTTTTTAATATAGGACATGGTTTCCTGAGCTGCATTATGCAATGCTCACACAGGAAATTAACTTGTGCAAACCATTGCTTCTGTTTTCTTTCAAAGTGCAGCAATGAGCACTTGTACTCGTGATTTAACCAAATAAAATTATATGTAACCGAGCCTATTTTTTTTCTAAACAAACAATATTATTTAGCTTAATATTTAGGTGCTTCAATTAATACTTCAACGTTTTAGCAAGTCCAACTATATTAACTACTAGCAATGTACAGATCTCATGGGGATACGTGTTTGTATGCTGTAAAATACTTCAATATGATAAAAAAAAAAAATATATATATATATATATATATATATCTCACTCTAGACCAGGCTTCCCCAAACTCCAGGTGTTGCTGAACTACAACTCCTATGATTCTATGAATGAAATAGATAGGTTGAGAATCATGGGAGTTGTAGTTCAGAAACATCTGGAGGGACAGAGTTTGGGGAAGCATGCTCTAGATTAAAGAGAGTCAGATATTTTACAGTGTTGCTTTTAATTTTAACAACGAACATACAATCCTCATCTGTGTGTGTGAACTAATTTTGATAATTGAGCCTATTGAGCCTAAATGGTACTTCACACTCCAGGTACTCACGCATGATATTTGCAATATGTAGGTTAGCTTATAGTTATTTTTTGTTCCATATTATCATACTTCCTGCCCCTCCCTCCCAATCTACAGTGTTTTGTTATTACTCTAATAAGAAAGTTGTGTTGTAGTTTCAACTGTTTTTTTTTAAAGGAGAAGCTGACAATTCAACTACAACTGTCATTGAGTCATACCCTGGTTTTGGTAAGAACTCATTGCACTTATGGGGTAAGCTTAGCAATGCCATAAAATGTTAAGGGAGCATAATGATACGTTGAATCAGCTCACTGCAGATGCTGTAAACCCTGAAAATGTACTGGAAATGCAAGAACTTCTACAGTGATTATTTTTTTAGTAATCAACTCTAGCTGCACTCGAGCAGGGACTCATGGGATGCTAGAAGTTATGAGTGAAGATATAAAATTCAGTTTATAAAGGAGCTTTAAAGAGAGCACATTGGACCTTTTCCCCTTATCCCCTACGTGGTTGGGTTTAGCCCAATAGGTCAATGAACACCTTTGAAGGGTATCTTAGATTAGCTTAAAGCAGATGATCGTAGTAGTCCCATATATCATAAATATATACGGGACTACTGTGTCTTATAGACAAGCCTGAGGATGACAAAAGGTGGAGCTACTGAGCTACTCTGTCAGCTTTTGTCCAGTTCCATCATCCACCACAAGGGACTGTGGGATTTTGGCATTATCTTTGGAGGCTCCCATGCTCTAGCGGGATACTCCATAGACCTCGGAGCTCCTGGCAGTTCAGCTCCTGAACTGCCAGGAGCTGAAGGGGACTTGCGGGATGAAGATAGTGGCGGCCACAAGGGACAGTCTGAGGTAAGTAAAACTTACCTTCCAGTGAATCGTACACTTTTGGGGGTCTTTGTGAAATATGCACAGAACCCCAAAACTGATAGATCCACTTTAATATATACTATTGGATATCAATATTTCCATTGTGTTAGGTTGTTGATATTATCAAATGTATTATTAGCACAAGCAAAAATGTTTACAAATAATATTAAAAGTTTGTATATGAAAATAGTTTGGGTTTTAGCTTAGCCACAGTCACACGCAATATTTCAGATGAACTATCATATTGATTTTCTTCCAGACCTGCATTTAGTGTGCCTCTGCACAGTTTATAAACTGTTGATGTTGTCACCTAATTCACTGCCCAACTGATGCGTTCCATATGTTTCTTGTTGTTGAATTTGTTACTAACAGAACACATCAATTAACAATAGTTAGTAACTAACAACACATTTAAACTAACAGTACTAAGGCTTTGCACTTACTAACAACTGTCTAGTCTGGAGAACAAAAACAACAGAAAAATAGCCAACAGTATTGTATTGCATTGCATACCAATTTGTGTATCACCATCTAGCTCCTCAGGGTTCAGTTCTTATTTACCTTTGAGGGTCTAACATGTCTCTACGTGCCTTCTTTAAAATTTACCAGATTATTGTCTGATATAAATTGGGAGTAGATCTTCTTACCTGGCAAGAGTTTATGTTCATAGGCCACTGTGTTGGGCCTCAAGCAAAGCCATCCATTGAGGAATCCAGATCAGATTAAGCCAGATTTACAACCACACCTGCTTACTTTGCCTTTTGTGACAGACTCTACCTTTCCAAGACTATATTTACACTAATGTGTTTAACCCAGGTTTTAATAGAATATCACAAGAGTGTACTATTTGTCTTTCATTAACCACATGTGCATACAGCATTTCTCTATAAAGGTTGTTAGATGTTGGTTCATTGTAGGCCCATATAAAAACATTCAAGCTCTTTTGAATTGTTGGAGTTCAAACTGATCTGATTTTAGATCAAAATAATCAAATTGAAAACACACATGAGCATTCTTGAGGTTTAAAACATAAAATTCACTTTGAATTCACAATGTACGCATTAGTGAGTAGTCCTGCGGGGCTCAGGGTGGTATAACCAAAACGACAGAAAGAAGTAAGGATGAGCACTGGGGACCCGCACATGGACTTGGAACACTATGCGGTCCATGTGGAAAGGTTCAAATATCTTCCCAACTGAACCACATTGTGGTTTTTGCTCTTTTCGCTCACAGACAGTTTTGCCTGGTAATGCATATTGGTGGCGTGGCTTTGTCATAGGGACTCAAGTGTTGAAATGGAACAGTGGTGGATCCAGAGCCTTATTTAAAGAAACAATCCAGGCACAATAACCACTACATCTCTCTGTAGTGGTTATGGTGACATGAGTGCCATGGCACCCTCCAAGAGTAACTAGTCAAGCCGTGTAAGAACAGTTTGACAATTTACCTGGGTTCTGCCAGGATATGGGCTGTAGTAGGGGACAGGGCTTCTAGTAATGTGTGTGTGTGTGTGAGTAGGCACTGTGTGTGTGAGGGGTGCAGTATGTGTGTATGGGAGGCAGTGAGTGTGTGAGGGATGCAAGGTGTGTATGGGAGGCAGTGTGTGCGCGAGAGATGCAAGATGGGTATGGGAGGCAGTGTGTGTGAGGGGCAGTGCATGTATATGGGGCAGTGCGTGTAAAAACATAACATGTGGGTGCATAACATGTGGGTGCAGTGGGAGCACTGTGTGTAGGAGGGACAGTGTGTGTTTGTGTGAGTGGTGTAGTGTGTGCATGGGAGTGCAGTGTGTATATGTGAAGAAATCCCCCTTTTATTACACTATTTTCTGCCTATTGCATTCGGTAGTTGTAACTACCGAACAAAGACCACCCCCCTGGCTCTTTAAACATCAAAGACTGCTTCAATTGTTGCCTCTGTCTGTGCGGCCAGCGTTCGTACTGCCGAACGCCACGTGGCAGAGAAAACCGTGGCCATCTTTGTTCGTGCGAACAAAGGCAGCGGGACTTGGTCGTCGAGTGTATGGAACTGAAATCGCACACTCGACTTCCCGAACACCGGTCTCAAACAGACGAACGCTGGAACTCTACTTACCGAATAGCTAGAAGAGCGCTATTCGGTACTTTGGTGCATTCGACAGAGGGGAACGATTGCTGCTAAGAGCCAGGGGGATCCATTCGTTACTTTGTTCGCTTTTCTCATTTTTCTACAGTGACAAGCAAAACCCACCAAACTCATGGAACTGTTTTGGGCATACAGCCCAGGGTGAGCCGGTTACAGAAGACCTCCATAGTTTTTGAGAACCCCTGAACCGATCTGGGTGAAATTCGGATATGTTGGTCACCCAGATCAGGGCTATCAGGGGACATGTTATTTGTGGGGATACTCCAAGTATAAAGGGGTGTCCCAGTTATTGGGGAAAAATTTGATTTTTCTGCCTGGAGATAATCAAGTTATTATTTTATCAGACTTAATTATCTCCAGAGCTAGGGGAGGGAACTGTGGGTGTGTGTTATGTTTTTACAGTACGTGATTGGTTAGTCTTTGTCCCTCCCTGAGGGATGTCCCCTTGCATGGGGACTTGCATAAAAGCCTGTGTGCACCCATTAAAAGTTAGTTCATTTTGTACCCTTCTTCTTGACTTCGGCTGATGTTTGGGGATTCGTATGCTTTATTAAGGGAATTATCTTATGAAGCTATTTGTATTCATATGGACTTCATCGATTTCAGCTACCGAACAGAGAGCTATATTCACTGATGCTCTGGCGGTTCGGGAGGAAACTACCGAATGAGGTTTAAATATACTTGGTTTCCTTACAGTATATATGGGGTGCAGTGGGAGCACTGTGTGTATGGGGCCATTGCGTGTATGAGAGTGTAGTGGGGGCAGTGTATGTATGAGAGTGCAGTTGGTGAACTGTGTATATGGGGGTACAGTGTTTGCATGTGGAGCACTGTGTGTATGGGGGTACAGTGGGGGCAGTGTGTGTATGGAGAAGTATGTGTATGTATTTAGAGTGGGGGCAGTGTGTGTATGGGGGTGCAGTTGGGGCAGTGTGTATATGGGGAGCTGTGGGGGCAGTTTGTGTGCAGTTGGGGGTGGGATCAGATTAAAACAAATGTTTTTTTTTTTATTAACAAAATATTCTTTATATCCCCCCTCCCTTCTTACCTTTGCCTAGGTAAGGGGGATATCAATTGTGAAGCCCTAGTGGTCAAGGGAAGAAATTCCCTGGCGGTTCTAGTGGGGAGTGAACTCTAGCCTGCAGCTCCTAAGGCTAGAGTTCACTCTCACGAGAACGGAGAATTGCCATGGTAATGCTCCATGCTCGCTAAAAGAGACCCCGCGGAGCTGCAAGCTAGAACTCCTGGGTAGCCTCTCCCTCCCGTGCCAACCGCCCAGCAATGAGCCTGCGGACCAGTGAGTTAGATCTCTAATCTCCCCTCCGGTCCGTGAAGGCAATTAGCAGGGCCGGCGCTTGGATAGCACTGGCCCTGCAGGGGAGAGCATCGGCTCTCGGGGTGGGGGGAGCAATTGCCCCATTGTCCCCCCTCCCCCCCCGGATCTGCCACTGAGATGGAAGAACTCCTCTTCAAGATATAAAGCCATATATTTGAAGTCTTACCAACTCATACTGCAAGCTTTCTAGGGCATTCTATTATGGTTTCTTTGTTATACTTTTCATATGCTTATGATCTTCTACAGGTTAACCATAAAAATACTGATGAGATCTTCCTATTCTGAACTATACAAGACAACAGTTAATTCCTCTCCCTCTCCCGCCCACCTTCCCCGTCTGAGTGCTGCCCAGGGCTTTCTCAGATTATCACTTGGAAAACAAGAGCCTCTTCTAGATTATAATATATCAAAATAATAGGAGTTAGTTTATGCAATAGATCCCTTTATGGATTCCTAAGTTATGTACTACAGCCATGTCATAAGCAACCTGCTACTGTGACTCACATGTGGCTGAAACTGACTTCAGAATTTGAATAGGTAACAAATCTGACAAGAAAGGCCTGGGCCGCATGAACATCTGAGGATGGAGGCAGAACAGGCCGTTGAACTAGAAATCTCAGAAGCTTATCACCCATTTGTTCAGAATACCACTCTTTCTGTTCTCTATTAAGAATGATGGGCTAGGGGTTTGCAACAAGAGCTGTTCTGTGCACCTGATGCAACTTTAACCCACCAAATATCATGTGATGGGAACATCCGGCCATCCTTAGTACTTGTTGATCCCAGGAAATAAATACATATACAGCCATTTTCTTCACCATTAAAGTGTATGTGTGTGCCAGTGTTTTTTGCATGTGCAATGTAAGTGTGAGCACGCAAGTCTCTATCTCTCTGTGTTATATATTTAAGTTTGCATTTTTGTGTGCATGACAATGTTTCTGCACCTGTACAGTGTAAAAATGTGAGCATGCCAGGTGTACCTGTGTTTTCCTGTGTATGTAGTGTTAGTGTGAGGGTATGCTATTGTTTCTAAAGCTTTGCAGTGTCACAAAGTGTATAAGTGAATATCAATGTGAGAGCATGCAAGTGTACCAGTTCAAGTTCACGGTCAGTGTATGCATGTCAAAGTTATTCTTTGTGTTTATCATCAGTATGTTCTCTATGTGTGTATGCCAGTTTTTCTATATTCAAGCGTACGGCAGGCCTGCTCACTCAGCTGCCTCTGCTTACCTACCCAAATCAAACACATAGAATTACATTCCCCCTCACTAATTTAAATCTCCATTTACATTCCCATGTCATGCAACTCCTTTATCACCCTCTTCATGAACTTGTGGCAATAATGGCAACTGATAATGTAGATTTAGTCGCTGTTATGGAGACATGGTACAATGAGAAAAATGAATGAGACATAACAATACCAGGGTACTCTTTATATAGAAAAGACAGGGAAGGCAAGAAAGGGGGAGGTGTGGCCCTGTATGTGAAGGATAGCATAAAATCTAGCCTAATAAAAGTTAGTGAGGCGAACATAGAGTCCGTTTGGGTTACGTTAGAATTTGGAAATCACACAGTAACTTGTATAGATGTGATTTATAGGCCCCCAGGACAAATAGAAGAGTTAGATAATCTACAAGTCGAGGAAATAGCTAAAATGACACTGAAAGAGGAAGTTATCATCATGGGTGACTTTAATCTTCCTGATGTGAACTAGAAACCCAAAATAGCTGCTTGTGTCTTAAGCACACATATTCTAAACTCCCTACTGGGATTGTCTCTAAAACAAGTCGTTGAGGAGCCAACTCGTAAAAAGGCCATACTAGATTTAGTGTTAACAAATGGATATTTGGTATCAGATATTACTGTACGTTAAAGTTTAGAATCCAGTGATCATCAGTCAGTGTGGTTTAATATAAGAGTCACACCACACAAAAACAAAAGTTTTAGACTTTAGAAAAACAGATTATTCTAAAATTAGAATATGTGTAAAGGAGTTCTTATCGGACTGGAGCAATTTAAATGGAGTCCAAGAGAAATGGGATATTTTTAAAAGTTGTGCTGCTGAAGGCACAAAAAATTGCATTAGGCTTGTCAGTAAAATAAAAAAATTCAAGAAACCACTGTGGTACTCCGCAGAAGTGGCCAAAAGAGTAAAAAACTAAAAGTTAGCATTTAGTAATTATAAAAAAAACCAGAGTGAGGAAGACAGAATGAGCTATAAGATTAGACAGAAAGAGGCTAAGCAAGTTATAAGAGCTTCCAAATCACACACAGAAGAGAAAATAGCAGTCAGTAATAAAAGGAGACAAAACATTTTTTAGATACCTAAATGAGAAAAGGAAAGTAAAACAAGGATTAGTTAGATTAAAAACAAAAGAAGGAAGGTATGCAGAAGAGGATAAAGGTCTAGCTGACTGCCTCAATGAGTATTTTTGTTCTGTATTTACAGATGAAAATGAAGGAAAGGGGCCTCAGTTAAGAAAAAGGACAAATGAGTAATTTCTTACATGTGAGTTTACATAGGAAGAGGTTCTATTTCAAATGTCAAAGGTAAAGACAAATACGTCAATGGTACCTGATGGAATGCACCCAAAGTTATTAAAAGAGCTTAGTGGTGTACTAGCAAAACCATTAACAGATTTATTTAACCAATCATTAACAGGAGTAGTCCCAGAGGATTGAAAGTTAGCGAATGTTGTGCCCATTGACAAGAAAGGTAGTAGGGAGGAGTCGGGCAACTATAGGCCAGTAAGCCTTACTTCAGTAGTGGGGAAAGTAATGGAAACCATGTTAAAGGATAGGATTGTTGAACATCTAAAATCATGTGATTTCAAGATCAGAGACAACATGGGTTCACTTCAGGGAGATCATGCCAAACTAATCTTATTGATTTTTTTTGATTGGGTAACTAAAATAATAGATCAGGGTGGTGCAGTAGACATTGCTTACCTAGATTTCAATAAGACTTTTGACACTGTTGCACATAGAAGGCTTATCAATAAACTGCAATCTTTAAGTTTGGATTTCATTGTTGTTGAATGGGTAAGGCAGTGGCTGAGTGACAGGCAACTGAGGGTTGTAGTCAAGGTATGTCTTTTTGCTGATGATACAAAAATATGTAAGAGGGTTGATGTTCCAGGAGGGATAAGCCAAATGGCAAATGATTTAGGTAAACTAGAAAAATGGTCAGAGTTGTGGCAACTGACATTTAATGTGGATAAGTGCAAGATAATGCATCTTGGACGTAAAAACCCAAGGGCAGAGTACAGAATATTTGCTAGTCCTAACCTCAACATCTGAGGAAATGGATTTAGGGGTGATTATTTTTGATGACTTAAAGGTAGGCAGACAATGTAATAGAGCAGCAGGAAATGCTAGCAGAATGCTTGATTGTATAGGGAGAGGTCTTAGCAGTAGAAAGAGGGAAGTGCTCATGCCATTGTACAGAACATTGGTGAGACATCACTTGGAGTATTGTACGCAGTACTGGAGACCTTATCTCCAGAAGGATATTGATACCTTAGAGAGGGTTCAGAGAAGGGCTACTAAACTGGTTCATGGATTGCGGGATAAAACTTACCAGGAAAGGTTAAAGGATCTTAACATGTATAGCTTGGAGGAAAGACGAGACAGGGGGGATATGATAGAAACATTTAAATATATAAAGGGAATCAACACAGTAAAGGAGGAGACTATATTTAAAAGAAGAACTACCACAACAAGAGGACATAGTCTTAAATAAGAGGGGCAAACGTTTAAAAATAACATCAGGAAGTATTACTTTACTGAGAGGGTAGTGGATGCATGGAATAGCCTTCCAGCTGAAGTGGTAGAGGTTAATACAGTAAATGCGTTTAAGCATGCGTGGGACAGGCATAAGGCTATCCTAACTATAAGATAAGGCCAGGGACTAATAAAAGTATTAAGCAAATTGAGCAGACTAGATGGGCCGAATGGTTCTTATCTGCCGTCACATTCTATGTTTCTATGTTTCTTCCATTTACATCACTGTCCACCGTTTAGATTCATACATGCCTGAATATTAACAATTTTTCTCCACCAGTTCCCTAAGACTTCCTTATATTTTTATTCCCACACACCTATCACAGCTCAACCCCGTTTACATTCCACTACGTCCATGTCCAATATATTCACACCACTATTTTAATTTCATTTTATTCCCCGATATCCTTTTTCTATTTAATCCACACTTATTTTACATTCCAGAGTTGCATGTCTCCTAATTTTCTTTATTAAATACCACTTTTCTTACTACATTCCTCTCCTGACCGCTTCCAGGGACCCTACTTGTCTGTATCACAAAGTGTGAGCATTTAGCTAATATAATATTGAGCCTACCCAGACTATTTGTTGCCGCATTTTAAATACTCCATGCACAGTGCCTGAGTTTGAGTAAGCGGTTTTCTACTTTGTTCTACAGAGGTTTTATATGCTGTTCCTTGCTCTGTTGTAATTCGAGCTCTGCCACCTTACAGACACATTCACCAAGGTTGAAGTTTCACCTACCAGTGACTAATGGGCAGGTAGACATTTTCTTGCTGCACTTAACTATCTTACATGTTCATGTCTCTAACACAAATAACCTCAAAGTCATGCGATGCTCAAGCTGGGTGACTGGGTGAGGAGAAAGTGTGCTTGCCCCTGCCTAACAACGGGTCTGGAACTATATGAAGATATTGAAGAAAACTCACCAGAAGCCAGAAATGAAATCAGTAAGTCTTCGATAATGAGTGGGGAAGCCACTTCCGCACTTTCCAAGTAAAAGAACTAGAATAAGAAGACCAATAAAACAAACTTCCAATCATCTGGACGACTTAGCTTTCTCTGTGTTAGGTATTTTTACTGTAATGTAATATGAATTTTGCCACCATGCTAACCTATTGGAATTCTTACTAATTTACAGATTACTAAAATTGGAACTCTAATTTAGTGGTCCTTAATCAAGTCCTTGAGGCACACCAACAGTCTGGTATTTACTTTACTTTTCAATGGAGATAGACAAGACTGGTCCATCTGTCTTTCAAGGACTGGATTGCGAACCACTTTGTCTAAATCATGTTGTAACGTCTCCTGTGTGTACAGGCACCCCACTTTCTAATTTGTGACATTTAGGACATTCAGGCATAGTCACAGCAGTGTTATTGCAGCTTGTGTCCACATTTGACTTAAAAGCTTTTTTTTAGACACATTTTTGTGTTTCTACACCTATATGCCCTTTTGAACACTTTTTTAACACACGTCAGTGCCTCCTGTCACCCTTATAGGATTGGTATAAAAGGTTTTTAAAGGGACACTATAGTCACTCAGACCACTTCAGCTCAATGAAGTGGTCTGGGTGCCAGGTCCCTCTAGGTTTAACCCTGCCTGCTGTAAACATAGCAGTTTCAGAGAAACTGCTACGTTTACATTTGGGGTTAAGCCAGCCACTAGAGGCACATCTGCGACGCTGGAGACATTTAATGCCTCCATCACGCAGAGCGTCCATAGGAAAGCATTGAAAATTGCTTTCCTATGGACACTTTGCATGCGCGCGCGGCACTGCCGCGCATGCGCATTCCGCTCCGCTGACGTCAGACGGGGGAGCTGACATCGGCGGGGGAGGAGAGGTAAGAGAGCCCGGCGGTGGAAGAAGGTGAGTAACTGAAGGGGTTTTAACTGTTTTCCTGACACTATTGTGATCGTTTAAAGTTATTCTGGTATTCAAGTTGTTTGCGTTTTAAAAGGATATAACATTTAAACCTTCTAGGCTTTGGTTTTGCCCACTTAATTTTTTATTTAACATGCCTGATTGAAGAGTATACTGAAACTGAGACTCTTGGAGGAGGGGAGCTTAATCTTTTATGGGTCACAATAGTTGTCAATGCTTAGAGAATTGTTGGAAATGTAGGATTTATTTTTTTAAACTGGGAATTTGCAGAGAATTGTAGAGTTTAGGCAACAATAAGAAATGCTTAATCTTGGATACTTTTCCAGCAGTGATATTTCATCTTAAGATTTGTAATTCTTCTATTCTCTATGATTTCCTAGGTTAGACAGTAACACTGTGGAATTTATTCAATAAACAGCAAATTGTAGATTGCAAGCATGCTTGAACAGGCCCACGTCACCTGTTTCTGTTGTCTTTAATTAGTGTGTAGTATTGCTCGTCCAGATTAGCAGGCAATCTCCCTGCATTTTTTTGATCTCCAAATAAATCATATATACAATGATCAGCCATGACATTAAAACCACCTGCCTAATACCATGTAGGTCCCCTCATGCTGCCAAAACAATTCTGATGAGTCGAGGCATTGACTCCACAGGACCTCTGAACATGTGGTATCTGGCAACAATACATTAGCAGCAGATCCTTTAAGTCCTGTAAATTGTGAGGTGGGGCCTCCATGGATTGAATTTGTTGCTCCAGCACATTCACAGATGCTCATTGGGATTGAGAGCTCAGGAATTTGGAGGCCAAGGCAACACCTTGAACTCTTTGTCATGTTCTTCAAACAATTCCTGAACAATTTTTGCAGTATGGCAAACTGAAAGAGGATAATGTACCCTGCCATTAGGGAATACAATTGCCATAAAGAGGTGTACGTGTCTGCAACAATCTCTAGGTAGATGGTACCTGTCAAAGTAACATCCACATGAATGCCAAGACCCAAGGTTCCCATATTGGATCCTGCTGCCACACGCACACGGCCATCCACCTGATCTAAAAGAAAATTTAATTCATCAGACTAAGCAGCGTTCGTCCATTGTTCTATGGTCCAGTTCTGATGCTAATGTCTCCACTGAAGGCGCTTTAAGTGGTGGACAGAGGTCAACATGGGCACTATGCAGCCTCATATGCAGCAAACTGTGATGCATTATGTGTTCTGACACCTTTCTATCATGGCCAGCATTAACTTTTTTAGCAATCTGAGCTACAGTACATTGAGCTACGGGCTAGCCTTCACCCATGTGCATCAATGAGCCTTGGACTCCCATGACCATTTTGGTAGGTACTAACCACTGCATACTGGCAACACCCCACAAGACTTGCCAATTTAGAGATGCTCCGACCCAGTCGTATAGCCATCTCCATTTGGTCCTTTTAAAGTCACTTAGATCTTTTTCACTTGCCCATTTTTCCTGCTTCCAACACATTAAATTCAAGAACTGCTTAATATATCCCACCCCTTGACAAGTGCCGTTGTAACAATTTAATCAATGTTATTCCCTTCACCTCTCAGCACTTTTAATGTTGTAAAGGCAAAAAGGGAATTAGGGGCACACCCAGAACATTTCTCAAGAATGGTGCTACTAAAGAGACCAAAATGTATACATAATACAGACTAAGCTACAGCGCACACATTATTATGATGTTATTATTTATATAGCGCCATGATATTCCGTAGCGCTGATATAAAAATAGTTAAAAATTTTATAAGGCTACTTAATATCACCTATCTCAGCAAACAAATATGGAAACTCAGTTCCACAATATGGCCATATTGTGTGTGTTATGGCCATATTGAGCCTATCACTATTTCACACTATCACAATATCAGTGGGTCCTACATTAATTCCAACATGGGTGACAAATGAAATAGTGCTAGTGCTGAATGAACTAAAGGGTATTTGATTAAAGGGACAGTTTAGGCATAATTACAACTTCATCTAAATTAAGTTGTTATGGTGCCAGGAGGCCCCTGCGCACACTCTTTCCTCAATTGGTAAAACCTTTCTCGAACAATTTAACCACATAGTTGCCTCCAGTGTGGATCTCAACTTCCCCCAGGCGACATCCAGCTTCAGAAAATTTTTGTTTCAGGAAGCACGGAGTGCCACCGGGTCAGCTGGGATTAGTGTAGAACCCACCAATATTGGGGTACTGTGAAGTACTGATGTGCTTAACACATAGTGACCATATGGTGGAACTGAAATTGTTTGCCAAGATAGGTGATGTTAAGTAGCCTTATAACATTTTAAACTATATTTTAATGGGTGCTGTACCTTAATCTTTATTATAGGTTAAATGTTGTGGCTGATCAGTGTATCATCCCTATAACCCTCGTCCTCTATTCACGAGGGCCGGTGCAAGGATTTTTGACTACACAGGCAAAGATGCATTTTGCCACCCCCCTCCCCGTTGAAAATTTTTTTTATCTTCACCTGTGTGTCTTTTACCCCCCCTTTTGACTAACTTACCCCCTTTAGTGATTTATATCCCATTTTTTATGTCTTGCCCCCCCTTTTATCTGCTGTGTCCCCCCTATGCTGTATTTTATCTCTCATGTGTCTCTTAAAACCCTCCTTGTGTATTTTTACTTCCCCAGCCCTTTGCCTTTCTCTCTCTTCCCCAGCCAGCTTTTGTGTCTTTCATCCCCCTGCCCTTTTGTGTGGCTCTTTCTCCCCGACATATTTGTGCGTCTTTTTACCCGAGTACCTTTGTGCATCTCTTTCTGCCCCTAGCCCCTTTGTGCTTCATTCTCCCCCACAGCCCCTCTGTGCATCTTTCCCCCAGCCCCTCACCCTTCTGTGCGACTTTGTCCCCTTTGTGTTTGCCCCCCCTCAACCCGCCTGTTTGTTTATTTGTGCCCCCCAACCCTCCTGTGTCTTTTAATATTCTCCCGTACCTTTTATTGCTCCCCTCCCCTCCTGTACCTTTTATTGTCTCACCTCCTCCCCTCCTGAACCTTTATAGTTGACCTTTCCCTCCTGTGTCTTTCAATGTACCCTGTACCTTTTAATGTCCCCCTCCCATCCCATTTATTGTCCCTCCTTCCTCTTCTGTACCTTTCATTGTCCCCCCTCCTGTATCTTTCATAATCCCCCATAATGTTCCTTTTACTGTCTCCCCTCCTGAGCCTTTCATAGTCCCCCCTCCTTACCTGTCCCTTTTCTTGTCCCCCCCATCCTGTACCTTTTATTGTACCCCTACCCTCCTATACCCTTTCCTCCCTCCTGTCCTGTATCTTTTATTGCCCCCTCCCCTCTTGTACCTTTTATTGTTGTCCCCTGTATCTTTTATTATCCCCCATCCCCCTATTCTACCTTTTATTATTGTCCCCCCTCATGTACCTTTTATTGTATTCCCTTTTGAACCTTTCATAGTCCCCCCCCTTCCTGTACCTTTTATTGTCCCCTTACCCTCCTGTTCGATTTGTGTCCAACCTTTTTTAAACACTTTTACAAGATACAGAACTTTCTTGGAGCCTTTTCCTCTAGTGTATCATGGCCAGTGCAAACCAATATCACTTTATATTCAAAAAGGGCCATGACTGACCAATTAGAATTGCTATTTGATATTGGACATTGACTGGAGGGGGGCTAACAAAAAACAGAGTCTCTAAGTGAGCCTTGGAAAGGGGGAAGCGAACTATGAACAATTTGAAACTGTATGTTAGATATTCTAATGTTAAATTCTAAAGTTCTAAATTAAATTGAATATGTTATGCCAGATTACAGTAACCCGTTAACATTTAAATATATAAAGGGAATCAATAGGAGGAGACTATATTAAAAAGAAAAACTACCACAGAGTCTTAATTTAGAGGGGCAAAGGTTTAAAAATAATTTCAGGAAGTATTACTTTACTGAGAGGGTAGTGGATACATGTAATAGCCTTCTAGCTAAAGTGGTAGAAGTTAACACAGTGAGGGAGTTTAAGCATGCGTGGGGTATGTATAAGGCTATAACTTATACCTATAAGACTTAATATAAGGCCAGGGACTAATGAAAGTATTTATAAAATTGGGCAGATTAGATGGGACGAATGGTTCTTGTCTGCCATCACCTTATTATTATTATTTTATTTATATAGCGCCATCAGATTCCGTAGCGCTGTACATGGATGGACTAACAGACATGTAATTGTAACCAGACAACTGGACTTACAGGAACAGAGGGGTTGAGGGCCCTGCTCAATGAGCCTACATTCTAGACATTCTATGTTTCTATGTTAATGAGGCTGTGGCGAAGCCCTAACGCATTATATACGGTGCTTGCGTTTATTTATTGGTCTACTTGGTGATCATGGCCGTATGTGAAGTTATTTACTGGCAAATCCACTCTGCCTATATTGCAAAGGACTGCATGTTAGAGTAGTTAAACTGGTCTGTAATATCAGATGGTATTTCTACTATAAATGTGCATTTGTGCCTGCAGACATGTCCCATTTCTGAGAATTTGCATTGTCGATGGCGTCATTTGCAGGTTCTGTCTTAGAGATCCCGCAGACTGAAGTAAATTATTTCGATGTTTCACTTCCCTTTAAAAAATAGAAAGCGGAGTCTTCAACCTTTCCACTATAGCGCTGGAAGGGTTATTGCAGATAGCTGAGCTTGTTGCACTTACTTAGAGAAGGCGATTTTCCTGGATGTTGGACGTTTAGAGCATATAAATTTTGAGTGAAAAGTGACAAATATACATATATTTTTTAAAATACTTTTTCCTCACACAGTAGACCATGACACAGCACAATAAACTTGTTTGTCCAAGTAGATGAGGTTGATATTTTGCAGTCAGCATGTGCTTTTAACCAGAGGTCATGTGTCTTTGTGGTAGCAATAAATAACAGATGTTGCTTTTAAATGCACTGCTAGATCTCTTTCTAACACCTCTTTGTAAAAACCCACCTGGTTAATGCATTGCAGGTATTCTTACAGGGTGCTTGAGGTGAAGTTGGGAGTAGGTGTGACATTTATGCAGTTTTTTTATCATTGGTAATATGCCCACTCCTAGAGGGTGCAGGCCATGCCTCCCTATTTGAAGAGCCCTGTGCATTCTTGTGCATGAGCAAAATAAGACTGGAATCATTGTCTAATGCAACACCAATGCATATAAATATGCAATACATGCGACTACTGATGCGATGGTGGACCCTTTCAAAAATGTCCCTTGCAAACCAGCAAGTAGCGAGGCTGATTGGCAATTGTGCTGGTCAGTTCCAGTCAGGGTAGCACATGTGCAGACGGCAGTTGAAGTGGGCAAAACGTTCTTCATTCGTTTGACGAAGCGTGAGCACCTTATTTTTAATTTTTTTTACAAAAGTGAGAATTGTCATAAATTCTAAATCAATTTAAGCCCAAAGTAGCTGGAATGGAAGTATAACTGACTTGGAGAATTGTTCTACTTCTGCTATTTAGGCCTTCAATTTAAAATACACTTTTAATTCCCAACAATTCTCACTTTGGTGACTAATTGCTCATTGTGGACTTTTCTCTGGTTTTCCCAGAAGCAAGAAACCAGCAAACAAACCTAAGAAAGAAGTCATAGCGAAACTGTCCTGTGTCCTGCATATATACATGCTAGAAATGTACAAAAACGGGAGGCAGAACCTCTTGAGCACCTTTACAGACTACTTCCAGCTCCTGATCTGCCTGCTGAGCGAACTGACCCGCAGGCAAAACTTGGGGCCTGGCGAGAGATGTTGCTGGGAGACGCGGCCGATCTCCCTTTACCCAGCCTGCCCTGGCTTACTCCGAGTGCAACTTGGGCCCCATACTTGCCCCCAATGGGGGTTATTCTGAACCACGCTGGATTCGAGAGCAGTTACCCTGAACAATGTGGCGACTCTGGCAGACTGCACTTCCCAAAATGCCTGCCCCACATACTCCTAACAAGTGCTGCCTGAAATTGAAACCAGCCAACACGCATATCTTAGAGTATCGAACTCTGACTTACCTGGCTAGACTGGAGAAAACTGCATCCCTGCCCACAGCAACAAACCGAAAGATAGGTGGAGGGAGATCGGGATGCCACACACCGAACGGGCCGGCAACCACAGCTCTCACAACTGTCTATTTGATCGAGAGCTATGCGGAGCCTAGTCCCAACATGCCGACCGCATCTGCCTAGGTGCGCTACATGAGTCCGTCGACACTACCCTCTACAATGCTTCAGGGTCCTACGTGGCCCGAGGATGGAGGCCCTTTGGCAGATCTGGGGGTGGAAGGATGAACCTGCCTAGTGCTGCTCCCACAAATGGACTCTCCATGCATTTCCATAAGCTACCCAGTCAGGGGGTTGGTTGACTGTCTCTCAAGATCCAGCGGAATACTAGAGCTGTTTATCTCATTGCACATGCTTAGTCACTATTACTACTCCTGTGATATTCATGTCTTTGCTATCTGTCCCTATGTTATTAATTGATCCTTCATTTAGGCATGTAAATGTATGTCTCTCTTATGATATGTATACAAAATGGTGCTACTACCTTGACACATACTGTCCTCAAACCTTGTGATTTGGTTAATGTCCCCACTTGATTGTTGTTCCTCAAATGCGCCACAAAAATAAAAAAATGTAAAAAACAAACAAATGACTTGCCACTAATAAAATGTATCCCATCAGTTCCACAGGTATTAAAATGCTGCACAGAATTTGTGGAAGAACATGGAGTAGTAGACGGAATTTACCGACTGTGCGGGATCGCTTCCAATGTGCAGAAATTACGGTAAGTGAGCTAAAATTATGTATATAATCTGCAGTACAAATAAGATGGGGGAGAGTGTATAATGTTATAAAGCAGAAATCTCAAACTCTGTTTATCTGAGGATCACTGTGCAAGATGTCTTCTCACATGGGGACCTCTGATTCCTACTCCCACACAAAAAATACACACACAGATCCATATTCCCAAACACACTCACAGTTCTTCACTGACAGACACACAGATAATCACTTCCATACACAGTCATTGAAACACACATACAGGTACATATTATTATTGTATTCTTTATATAGCGCCAGCAAATTCCGTAGCACTGTATATTCGGACATACACACAATCACACAAACTGAATGAGCCACACACAGGCAACCCTGGAAAAATCCCTTAATGTAGTGTGGCCTAGTGGCATACTGAGGTCTAGTGCCGGTGTGCTTAAAGGTATTCTCTAGTGTCAGGAAAACAAACCCGTTTTCCTGGCACTAGAGAATCCTGGAGTGCCCCCGTCCCTCCCATCCCCCATCCCGTGTTGCTGAAGGGGTTCAAACCTCTTCAGACAATTACCTGAATCCAGCACCAATGTCCCTCGGTGCTGTGTCAGGCTCCACCCACTGTCCTCCCCCACTGAAGGAGACCTATTGAGTAGTGTATATGTGTTTGTACTCACACCTCTTGACCTTTCATCTCTATTATCCCTCTTTATGTCACTTGATAATTTACATTGAGGCTCCAGCAGATAGTGTGTAAACAAGGAGCAGGAAAATTATGTCCTGTCATGATCCTGGCCCTTCACACACATAATGCACAGCACTGTGCGCTAGATGAAGTCCTATCAGGAGAAAGCAGCCTCTCTATCATGACGCCATTCAGCCACGCTACATTAGTCAGACGGCAACCAGAAGCTCATTTAACATACTATGCAGTCAGCTTCCCGACATCTGGCAACCAATATTATAAGTTTCTTGGTCTACCTTCATCCCTTGGTCTACCTTGGTTATTAGGGCACTGAGAGCTAAATGACAGGTAAAATGATTACCTGGAGAGCCAGGGCACCATAACTAGTATAACTGACTGTAGTAGTTATGGTGCTTGGAGTGTTTCTTTATGTGCAATGTGAAAGTTACATTACAGCGAGGTATGCTGGATGGGTTAGCGTTTAAAAGACGTGTCGCACCCTTCCTGCCAGTCCCACCAAACTACAAAATTACAGTACAATAAATACAGTTGTATGTGATGCATTGCAAATACAATCCCCCCCCCCCCCCCCCCCCGCTTTTTTTTTTTGCTTGCATAGTTTCTAATTCATTATCTTTAAATGCATGAAAAATAAAAAAAAAATGCCATTTCGAGAGATGAAGTTCCTCTCTGACTGGACAAATTGCAAGGTTAAGTTATTAATTGTGCTGTGTCCTTCTGAATTACAGGCAGGAATTTGAAACAGATCGACTCCCTGATATGAACAAGGACACATACTACCAAGATGTACATTGTGTCAGTTCCCTCTGCAAAGCATATTTCAGACAACTGCCGAACCCACTGTTAACATATCAGCTGTATGACAAGTTTGCTGTAAGTACCAGCTCCCACCAAGTATTGATATAACCATTGCACCACATCCAATCTCTGCAACCAACTGTCACCTGCCAGACAATGAACAATATATATATATATATCGTGTGTGGGGGGTGGAGGGTGATAAGTCGGCTATATTTTGGCCAAATATTTCAAAAGTCCACAGTTACTTACCACTAAAAATGCAAAGGATGTCATAATATTTAGTGCCGGTGTGCTTAAAGGTATTCTCTAGTGTCAGGAAAACAAACCCGTTTTCCTGGCACTAGAGAATCCTGGAGTGCCCCCGTCCCTCCCATCCCCCATCCCGTGTTGCTGAAGGGGTTCAAACCTCTTCAGACAATTACCTGAATCCAGCACCAATGTCCCTCGGTGCTGTGTCAGGCTCCACCCACTGTCCTCCCCCACTGAAGGAGACCTATTGAGTAGTGTATATGTGTTTGTACTCACACCTCTTGACCTTTCATCTCTATTATCCCTCTTTATGTCACTTGATAATTTTTGCTTCATATCACTAACCTCCTGCCTCCTATTAACCATGTCAATAGTCCACTTGCTATATAGATCACTATTCCTCTCCATAGGTATTGTTACAGGTGACTTTAAGGGGTTGAAGCCCCAGATGTGGGGCTCTATAGGTCCATATCACATGCCTAATGGAAAAAGTACTAGTATTTTCACTTTGAAAGTGATAGCGGAAACATTCTCACCCCACAGATGACTGTTGGGTGGAGGTGATGGGTGGTGAATGTGCAGCATTCCTTCTGCTTTAGAGGGCAGCATGGCCCATGGGTTATCGCTATAGCTGTGACTACATGTGCAAAAGGGTGGCATTGGGGACTGACCTTTGATGCAGCCTTGAGGCAGGTGTCATCACATTTAGCTTTGTACTAAATCCCTTAGTAGGCCCTAGTACCTAAAATTAGCCCTGTTTCTTGTATTGCAGCACCTGTAATAATTTTGTTTGTGGAACTTGCTTCCTTCATTCCCCACAAAAGAGGCTCACACCCCCAATGCCCGTAGTTCACACCTTTGGAGACCTTTCTCTTGCTGCCAAATAGCATGAGTACAGCCGTATAGATGTGCTTCAGCTAGTTCTGAATGGCACTGCTCCAGCATGACTACCTTCTATTGATGCAGGATGCCATGATCATTATATTGTGAACCACGCAGCAGCAGTTTTGGTCAGCAACATTCCTGGTACTCTATGATCTGTTACTCTTCCATAATCCATCTGCACATAGGATATGTTTCTGCTGAGAACAATAATACTATACCCCTTGATCCAGAATGCCAGGGCTTAATTCCCATTAGAAAACAATAGAAATTGCAAACCCGGTTATAGAGATCTTCTCCTGTCCTAATTAATGGATTTGTTCTGAGACAAACATGTTTTAAAATCTGTTTGGGGGCACATGATCAATCAAAAAATAACTCTATAATATATTATGTGATAAAATAAAAACGTTCTTCCTAATGATCTTGTGGTTTTTAAACCAGGATGCTGTAGCAATACAACTCGAGCAAGAACGATTAGTGAAGATAAAGGATGTGCTGAAAGACCTTCCACTTCCTCATTACAGGTCAGAATATACCTTCCATCTGGTTCCAAGTCTTAATTTATTATTTAACTCTCAAATCTGCAGTATATAATGTGCCTGTACAACTTTAGGCAAATACAAAGTACTAACCTTTTCCATTTTTTTCCATTTATGTTCTGTAGAACCCTGGAGTATCTCATGAGGCATCTGGTTCGAATGGCTTCCTTCAGCTCACAAACAAACATGCATGCAAGGAATCTAGCCATAGTCTGGGCTCCGAACTTGCTCAGGTAAAATATCCTGTATGTTGTGAATGCTCAGAGACCAAATATGCCTTAATTATAAATAATAGTCTGTCTACATATCTAGTAATAGGAATTAGAAGAACCAACAATCTTCTTTCCATGTCTTCATCTCTTAAAAATGTTATGTGTATTCCTTAATCAGTAATATCCTTAAATGATTGTTCTGATACACAAAGTCCACTAAGGTCTCATTTTTGGATACGCTTTTGAAATTATTTTATATTTTTGGATAAACTTCTAAAATTATTTTTAAAAAAAAAAAATATATATATATATATATATATATATATATATATCAAAAGATTAGTATTTTTCAAAACATTACATTATTCTAAAAGTTTATACAAATTAATAAATTATTTCAAAACGTATCCAAAAATATCAAATCAAGGCCCAAGTTATTCTGCCTGTAATGTATTGACCCTTTGTCTGTCTATGTCTATTGTAATATGACAAAATGGCAAAGTATATGTTTAATTGTTATCCTTTCTTCTGTCCAAGGTCCAAGGATATTGAAGCATCTGGGTTCAATGGCACTGCAGCATTTATGGAGGTTAGAATCCAGTCCATTGTGGTGGAATTTATCTTGACACACGTGGAGCAGCTCTTCGGGGACACACCACTTGGTAGAGCTTAATTATATTCTATAAGATCAACTAATATTGGTTACTGTATGATTATCAACATACTATTTCTTATTATAGTCAAAAATACTTCACACTGCACCATATGGAAATGGAAACAATACCCCACATATGTACTTTTTAGAGGTATCAACATGAGTAGTATTCTCCCACACGATTTGATATGGACAACCGTCCTTCAATGTCTGTCCAAAATCACATTTAACCTTCCAAGTATGTTCTTCTATGCAGCGCAACTAGGTCTGTAAAGGTAAACATGTCATTGCAATGCGAAAGAAAACAAGAACAGTACTAATGCTAGGAGAAAAGCCAATGACATTAGTTTAGCTTGGGAGACATTAGCTATACCAGGGCAAGAAAGTTCACTGGTAGATTGAGGCCTACGTTTTGAGAAGTGCTCATCCGAACCAGATGTTAAACTTTAATTATAAAGAATATGTTTAAAAATCAACACAAGACCAGCATTAGAGAATCATGTGGTAGAGGAACACAAAGAGAGAATAAAGACAACCAGTTAGGGATATACATTTATGAATCAGAAGACAGGTGGACAACCCGTACAACAGTAAAGGTAACCCTTGTGAGCTACTCTGAGGAGAAATGACACAGCTTAAGAAACATTGATATTATATAACACAGGGAGCCATTCAACGAGCAAAGAAAGGCACTAAAATAAAAAACAGGTTTAAAGGGACACAATAGTCACCAGAACAACTACAGCTTATGGAATTTGTTCTGGTGAGTAGAATCATTACCTTCAGACTTTTTGCTGTAAACTCTGTCTTTTCAGAGAAAATGCAGTGTTTACATTACAGACTAGTGATAACTTCACTGGCCACTCCTTAGATAGCGGTTAGAGATCCTTCCTGGGTCATGGCTGCCTAAAATGCATCCAAACATTCAGTGTCTCCACCCTCTGCATGCAGACACTGAACTTTCCTCATAGAGATTAATTGATTCAATTCATCTCTATGAGGAGATGTTGATTGGCCAGGACTGTGTTTGAATCATGCTGGCTCTGCCCGTGATCCGCCTCCTTGTCAGTCTCAGCCAATCCTATGGGGAAGCACTGTGATTGGATCTGGCTACCACTTCTGATGATGTCAGCACACTGCTTGTTTTTCTGAGTCTAACAGCATGCAGAGTTACAGCTTCAAGCTTGAATACAGTAAGATTTTTACTATATTTATGGAGGCATGAGGGGCCCAGATGGTGGTTTTGACACTATAGGGTCAGGAAAACATGATTGTGTGTCTGACCCTATAGTGATCTTTAAGTATGCTTCCATGGAACTTGCTACAGAATCCAAATTTAGACTTAAAAACACTTAAAAAGAGAAATTTGGATTTTGGGTAAGGGAAGTGAACAACTGAAGTAAGCCTAAACTGTGCAATATTTTGCAGCTGTGATGGAGTATGGAAGAATAAAATATAGGCTGTTACCAGTTGGTATTAAGGGTGAAGGAGAACTCCACAAGTGAGAAATATCTAGAGAGAAAGCATATAAAGAACAGTTATATGATACATGATACCGTCTGCTTGCAGTACTATGTAAAACTACAAAGATAATAATCTAAACCGATACTTTATTTAAAAAGGACCAGATTAGTTGAAATATTCAGGTGGGTTTTTTGTTTTTTTGTGCAGGAAATGGGAATGAAACAAATGCATCCACTCCTGAAGATTATTTCCGCTCTCTATCCTACAATATACCAAGCGTGCTGAATCAAGGGGATGGACCTCCCCAAATCCGCCCATACCACACTATAATAGATATCGCTGATCAAAAGTAAGTTTTTGTTTGGTCTTCGGTTCAAATATGTTTAAGCACCCAGAATCAAAAGACGAGACAGGTCCAATTTTCTATACTAGATATGGTGAGCCTAGATGATTTCAGCCTTCTTTAGGCATCATCAATAAGGTGCAGGTGATATCCTGGGCACAAGGAATCTATATCCAGGCTGCGCGATTGACTTGTGGAGATGCTAGCTTAGCCACTGCTGAGGCCTTAAAAAGCTTAGGTGTGCTATTATTGATATATATTTATATATATACACACACTTGTGGGTGTGATCATTCTGCAGATGGCATATATATATATATACACACATCACCCACAATTATATCTATCTGTAATAGCACACATTCTGCAGATGATATATACACCATCTGCAGATTCTGGGATGGGTGATATATATATACCATCTGCAGAATGATCCCACCCACGAGTGCAATACATTACCAATATGCCAGGCAGACCTCTTTAAGTAGGTAAAGTGCCAATGCTAAGAAAACGTAAAATAGATGTTAGAACAGCGAAGAGCGTGGAAAAAAAGATGGAACTATTGGTAATCCTATCGTAAAAGTGTAAAAAAGCTATTTATTAATGTTTAACAAATTAAAAGAGCAAAATATTAAGACATGTAAACAAAAGTCTAATAAAATAAAAACTTGTAATATTTTAAATGCCATTGACAGAAGGAAGGGTTCAATAAAAACAAGGAAATGGCGATCAATCTTCAACCTTGGGCGATCGAATAACGACTCAAAGCGCAAAACCAACAAGCAGGACGATAAAGGTCTGTTGTTCCACATTAACAATTGGGCAAATAATAAATACTTGTATAATTAACCCCTTAAGGACACAGCTTCAGAAGCTTGTCTTACGCTTAATGACACAAGCAATTTTTGCATTTTCTTGCTGTATGCGTTCAACTGCAATTTGCATCTCTCTCGTTTATTGCACCGACACATATTATACAGTTTTACTGTTATACTGTTTTTTAAAGGACAGAAAGGGCTTTAATTTGATGTAACATATATATATATATATATATATATATATATATATATACTTATTTATTATTAAAAAAAAGAGAGAGAAATTTTGTGTTTTTTGTACAGTTTTTGCAATAATAATGTGTGCCTAATTAGTGCAGGTTAAAGAAAGTAATAAAAAATAAATTCACTTAGTTGTTCTTATTTACAGAATATAGAATGTGTCTGGGATTTTAAGGTTTTTTTGGTAGTTACAAGTCACAAAGCACAAGGAGTAAACTAAACCTTTAATGTGGAGTGATTTTAGAATTTGGTATGTTTGTCTTGTAAGCTTAATAGCCATAAAAGAAAACAAAATTGCCACACAAAAGTATATATTTATATAAAGGAGACATCACAGGCTATTGTCCTAAGGTTGTTTTGACACTTTCTACGTAGCCATTTCACCGCCAACCTCTGCTAAATATTGGAGTAAAATTTAGTTTTTGGGGGTTTTTGGCACACAAACTTACAACAAAGAACTTCTCATGTATATTTTGTAAAGTTGGTGTGTGCTATTCCTGTACAAAGTTTTATTTTGTGTTCAGTTACTTCTGCTGAGTACAACGATACCCCCATTGTATGTCTTTGACACTATTTCGTGAAGCTACAGTGCCATATAGGAGACCTGTCCTTTTCAACATTTACAGTAGAATTTTGAGAGGCGGATTTAATGGGCCTATGCTTCAATTTGGGGTATTAAAGCAGTTTGATTGTTCAAAAAAAAACCACAAAGGCCTACCATTTGTAAAAGTAGACACTCCAGGGTATCTCATACCCTGCCATAACATGCCCCCATTTTTTCACCAATATATGCCAAAGTATGTGGTAAAAAATTATTTTGGGCATTTTTTACATACGGATTACATTTTTGCTGGGCATTTTGTACATTTCATATGTGCCAGTAAGTTCAAACCCCCCAAATTATGCTCAGCTAAGTCTTCTGAGCAAAACAATATGCCCAATGTATGACCTAGACACTATTTTGTGAAGTTACACTGCTGTAAGAGAGACGTGACAAGTTAAGGTTTTTAAGTGTGAATTTTCATGGAGGGTTTTGATGCGTCCGTGTCCCACTTTGGAGCACTTGAGCAGGCTATATATTACAACTACACCATACCATTTCTTAAAGAACACATCCCAGGGTATTTCAAAAGGCATATTTTGAACGTTAGCATGGGATAATTTTTCCGCTAGCTTGTACCAAGTGTAGAGGTAATAAGCGTTTTTTTGCCTTTTTGACACACAAAGTGAGTTTGCACAGTATATTTTGCAAATCGTATGTGTGCTACGACTGTATAATACTTCATATGTTGCTCAGCTATGTCGGCTGAGTACAGCAATACCCCCGTATGTACCTTTGCCTGGTATATGTGGACATCGGAGGGGCACATTTGGGACACAGCCATTCCAGTTCTTTTCAAACTTTGAATTTTTACGCTGTGTCCATGTCCCATTTTAGAGTATTTTACAAGGCTATATAATCCAATTACCCCATAAAGGCATACCATTTCTTAAAGAAGACATCCCAGGGCAATTCAAAAGGCATATTTTGAACCTTGGCGTGGGATCATTTTTCCACTAGCTTGTACCAAGTGTAGTGGTAATAAGCATTTTGTCTGCCTTTTTGACACACAAAGTGAGTTTGCGCAGTATATTTTGCAAACCCTATGTGTACTACGACTGTATACTACTTCATATGTTGCTCAGCTATGTCGGCTGAGTACAGCAATACCCCCGTATGTACCTTTGCCAGGTATATGTGGACATTGAAGGGGCACATTTGAGACACAGCCATTTTCCAATGTATTTTACAAAGCTATATAATCCAATTACACCATAAAGGCATACCATTTCTTAAAGAAGACATCCCAGGGTAAATCAAAAGGCATATTTTGAACCTTAGCATGGGATAATTTTTCCGCTAGCTTGTACCATGTGTAGTGGTAATGAGCATTTTTTAATGTATTTTTTTACTTTGTAAAACTTTTTTTTACTTTGTTAAACTTTATTACTTTGTAAAATCCGTTTTTAAACTTTTTTTTTTACTTATTAAATGTTTTACACTTTCTTAACTTTTTTTACACTTTAAAATTTTCTTCATAACTTTTCTTTTACCGTTAACCCCTAACTAGCAGTAAGCAGCACTAATACCAAATTCCCCACTAACTTCCACCCATCCCAGCTAGCTAAATATATAATTTTTAAATATTTAAATTAATTAATAAAATAAATTTAACCCCTGAGGGTTAAAAAAATAATAATTAACCCTCAGGGGTTAAAAAAAAATAAATCAGATGACATTAAAATGTATACCCTGCCAATTGATCACTGTAGTCAGTGATCAATTGGCAGGGAAGGGGTTAATTTTATTAAAGCAGGGGAAAGGGGGGGTGGGATTTAACTTTATATTTTTTTTTCAGCAGCACTGATCCGTCTCCCTGCACCTCACACAGAACCTGGAAGTGCAGGGAGGCGAAAGGTAAGTATATACAGCACATGTGCTCACTCTGACAGCCTATCAGAGCGAGCACCGGTGCTGGGGTAGCCCGATCGGGTGCTCCCGGTCTGCCTCTAATACAGAGGCAGACCGGAGCACCGTTAACCCTGCGATCGCGGCGATCTGGGGTTAACTTTAGTAAATGACAGAAATTTTCCATTCGCGGTCGGGAAGGGGTTAAAGAACAAAGGTTTGTTAGCAGCGCATTTATGTTCCACAAAAAATACCAGCATAATTATTTATCAATGTTTGAATCCCTGAAGACTTGTAGATTAGAAGAGCTATAATGTACAAATTTAATGTTTAAGTCGATCTGTTTTAATAGACATGCAACCCCTCCACCCCATTACATCCTCCTACCTTTAGTTATGCATTTTTTTCAAACTCATACATTTTCTTATGCATAACCTGAAGATTGGCAAAAGTTGACAAGGCGTGGAGCTTTATTCAAGCTCCATGACCTTTGTCATTGACCGTTTTCTTCTGTAAACCCCCTCCCCAGCATGTCACTTCCTAAAGCGGCATGTCACTGACCATCATTGTTGACTCTCATGCAATTGCGAGAGTCAACACTATTGTCAGTAAAGTCACTGGATCCCCTGGTGTAATTTCACGTGGATGCCCAAGAAAGGGATGCATGTGGTGACAGATTCGCTTTAAAGAGGAGCCGCCAATTCCAAGATTTTTTACTTTCTTTATATAGCCTCTATATTTAACTTATTTATGTTTGTGAGGTCTGAAAATTAAAAGTAGACAAGCACACTGCTTTATCCTAGAAAGGAGCACTTTCATGTTGGCTCCCTGTCAATAATTGTATAAACTTTCTCATTTGCACCTGTCTGTCAGCATAGAATATTAAGCAAAGCTTTAATTTCTCCTCCAATGTAGTATGTGCCCTGTCTATGCTTGGACTGTTCTGGATTGTGATGACAGTTGCCAATTTATTAATGTACATTTTTTAAATGAACATAACATGAAAAAATGTTAACCCAAGGGGAATTTGAATGTTTTTTTTCCCAGTGGCGTACAAAAATAATAATTCCCCTTCAATTACCTGGTAAGTCATTCTTTTTGTGTCTCTGGTTAATTTGATTTTGTTTTTTCTGTCTTTGAAGAAGAAATAACAGAAAAAATGAACCTACGGCCAGCCAAAAGTATGGATTCCCTCAGTTCGGCACCGTATACAACTGATGGTACGCTAAATACAATTGAGAAAAATGCCTATATACAGTTAGTTTTAGTAAATTAGTGAAATTGCAGTTAATTTTTATTCAGAATACTTCTATTTAGACACCAAATCTTATACAAGATAAGAATAGAAATGCAGAATAAGGGGTTATCTCAAAAAGGAATTGACTGAGGTTCAGTACCATATATCATGAATACAGGAAGGAATAGTTTTAGGTTTAAATTTTGGTTAGAAATAAATACCGGTATAAGCTTTCATCTCAAAAAAATGTGGAAATACTCTCAGTACATAATCTTTTTGATTTCGCAGTTTTGGATTTGGGGCACAGCAGGCTTGTGAGAACAAGATCTCCTAAAATTCTGATTCCAATACGGAGGGAAAGTTTTGAATCTCAATCCAAGCAAGGGAACAGTTGTCCAGTACGGGACTCTGAAGATCAAGATACCCAGCTAGATGTAATGCAGCCACCCAGTTTAGAATTTGATGAAGAGCCTTTGGCCAAATCAGAACCAACAACGCCCAAACCAGCAAGGCATTCTACTACTGCACATCCACAAGGACGATCACCTAAAAGCACTCATAATCGAGCAGAAAAGTGTGTGGGAGTTCACATTTCTGGTCCATTTTCAGTAACTCTCCCATTCCATATCACTTCCAATTTATCCCGTCTCACAAGAGGAATGGAGTGTCCAAGTCTAATCTATAATCCTTTAAAAATTTCTGATAAATCATTTGCACAGGAAGAAAGTCACTCTGAAACCAGTCTTGGAATATCAAGTCCGGTGCCTGAAAATGAAAAAGATGAACCATTTTGTGAGTAGCTTTTAAATATAAAAAAGTAATATTTATTATATATAGAAAAAAATAATAATAATGACAAAATATTTAATTTTCTGCAAGAGTTCTTGAAACACTACCATCCTTATTCAGTAAACTTTAAATTGTGGATAATTGATTATTTGCATATTTTAGGCCAAAATATATTTTCACTGGCAACATTTAGCTCCTTTTTTTAACATCAGTTATTTGGGCCTATAATTAGCAAGTCTCTTGCTAATTTTGAATTTATTTATTTTTATAAGGATTTTACAAATACAGATTTTTTTTTTTTGTTAATCTACCATTTGGCACTTCTTTTGACAAACATATTTTGGTTATATAATATGCAATATCCCTATAGGTCACCTAGTGTCGATATGTCTCCAATAACCTGTAAATTACTATTTTCATAATTCTCTGTTCAGCATATAAATCTATTAATATGTGTTTTATATGCGATTGGTTATCTTTATCTTTTTCATTCTACATGCAGTCTTAGTTAAAGTTTCATCATTCAATTTTTCTGTAGGGAGGATATGGTGGCAACAGTGGTAACAAGAAAAATGGACTAGACACTTTTTGTGTAGGTGTATGAAAGAAGTAGAAACACTAAATGTGTGCCAATGTGTATAATCCCCCCTAAACTGTTGCTTTATGTGTTATAGATTTACAAACCGATACAAAGGAAAATGTGTCACTCGAGAGGGAAGAACCGAAGGACACAATGGCTTTGAAAGTGGAACTTAATCTACCAGCAACAGAGGAGCAAAATGCAAAAGAACAAAACTCTCTGAAGGTGGAAAATGATGAGATCTCATTTGATGTCCAAGAAACATTTTCCTTTTTAGACAGCCAGGACATAAATCCAGAGTTTAATGTTTCAGATGCCTTTACGAGTGATCAAGATGTGTGTCCAGATGAGAAAATGTCAGGATATACTGCAAGCTATAACCATGGTGACAGCGATATTTTAGAGGATGAACTGGGCAGTGTTTACATGTCAGACTGTGTGCAGGCAAGTATTACTTAAAAAAACAACACAAAATTACTTCATTCATTTAGATTCTAACATTAAAAAAACAACCTGTGAGATGTCCAGTAAGTGTATATGTGTTGTTATCAAAGAATACAGCATGCCGTTGTTTTACCGTTCAACAATATTTAGCAGATTTTTCTCATAAGGGTTCAGTAAAATGCGATTTATCGTGAAGGTGAATTTCAAATTTTAGGTCAAAGTAACTGATCTAAAAACAATTCCAAAAATTCACGCTTCAGTGAATAACCAAATCATTTATACAAAATTAAATATAACAAAATGAAAGGAAGTTTGCCCATGCTAATGCGGTTGGATTCTTGTGGGATGGGTGCTGCTAAATTTCAATAAATATTATTTGACTTAAATCCGGTCTGTTATACACCCACTAACCCCATTGAATTAACATTTACTGGGGTTGTGGGAACATGGAAATATGAATGCGTGAAAGCCCTACTTTAAGCAAAAATAGCTGAGTTGTTACATTATCCAAATTGAAGAATTTAAAAAATAAGTAATTGTTGCCAAAATGTTACAATTCAGTTTTCAATTTTATATATTTAACTATTTATTAAACACCATATATGTTGTAGTGCTCTGTTTGTTATTATGAAATTATGGTGCAATACAATGCAATAAAAAGCACAAAAACTAGATGCTATAGACCAGGGGTAGGCAACCTACGGCACTCAAGGTGTCTTTTCACGGCACTCAAGGCTGCTAGAGCCAAACAGGCCCTGGCCTATCAGAAGTCCCAGTAAAACTTCAGATATCTGCTAATACGAAAAGATTGTGAAGGACAATCCTCAATTTATGCATTGCAGCACATAGAGGAAGTGATCTCAGATCACTTCCTCCCAGCACTTGTGAATGGGAATCCACACTGTAGTAGAGCAGCCTGCAGCTGCTGTTATTGCTCCTATCTTTGACTTGTACCAGGCCAGCCTGGTCCCCACTGGAACCCAGGGAAGCCACCCACACTGCTAGATATACATGGAAATGCAGAATAACCCTCCCTCATACAAATAATATGAACAGCCCACACACAAACATACACACAATCCGCACAAACATAACCCGCTAACAATCCACATACATGCACACAACCCCACATTCAGCCTCTCACATGCAATACCCCAAACAGCCCACACACACTACCAAACACACAATATGACATATCCATCCACACACAATTCCACAAGCAGCCCTCAAACACTGCCCACATTTATATGTATCATACACGATAACAAACTACTAATGAACATATTCAATCTAATAGCTCATATACGAACAAATACAATGATACAAAGCAATTACAGTATAAATAACACAAGTAGAATACGGCAACATACACACCTCAATTTAAAACAAAGATAGGATCGGCACGCTACGGGACCTCACAATCCTATATCGGCACAGTGCTGCTAAAAAGTTGCCTACCCCTGCTACAGACTATGTTAGACCATAAAAGAAAAAACAACAACATTTTTTTACTCTCTCTTTTGCCTTCTCTACAGGTAGAAGAATTTTCTGTAGAGCCTCCACCGGATGAGTTATCCACAGATGACGAAGATCAGATGTATTTCATACCAACAGGTTGCTATGATATTGAAGATCAGTCTAGAGAAATTGAAGATTCAGAAGACATTTTTCACAGTGCTTATGACATCCTTAGTCCTTTATGTCAAGAACTGGGAACACCATTTACATTTTTAAATGTCGAAGAAACAGATATGTTTAAAGATGCCACTGAGTTGGAAAAAATCAATTCTCTGCAACAAAATGAAGAAAGTCTACAAACAGAACCCAGACTAGAGCCTACTGTAGGCCAGGAAAAAGAAAAGAGCTCTAATTTAAAAGACTCTTTAACTCCAAATATTGCTTATGATGAAGAGTCAATGGAAGTTTCAGATAGTGAGACCTGCGGACAACTCCTAACTCTAGAGAATGAGTGTTCTTTGGAAATCACTGAGGAAATCATTGCGGATTCAAAATCCAAAAATGAACTTGAAATCCAACCCGAAGAAGACGATGAAAATGTCAGTTGTCCAAGTATGTTAGAGTTAGAGAACAGTTTGTTGTCTGACAAAGATTCAGAAGTTTTTCATGTAGAAACAAATGATCCAGCATTGCCAAATGAACTCAGCTCTTTGGAAATACAAACTGTACTTCATGAAAACCAGGCAGAAAATCAAGATGACACACAGTTCCATCTTTCTCTGGAGGCTGATGGCAGTATCTTAGACAATATGATAAAATGTAATGGTCTAGATGAAATCCAAGAATCCACAATGCAAATCCCTGACAACATTCTACTAACTGAATGTGAAACCTTTGCTCAGCAAGACAAAATTATAGAGTGTGAAGCACTTAAAGACAACCAGAAATGCCCCTTACAGAAATACACAATGTCAACCTACCCTGTTTCTAAAGCTGAGCAACACTGCAAATTGGTTAATGGGATGCACCCTGATGGAGGTGCTTCAATGAAAATTGCTTCCACGTTGCCTAAAATACAGCAGGTAAAGTCTGTTCCTGTTGTACCCCCAAAGCCACAGTTTGCAAAGCTGCCTCCTGCTTTGCGTAGTAAAATTCATGTTGGCTCAGCATCCTCCACCAACAAAGACACCAAGCACCAAATAACTGAAACAATGAACAGTTCAGAGACTGCAGAGTTAAATAACGACTCTCTTAAAAAGCAAAGGTATTCTGGCTGGAAAAGTGGAGTGAGTATATCATTTGATACTGCTGTTGCTCTTGCTAAAGAGCGTCAGATGTCCCAATGTCCAGTAAGAAGAATGCAGACCTACTGCATTGGAGACACATATGAGATAGACAGTACAAAGGTGGACAACAGCCTAGGCCTCCAGAACCCATGCCTAAAATTAGGCAGTAGCAGAATAAATAGACCTCTAAGCTGTCTGGGGTCTCTCAGCTGTACAGAAGAGGCCAATAAAGAATGTAGCCATTTAAAAGACATGCCCACAAGTCCAGTAGGCACGTATGGATCTCATTCAGTTTTAGGTCAGGAATCTTGGCCTAAAGCACAGAATCATTCAGCCCGGAACAGAATGAGTCTGCCCAGGATTGGGAAACAGTCCAGTATCGAAGAACCACCTGATTCTTGCCAAAACCAGCGAAGATCACTGCTATAAACTGCTTATTCCAGTTTTTCTATTCATTTTCTATTTTATGCACCTTCTGAGTGTACATGGGGACCTAGAAATAAGAATATCAGCTCTGTATAATGAATGATTATCTTCATACTTTCAACATCCTATGTTTTGAAGTCATATCATACTTGCAGAAAAAAAAAAACATATTGACAAAGTAGAAAGACTGCTATTTAAATTACTCAAGTTTGATTTAAATACATTCCATTAAAGTTTACAAACTGCATTTCTTTATTACCATATCTCTGAGTTTATACAGTGTAGAAACAGGAAATGTGTTTTTATTCTAAACTTAGTATATAGGAGTAAGATAATGTGGGAATAAAATCAATGAAAAGGCAGAAGCACATAAAACCAAAAGGTGTCATTGAAAGTTTGACAGAAGAATATAATTTTGGGGGTTATACTTAACTTGGTCTTACAATGTTCTTAATATCAGTTGCATGTTCCACATCTACACTCCTGCACCAAATTTGAATGTCCTTTTTTTCTTTCTTTAAAGGAAAACTCAAATCACTATAACCACTGCATCATGCTGTAGTGATCATGGTGCCAAGAGTCCCCCGGCACAAATGTAAGCAATCATGCCATTTGCAAACAGTTTGGACTTAATACCTGGGGTCTGCCAACACTGGTCCCTGCTTCTCCCCTTCAATTACTGAGAGGTGAAAGATCCTGTGGCAGATAATCGCTCTCAGTCAATGAGCTAAGCCATGCACCACAATGTTGAATGGATTGGAACCCAGCAGCCCCAAGTATGAATGACCAGGTCCCTGCCACTAACAATTCTGGGCGCCGGGGCACTCTTGGCACTGTAAACACTACGTGTGTTGGGATGTCTCTTAAACTGCAGGTGAGACTGCAGGCAGGAATTGTACAGAGACCTAACTTCCCTGGCACTGTGCAGGTTTGTGTAAGGGCTAGTGGCCTGTACTCTCAATGCTTTTCAAGCTTAGACTTGCCTACTACGATATTAAAAGGTGGACTGCAGTATCTGGGATTGACTAAACTGCAGACTATGATTAGTATGTATGGTGTGACCAAACGGTGAGATGGGATGGTGCACATGACATTCATACCACAGGCCAGTATTCACTGTTGGCAATAGATTTGCAAAAACAGAGCCTGCATCTCTTAGGCACATAGATATATCTGTGAAAGCTCTGTCACACTGCCCCCCCACCCCTCCCTCCTCAGACTGACATGCATGAATAGATACCCTGGGGCACAAATACACATTGATGCAAATTTAAATATGCTCACACGTGCATAGATATGCACAATGATACAAATGCATATATATACACACAAATGCACAGATATTCACACTGACATATATGCAAATGTGCTCACATACAGATCCACTTACCCATGTGCACACAACACACTCAAGTTCCTGCTGTAAACACTTTAACAGTTTGTCCCTGTGAGTTTCCCTGAAGCCCTGCCTTACACTGTTCTGGTGCTGTATCAAAGTCGCTGGAAAAGGCTCCATGGCACCCATGATAACATGATATCTTTTTTTACACCATAAATGCAATCAGATTTGTCATTGGATCAAGAACCTAATTATATACATGTTAATTAAATCATTGAATATTCTGTTCTTTCAAAAAAAAAAAAAAAAATCCAGGCCATTTTTAAAATTATCTGCAGAATTTGATTGCACAACCTCTTTGGATAGACAATTTCACATTACTATTAAAAAAAATAACCTTTCCTTTGTTGTAAGCAAAAATGTCTTTCTTCCAGTCTCAGATTTTATTTTGCTATTTGAATGCAATGTTTATGAAATGGCTTATAAAATAATATAGTGCTAAATGAGCTTAATGGAGCACCCTGGTCATAGGAAGACAGACATCTATGCCCTCACTGCTCTGGACTCGCCGCAGTTGCCCTGCTTACGCTGGGTGAGATCTGATGATCTCATCGAGAAGCATTAGAAGGTCTGGCAGAATGTGCATCAAATCACCACACTGTGTCAATCAGAAACTCCTCATAAAGATGCACGGACTCAATGCATCACTATGGGAAGATTTCAGTATCACTATACAAACCGTAAAGCACTTAACGTATGTCTTGCAATATTTGCAGGACCTCAACCAGGTGTGAATGACTAGAGGTAGTCATAGGCAGCAATATGAACAGTGCATATTCTCTGAAAAGGCAGTGTTTACCCTGCTCAGATTGCAGGGAAAGGCTCTAATGATGTATAATTAAATCCAATGTAAAATGTAAAACAATTGTACAGAGCATTACATTAAGTCCTGATTCATCATCAATGTGATTATTTAGTTACTGGGAATTGGAAGGAATCTGTAATCGAACTGCAAAGTTTAGGCTCTAGTAGTCCTGTTTGGCTATTTAGGTCTACATTTTGGCTCATTCTAGCCAATACCGAATATGCAAATTACATGTCTCCCAGCAGTCCCTCTCATGACAGGACTGTCCCAATTTTGGGGTCTTGTCTTGGCATCCAGCTTTAGTTCCATTTTGTAAAACTACAACGATAAAACATACATAAACATATAGAACATACAGTTGTAATAAAATATATGCAACCCCATCGAAAATCAGGTTTATTGTCAAAATTTACTTTTTGCTGTTTGTAATGACTTCTCCAGTCTCAAGGTTTTTCAACCACTTCACGGCAAGCATCTTTAGAACTTCATAGAGCACCCTTTTGTTATAACCTGCTGCAAATGAGATGCATAGCCAGACACTAGCTTCTGGCAGTGTTCCTGAGGAATCTTAGCCTATTGTTATACAGAAATGGCCTTCAGTTCAGTAACATTATTGGGTTTGCGTACTGCAACTGCCTTCTCAAATCCAAACAGAGATTTTCTATGGGGTTCAAGTCAGGTGACTGTGATGACCACTGTAGAATTTTACAAGACTTCTGCAAACAAGCCTTGGTGGAATTTGAGGTATGCTTGGGATCATCTTGTTCGAAGGTACAATGACACCCAAGCTTCAGCTTCCTCACAGACAGCATAACGTTTGTACCTAGGATTTTCTGATACTTCAATGAATCCATGTTGCCTTCCATACGCTGCAGGTTTCCACTGCCAGAGGATGCAAAGCAGCATGCTTAACTGTGGGCACAGTGCTCTTTTCAGCATATGCTTCATTCTTCTTCCTCCAGACACACCGCTGATCCATTGGGCCAAAAGGTTCCAGTTTTGTTTTGTCGCTCCACAGAACAGAATCCCAAAACTTTTACGCCTTATTTATATGATTTTGAGCATATTAGAGCTGATTTTTCTTGTGTTTTTGGGTCAGCAGTGATGTACAGCTTGGAGTTCTGGCATGGAAACCTTCTGCATTTAGTACATGCCTTACTGTGCTCACTGAAACCTTCGTGCCTGTTTCCACCAAGTCTTGCTGCCGGCCTTTTGCAGTCAAAACTCAAAGGTTTTTCACAACCTGCCTTCTCAGAAATCTGGTTGCAGCCATTGATAGCTTCCTTTTTCTGGCCTGTCAAGGTAGTGTAAAACAGTTCCTTCGGCTTTGAACTTGCAAACTATGCTTCCAACGATGTCTCTAGGAACATTCAGTGCCTTTGCTATCTTTTTGTATTCTGTTCCCTATTTGCCAAGGGTGATGATCTCTTCTCTTAACTTTGTGAATTCTTTTGACTTAGCCACATTTCTAACTTGCAGTCAAACGTGACACTCAACAAACCTATTGATAGTGATATTCCTTTGTGCAGTACCTATTATCACCACTCTCCCTGTTTGGTGCTATTCCTTATTTCTTGTATCATTTAACATTTCAGCTGACCCTTGTTAGACACCTTTATAGTTTGGTCTCAACCTTCCCTCAGGGTCAGATCAATGTTTCCTTGATCCTGTGACTCTGACCCTGCATCCTCTGGTCTTGTATCCTGTTTTATTGTTCCTGTGTCCACCGGTCTTGTATCCTGTGACTCTGCATCCTCTGGTCTTGTGTTCCTGTTTCATCTGGTCTTGTATCCTGCATCCTCTGGTCTTGTATCCTGTGTCCTTGTTTCTTGTGACTCTGACCCTGCATCCTCTGATCTTGTATCCTGTGATTCTGGCCTTGCAGCCTTTTGACACTAGATGTATATCCTGTCTGTCCCTCATGGTGCCTGCCCGGTCCTGCCCAGTGTACTCCATTTAACCTACAATACTGTACTTAATACTCTGCCTGCACCTCCCATGCTAGATCTGGGTTTACTGTATATTTTGTATTGGCATTGTATTATTGTAAATTGTTTGGTTATCTTGTGTCTTTTTGTTTTCTTCATAATATACTTATTTGTACTCTCATTCCTTGTGTTTGTCATTTTTCTCTGCATATTGGGTTCCTGCACTTAAAAGGATATTGCTGTCTCAGGGCAGCACCCCTGACATAATGATCTGACCTATTATTAGGAACCTGTAGAGAAAATGTCTGAGCACAATGAATAGTATTGCTGGTAGTGACTCTGATTCACAGCAGGAGTGTAATCTGATTGATGCTTGTTGAAGTCTGTTGAACCAGCTCCAGTGTCGGATTTTAAAAGCATCTTCTGTGCATTTCTACTTTAGATGCTTGTTGTCAAATACAGAAACCTATTTTATGTGTTCTAATATCTGAACTACAGTTCTATCACAAAGAGATGTGTGATCCTTTTTCTTCACTGAAACCTGATTTTGGAAGATGGCTAGGGAAATCTCCAATTGCTAAATGCTGACTATCTTATTTCTGATCATGTAGTTTCTCCTCTGTTTCCTGAATTGCAAAGTCTCCATACTGTTGAAATCATTTCATGTCCTCCTGACTCTGACTTGGATTTTTCTGTTTCGGGGGAATGGCTTGTAGATCCTCCTGACTGTAAAACTGAAATTACTTCTCTTGAAATGAAAGCTGAATGTCTTCCTGCCTGGGTTAAAGAAGAATCTGTTGAGGAGATATACAGTACTGGTGATTACCAAATGGACTGTGTTTTTGATGATTTTGGTGCTCCATATGTAGCAGCTTTAGAGGAAGAGCTGTCTGATTTTGAGGGAAGCACAAATACACAGTTTCAATATACTGTCTCATTACCAGAGACATATCATGTTCCTGAACCACTGTCTCTTTGTAGAAAAGTCTATTCACATATACCCAGGGTTGATATTCCGGCTTCCAGGGAGATTGCTCTTACTACTGATCCTGAGTCCTCATGCCAGGCAAGAGAGCATCTACAGCCTTGCCTCCACAGCAGTGAAGAGGAGACAGACTCACCTGAGAATTCAACCCCACTGTCTTCGGCAATTGAAGTCCCTCTTCTACAACCTGCTTCAGTGGACTCATTTTATCTTTCCATATTGGAAGACGACCTTATTAAAACCCCTTGGTGTGCATCCGAGAATGTGCATAATCCAGAAACAGAACCCCTATCTGTGTCCCATGGATTGGTCCATCCAGTTCTTGAAACTCCACCTGTGGCAGAATTTCTTCCAGTTATAGAAGGACCTGCTCACGGCTCCACTCCTTCTCCTGAGATGGCAGTAATGGACAAAACTGTGTTCCCCTTGGAAAAGACAGACCATCAAGAACCCTCATTACTGCAGAAATGTCACGTTGCTTCTGAGCCAGTATCAAGTAGTATAGCTACTGACCCTTCCTGTTCCTATGAGAATAAAGAAATTAACACACCTGCTGTTGTGACATTCCAGCATCAGCTGGGGCATGAAGACACCCTACCCAAACCAAAGACAGAGGTTGTGCCCCCAGTGGGTATCCATAATACTGTCACTTCTAGTCCGACCTTTAATGCCCTCTTGTATCCTGGAGAGACATGTTCACATGAGACTCCTGATCTTGGACTTCCTGGATACCCATCTATAAGTGTACTCCAAAAACAAGGGGATCCTCCTCTCTTGACTCCAGTTGAACTAACCAAAATGAACTTAGAGTCTGTTCGTCCCTCTGAAGACTTTGTATCTCAGTCTTTATTCCTAGGATCACTCAAGCCAGAATCCCAGTCAGATCCAGGACTACCGCATATAGCACCTCTATACAACAAAAGCCCTGTGTCTCATAGGATTACATTCTTGTTATTTACTGGTAATACGTCTTCCCGATAATGTTTGCCTTTAGCTACCGTTTATGTGCTTGCCTTTCTGGAGTTCTGCATTGTTCACTATCCTATACTCTTCTGTGTCCCTACCCTGCCTCTGGTTTCTACTGTGGACCTTTCATTCCTCCTGAGCCTCCTTCTTGTTTCTTCTACTGATTTGGTGATCCTGGTATTCTGTTGTCACCTGTGGGAGGTCTTGGGGGTTTTGAGCGCCTGGAGTCGCTCCTGAAGGGGAGGGTACTGTCACGGTTCACTCCCTAGGTGATATTCCTTTGTGCAGTACCTATTATCACCACTCTCCCTGTTTGGTGCTATTTTCTTGTATCATTTAACACTTCAGCTGACCCTTGCTAGGCACCTTTATAGTTTGGTCTCCCCCTTCCCTCAGGGTCAGATCAATGTTTCCTTGAACCTGTGACTCTGACCCTGCATCCTTTGGTCTTGTATCCTGTTTCCTTGTTCCTGTGTCCACCGGTCTTGTATCCTGTGACTCTGACCTTGCATCCTCTGGTCTTGTGTTCCTGTGTCATCTGGTCTTCTATCCTGCATCCTGTGGCCTTGGTTCCTGTGACTCTGACCCTGCATCCTCTGGTCGTGTATCCTGTGATTCTGGCCTTGCAGCCTTTTGACACTAGATGTATATCCTGCGGCTCTGGACCGGAGTCCTGTCTGTCGCTCATGGTGCCTGCCCGGTCCTGCCCAGTGTACTCCGTTTAACCTACAAGACTGTACTTAATACTCTGCCTGAACCTCGCGTGCTAGATCTAGGTTTACTGTATATTTTGTATTGGCATTGTATTTTTGTAAATTGTTTGGTTATCTTTGTTTTGTTTTCTTCATAATATACTTATTTGTACTCTCATTCCTTGTGTTTGTCATTTTTCTCTGCATGTTGGTTTCCTGCACTCAAAGGGATATTGCTGTCTCAGGGCAGCACCCCTTCCTACCCTGACAGGTATTTCAAATGTTCCAGCTCAAGCACATCTGTTGCAACTAATGAAGCCTGTGACAAAAGTTACATTGCCACTGGCTTTTGGAGGAGCCTGTTTGCCAACCTCCTATCGTGTGACTATGGACCCTGCAATAGACCTGGCTAAAATACTTCAAACAGGCTCTGTTTGTGCAATTAGGACTATATGGTTAATTTACAACCCCATGAACAGAGACCACCCTGGAGATTTTTAACACCTATTAACAACTTGGAACGTTTCTCAACGCAGTGTTCTGATTGTTCGTCTGGGTGGCCGCAATTCCTATGGACAACCACGAGGTGGCAGCCATCATGTACGCATAAACGCAGGCAGCGGTGTTTGGGCATGAATCTCCTGGAACTAAAATCGGATACAGAAACTTCCGAACACCGCTGGACTTCCATCATCGCCTGCGTTCGATTCTATTCAACTTAGAAGGGTACTGTTTGGTGAGATAATTCGTCTGTATAAAGGGTACAAACTCCAGGGTAAGGCTATTGACTCTGTTCGGTAGTTTGTTTGTTTTCAAACTACCGAACTAGACCGCAAGCCCTGATTCTCTGGAATTGTTTTGGGCATGTCTTCGGTCGGTCAAATAAATGACTTCCATAGAATTTCTGAACCCCTGAACTGATCTGGGTGATTTTTGGATATGTTGGTCACCCAGATCAGGGCTATCAGGGGATGTAACATTGTGTTTTGGGGGTACTTTTGGGACTTTTTAGAAATGTGAATTTTTTCTGCCTGGAGATAATTGGGTTAATACAGTATCTGACTTAATTATCTCTTCAGGCAGAGGGGATGGATTGTATGCCATGTGTGGTAGTGCCTAACATTGTAAATGTGTTATTATTGGTTTGTAAGTTTGTGTCCCTGTCCCCAACAAGGTCCATGTGGGCGTACCCCTTGCTTGGGGACTTGCATAAAAGGCCAGTGTGGTTACCATTAAAACTGTCTTACTTTTACACTCAACACTCATCTCTTGTTGTAGGGAACTGCTATACCAGCTATAATCCCTGCTCCTGGATTACTATACTGGCTATAATCACTCGCTCTTTTTAAGAGCTACACAGCCAGACCTGCTATACTCTCTTGGAGGAGAGGTTCACTCACTAGAAGCTGGATCCTTGTCCAGGGTGGGTGGAGGACAGCGAGACCTTAGCCAACCAGCGGTGGCTAAGGGGCTACGGTACTTATGGTGTCCGGTGCGGTGCTTATAGTACTCAAGGCGACTAGGAAGCAGTGATTGGTGGAGGCACCCAGTTGGGTGCCAGGCGGTCTGTCACAAAGCCCTTGATTGAGAACACATTTTTTGCATATATGTGCCGCTGTGAGGTATTCTATTCAGGTGCTTGGATAATTTTAATTTTATAAGTTGCATTTTCAGTTGAATGTGAGGAAACTACTTGAGGCATTTGTTGTGTTGAGCTATTTTAATTGTGTTTGTTTGATTTGTTCCTTGCAGCTGAAAATCTGTAAATTTTGACAATAAACCTGTTTTTCAATTGGGGTTCAATAATTGTGATTACAACTGTAAATATGGGAAATGTGACAGTATCGGGGTTATTTATTAAACTGCAAAGGAATTTCAAATTTAACACCAAAATATCAGACCTTTTCATTTCAGCTATTTAGAACTAGTTTTCCAACTTGACTATTGAGGCATTAAAATTTAAAACTAATTTATGAATTCCCGAACGAGTCACACGTTTTAGAAAAAAATAATCCTGTATAGGAAAAGCTTTCCAACTAATTTCTTTGAGCTTACATGATTTAATTTGTTTTTCAATTCATCCTAATTTACTGTTTAGGGAACAAACCCTATAGATGCTCTGCATATTAATTTTAGTTTTAGGTATGGCAAATCATCAGAAAGGTAGCAATTCCCTAAAAAGTGTACATCATGCACGCACAGGGTTGCCAGATCAAATTGTGATTTTGGGTTGTCTTTAAAAAATTGCATAGTTATAGCTGTATTCAAGACTATCTTCCCTGTGAGCGGCAATGGCCATGAGCAGAGGCTACCTAAGTTATCAAAAGATCTCCTTCACCGGCTCAGGACATTCGTATGCCAGGCTCCCTGGTGGGTGCAGACCACTAGTACTGCTCCTGCAAACTCCACCAACTATAAAGGTATCAAACAGCAATGTTCTGATAATTCCAGAAGGATAAATTTAAGTGGTGAGCACCAGCCAGAGACGCAGACCACAAGCTTCACTCACAGAACCATGAGAGATCATCATGCTCATCGTCCAGGCCAAAAGTAAGCTGGCAAGAGTGGGGAATAAATGGAATTAACTTGGGTTTTTTTGTTTTGTTTTTATATTTTAACACTACATATACTCTCTGTACCCATCTCTATATTACAAACCTATGAAGATACTAATCTGTCATACATTAAGAAATGGGAATGAGACATAGAAACGTTTTAAGTGTGGATTTGGAGGATGTGTGTGAAGCTTCTTCAAAATCTTGGTAGGCTTTATAACAATGTTAAGATGTTGTTTATATTTTATACTCCTGTTTTCAGGTTGAAAATAGGCAAAACAACAACAGATCTCTCCTGGTGTATCTGTGGTCATCCAGGTTCTCCTTACCACCTATGCTGGTCATGCTATAAAATGTCTTCTGTATGGTCCTGAATTTCTATTTTATGGTCACGTATTTTCAATAAACAAAAAACAATTAAACCTCGGTTATATTGGCTTTCTCTCCCTTTGGAAAGTCTTACGAAACAAGCAAATAAACTTATGGTTCATTCTGTCAACAAGGAAGTCTGTTGCAGCCAACTGGTTGAGAGATAATGGCCCTTCACGTAATACTGTTAATTTAAAAATTAACTTTAGTAAACTCATGGACAAATTGTCTGGCATGGTTACCACACGTCTGCCTTTAACAAATTATAAGAAACATGGCTTTCTTATACTTCCGAGACTGTCGTATAAGTGGTGAAAGTGAGAGATTTCGCTTTTTTTTTTGTTTGTTTCTCTCTTTGCCTCGGTCTACTCTTGTTTATATAATTTTTTACTGACAGTTATATCTCTTTATGCTTCTATGCTTTCAACATTATTGCTCATTTCATTGCATAATTGGTATTCTGTAGTTTATATCAATGTTAAATGAAGCATTTAAAAAAGGCATAAATTAATCAAACTGCCTATAAATCAAGTGTGACATCTATAACCACAAAGCTTTAATCAATTTGCATCCCCACCAAATATATGCCAAAGTTAACCTCTCTAGGCAGCTTCACCAACAAAGAGGGGAATTTGATATCAGGTAGCATGATGTCTCGTATACACTAGATGCCAATGATATATAATGAAAGTCACAGGTGTGTGTAGCTTGTTTCATTAGGGTATACACACTTTTTTTTAATAAAAGGTAAACAGCTATTTAGAATTCAGTCTCAAAGGATAATGCTACATTTTCAAAATAAATATAAAAGTTAAAGAGAAGCTGACTTTTTTTGCATATCTTTTTATTTTAATAAATCACTTATCAACCTTTTCCACTTACCTTTTCTGACCAACCATCTTTATGCACTTTCAGTTGGAATGTCAGTTATCCGACCCAATGTCTACTATTTTGCTCTGCCTGCCCAACACAATAGGGGAGGCTAATCAGAGCTCTCCTCTTGTCTCTCCTCCTGCTTCCATCACTAATTCAGACAAGCATTCGGCATTATGCAATTTGTTCCATACGGTCAGGCCCCCGCTCTACTGCACTCTTACCTTGCGCTCCCACCGCGCATCTCCTCTGTCTGCAAGGAAGTGCTGGCTTGGAGTACATCCCCCTGCTCCACGTGGCCGGCCTGCTCACCGCTGCTGCCTAGCCGCAGTGATGTTGAGACAAGCGGTACCACATCCCACAAGCTGCACCACGGATCAAGAGCCAGCATGCCACATGGAACAGGAGGGTCCTATGGTGCATGCGCTCTGAAACAACCCTTTCTTAAAGGGACAGAAGGCGGAACTGACAAAGGGGTGTATTCAGGAGGCAGAGAGGAAGTGACATACATCCCTTTTCTTATTTAAACTCTACTCCTGCTAAGACTCATTGCTCAATTATACAGTGAACCTGTGGTGTTCGTACCTCCAGTGCCTTTCCTGCTGTTTTTCCTGATTCTGACCCTTGCCTGATTTCTGACTACGATACTGTGCTGCCTGTCCTGACCTTTTTTGCATACCTGACCACTCTTCATCTGATCCTATTGTACTGCAAACCTGATTTTGTGCTTTCAGCCTTTTATGCGTTGTGGGCTTCATCTACTAAACTACACCTCTTACACATACATGGTGAGACAAATTTCTATAGTATTTATTGAGTTAAAGAGCACTTCCTAATTAAGCATAACAGGTTGGTGTGGCAGCCATAAATTGCAGAAAGCGAAAGAGTGCTTGATTGGGAGATGGGCTCTCAGCTTAAATACTACAATAGAAGCTTGCCTGACAATGTCCAGAGCAGTCTATGTAATACAATACTGCTGCTTAAAATAGAAATTTGGAGAAAACATGAGACAGATTGCCAGCGAATCAGAGAGGCAAGGCGAGAGCACCGAGAGCTATGACTAGTAGTGAATTCTTAAGCTAACCAAAGCAGGAGTTTCTCGGGGTACAGTAGTTTGTCCCTAGTTAACAGGAGTCCTTAAAAAGTGTGTATATGATAAAACTTAACGTTTAGTGGTTACAGTAGAATAAAATGAAAAGAAAAATATTGAAACACCCAAAATGTAACAACTAGTGTAAAACAAATGTAAATGACAAACACCCACCAACCATAAATTGATTTTTTTTAAAAGCTAAGCTAAGAGCTAAGTGCTCTCTAGATAAAATGTTTCCAAAAGAGGAATAAAGACCAGAGGAGTATTATCCATATCTGATCTACCTTAGAAATCTGATACAGGTATTTCTATAAAGACAGGGGAACGCTCTACGAAGCTGTTGGATATATAAGCCCAGTAAATCATTTTACCATATGACAGGAGGCTTCCTATTTGCATAACTCTCTTTACTGAAACTCTCCAGCAGCACAGAAAAAAAGTAACAACCAATCAGAAACAAGTTAGCAGGCACAGAAAAGGCCCTGACAGTGACATCATTTCCTCTTTCTTTGCTGCTCCAGCCTCCACAGGTCAAAGTATTTACCTCTTCTGCATATTGTACCTTACTATTGCAACTGGGAGTATTACTTTGACTGTCTAATACTACTATTACTTGATATATCCCTGCCTCTGCCTTCCTGTCCCCCTTGACTATTACTTTCATTTGCCTATTATTTTCGGGTCCCTGATTTGTTTTTCATCCTATTTCCCCTCACCGCGACTGCACCGGTCTGCGGCTACATTCCAGAGGGTAGTTTTCTTTCCACTGGGACTGGGTGGGGACGGTGGGTGGGGTGTCAGGGCGGCGTCTTGCGCATTTTCAGCGGGCCCACCGATCCTCGACGGCCGTTCCGGTTCTCCTCCTATGCAGATCGGGCAATACCTGATCTGCACAATACTGTTCTTAGTATTGTTAGTTAGTTAGTTTAACCACTACCTGTGGGTTGTTTGAAGTACACTGAATTTCTATGCCACTGTATCTGTGGAGGTACACTTGCTCCCTATATCAGGGAAGAAAATAGATAATTAATTTAATAACCCTGTTAAACTACCATACAGGAATCCCATTACAGAGAACTGAGTGCATAAGACCATATTGCCTGAAGGCAT